GGATCCAAGGCACTTAATATGAGGAATGTGATGTTTATACATCATGTGTCTCCCCCACCCCTGGCTGCCTGTCAAATTAATATGCCATTAAGGGATTCTAAGGCTACTTAGCATTATTAGGTTACAACACCTGGAAGTGTTTTGCTTAGAAAAATGGTATAAGACGACCAAGGCCATATTCATCCACATGATAGTATTCCCAATCACTATGTAGGGGCATGAAAGTTGGACAGTGAGGAAGGCTGGCAGGAAGAAAGTGATGCGTTCAAAACATGGTGTTGGAGGAAAGCTTTGTGAATACCCAAACCAAAAGAAAGACAAATAAGGGGGTCCTAGATCAAATCAAGCCAGAACTTTTCCTAGAAGTAAAAGTGATCAAACTGAAACTAACATACTTCAGACACATCATGAAAAGGCAAATCCCACAGGAGAAGGCAGTAAGGCCAGGGAAAGCCAACGAGAGAAGCAGAAGACCAATAGGAGAGCATGTGATTCCATCAAGGAAGTCACAGCCTTGAGTTTACAGAAGCTGAACAGCGCTGTCAAGGACAGGACATTTTGAAGTGTACCATATGTTAGAGACAGCTTGACAGCACATAGCAATAACAAGGGAAGAGGGATATGATATTATGCATGGTGTGCAGGAAGTACATAAGGAAACATTGTCCTTTTTCTCCTATAATATTAGAACCAGAGTTCATTCCACGAAGCTGAATGGCCAGATGAAAGAAAATACTTCTTCACAGAGCAACTAGGTAAACTATGGGATTCACTTTCATAGAGTGTACTGATGGCCACCAATTTGGACAAACTTATGTGCGGGAAAGCTATGTTAGATGAGTAACTTTACTATACATTTAGACATTTTGGCTGTCATCATCAGTAGCTGTGATGTGTGTTATCTGTTGCCACAAGATTCTTGATGCTTTAGGTAATTTTAAGAGAACTTTTCTCATGGGAAAAATACTGATGGCCATTTCAATGTCATCAGTTAAGTCTGGTCCTTGAGTGACTATGCAAACACTCAAAGAATTTGAAGTTAACAATGGGAGATGGGTGTGGGGGGAGAACAATATGAACAAGAGTTGCCAAAACAACAACAATACTGAGATAAGAGCTGCTTACATTGGCACGCAAAGAAGTTAAAATGTTAAGACAGTTAGGAAGCAATCCTATGGCCTCTTGATGTTGTCTGGGTTTGGGGACATAGGATTTTTCAAAGCTGGAGCTCCAAGTCCTGTGACCTCAGACCTGGAACTCTAAAGTCCATCTCCTGAGCTGTTGCAAGAAGAACCAAGCCTGCTGCCTTTCCAAAGACACAACTTGGTCCAGGGGAGGAAGAAAAGGGACATGCAGGAGGTAGAAAGCTGGGCTGATGGCTAATGTTGATTCCTGCCCGTGCTCCAGCATCCTTACCTCCCCTTCCTGGTTTATTTATTTATTTATTTATTTATCGATTTCTATCCTGCCTTTTTCCTACAAAGGACTCAAGGCAGCTTACATCATTCTCCTCCTCCATCTTATCCCCACAACAACCCTGTGAGGTAGGTTGGGCTGAGAGTCTGTGACTGGCCCAAAGTCACTCAGTTGGCTTCCTGGCTGAGCGGAGACTAGAACCCAGATCATCTGAGTCCCAGTCCTGTGCTCTTAACCACGACACCACACTGGCTCTCCGATCATCTATATCATCTAGATGGCTGCAAATGGACACCTAGATGAACTGTATGGTACAAGGCACTGCTGTGGCAGAGATTGCCACCCCTTCCACTCCATGAATTGGATGCATGCGTGCCTTCAGCATCAGAGGTTTGTGGGTATTTGCAGCAGAGGGCATTGGATTACACCTTGCTGGGTGTCACCTGCTCAACCAAGGAGCTAAGAGAAGATTGTGACTGGCAAGCACTTCACACATCCCAGGGCTACACCAATTCAGTGCAACGGCTGAAATCATATGAGGCAGGTCAAGGCCAGGGTGACATGATTTTTCTGTGTAAGAATTTTAATTAGCAAAGAACCCAGTAATATTCTTAAGCTGGTGAATGTTAACAATTGCTACTGTTTGGAATTTATATGGAAAGGTAGCTTTTCCAACGATCCCTTTTCTCTTAAAGAGGAGATTAGACATTTATCGGATAGTCATCTACTACAACTATTGCAATCCTTCTAATCTTCTTAACAAGATGCTAAGGAGCATTAAGAACACTTTTATTACACTTGTGGGAAATAGTCCAACTAAAACGAACCCCAAAGCTGCTTATCTCCAGGCAGGGGCAGTTTGTTGTAGACTGATTCAAAATCCTCAAAAGGCTTCTAGAAAACTTGTGAATGGCATTGTTGAGGAATTAGTAGCAGCCTGGTGTTTCTTGATGGAAAAAGTGTGTGGCATCTGAAACTGCAAACTGCCAAGTTTTCCAATGCCCAACTTTCAATGCTACCATCTTGAAAACTGCAGAATTGCTCATCCTTCTAGATTTCTCAACTCTGCCTATCTATGGGTAGTATCCCATCACTGTTGCATTCCGGCTCATACCATTGTGCAAGTTGGACCCATAGATAGCACAATTTCTTGTGCTATCTAGTTAGTTTCTTGTAAAAGAGCTCTGGAAATGAGCAGAAATATTTGTTTCCAACTTGCGACAGGTCAGCAAAGCAGCTCTGTGAGCTCTGCTGACCTGCTCCATTCCAGCACTGAGCATTTCCAGTAGTGACTGGTTCCTTTATGCAGTGCTAGCTCCCGGCTGCACTAGCGGTGGGTCCCACTTGTGCAGAGAGCTCCACAGGGTGCTACTCCATGTTATGATAAAAATTGTGAGCTACACAGTGCTTCAGAAAGCATGAGAGGCTTCAAATATACAAAAAGAGCAAGGCTATATGTATTGTTTTCTGCAAACCCCTTTCTCTGAATTATCCAAACAGTGCCCAGGGGAAGTTGGACCTCAGAGTGCCCACCAATGCCAGGCCTTCATGGCAACAGGGCTAACACACTGAAATAAAAGATCTAGCTAAGGCCAAATCTCATACATATTTAGGCAAGAAAAGGCCTACAGAAAAAAGCTGGAAGCTGTAGGCTTTTTTCTGTTTAAATACACACAGTAGCAGGTTTTGCAGTGAGGACAACAGTTCCCCTGACTTATTTGTATGCCAGAAATGGCATGCATCATACCCCTTTAACCTAGGACAAATCAATGTATTACTGCACAGAAATTCAACTGCACTGTAATAAACTGCTGAAAATCCACACTCTGAATTTCATGGATTTATAAAAATAATGACAAATATGGCTGCAGGAACAAATCCATAACATTTTTGTTTATGAACTGATGCTAAGCATTCAAAACTCACAATGATGCTTGGGATGTTTCCTAGACAATAACTGATATGAAAAAATGGGTTGGTTCAACAGATAGTACAACCCTGAGTGTGAACATTGGCACTCATTTACCAAGGAGGTGGCCACCTAAACAAAATCAAACACAAAGTTGTCAACAGTCACACTCCCACATCTTTCTCCTAAAGAAAATCATCCAGCAGGGCAACGAAGGCCAAATCCAGATCAAATGGCTCCAGATAATCAGTGTGCCTCAAGACCCCCTGCAGCTGAGATGCCACCACACTTTTGAGCACCTGAGCCAGCTCAGTCAGAGATTGAGAGAAACCTCAGCAATGGGGCATTTGTGAAGAGATGATAGTTGGCATAAGGGTTTTTTCAAAACTGGTTGCACCACTGCCTCCTCAAGGCAGTAAGGACCATGTCGCAAGGACATATTCACCACTCCCTGACCCATCTGGACAGTCCCCCATGGCTAGCTCAAATAAGCAAAGAAGGGCAAGGCTCTAGTCATGACTACAGGGTGATTTCCCCCATATCCAGACCACCCTCTTCATGCTCAAAGACAAAAGCCAAATCAAGGGTATGCCCTGGGCTGGTAACAAATCGAGAGAGTTCAGGTTTGTTGGTTTGTTTGTCTACCAGATTTATATATTGCGGGGGGGGGGGGGGGGGTTACAACAAACTTAAAGTGGCTTACATCATTCTTTTCTTTCTCCTGCTGTCAATCTTATCCCCACAACAACAATCCTGTAATATAAGTTGAGCTGAAAGTCTGTGACTGGTCCAAAGTCACCCACTTGGCTCCATGGCTGAACAGGGACCATGGAGGCCATGAAGTTCTGAGCTGTTACGTTAAGACAGCCTCCACATAGATGTTAAGTATCCCAGGATAAGAGTCTCAGGTTCTCCTATCTGAAACCACCTCAGCTGGCTCAGACAGAGAGTCCATTGAGTAGGAATGTATGTAAATCCCCAATCTGCCTCTTTGGTCCAACATAAAATACAGGCCCTCACAGTGTGTCCCAGGGAGGAGGGGTTTCCTGGTAAGAGTGAACCTTTATGGATCATGGTGATTCCCCCACCCCCAGCCATCCAACCTAGACTGAGTCAACAGGTGGGCAAAACTGAGTCATGTCTGCGCCACCCAGCTTGCCCACTTAGGTCTCCATGATGCATGCCCGGTGAGGTTCCTTATCCATAACCAGGTAGCCCCTGAACTTAATTTTACTAGAATTTCCACTCTGACTATATCATCTACTATCTCTACTCTACTCTTTATCCTTACCTCTGTAAGGGTAGGTAAAAATGGAACTCTAGATGCTTTGAACTTAATTCCCAGCATTCTGGACAACTGGCCACACTAGGGGTTTCCTGACCATTGGCAGGGGTTTCTAGGAGTTAAAGTCCCAAACATCTAGAGATCTACCTTCAGCCCATGTATCAACTATGCCACATTTTCTTCACCTTATACCTTTGAAGTCTCCTGTCAGAATGTGGCCATCCAGAAAAAATGGACATGGTACAATCCAGGTTTACCTAGAAAGGAAGTGATTAAATGCAGGGATACCTTAATTTTATGAGCCTGATTCTTTTATGAATATGCTATGAACCAGGCTAATGTGCATTGAGGAAAGATCCTGAATATAGATTATTGATGCTACAACAGTAATTCATTTCACATTTTATTCTGCCCTTCATTATATCATATTTCAGGTTGACATACAGTATAAAGCAAATACAGAAAAAAGAAATGAAAAACATCTGATAAAGTCTCAAAACAGACTAAACCTGCTTGATGTGGTACCAAAAATACATGAAGGGACAACAGAAGGCCTGATAAAGGTGAGGCAAGAATGATGTAATGGAGGATGAATCAATAATTGAAAAGATGAGAAACAGAAGGCTTTACTGGCAGACATGGAAGACTGCCTGTGACTAAAGGAATGATATGGAAAAGGACATTGGAAGATCCCTTAAACAGAGAAATGAGGTGAAGTTTCCAAAGGTCTGTCCCTCCAACAGATCAGTCATAATATGTCTAGACCATTCCCCTTCTTGGATTATTTCCTTCATCAGAAAAAGGAGTGGTTTCTGGCTTTAATTCTTCACCAGTAATATTTAATATTGGACTTGGCTTTTGTGAAGCCGAGGGCAGAAGGAAACAACATCTGCAGCCCCAAGATGGTAATCCAGAGTCCTGCACTGAACAGTGGGTTGGACCCGATGGCTGTACTGGCCCCTTCTGACTCTACCACCCTATGATTCTAAGTTCAAGTCTCTTGGTTACTCAGGCCATTGAGTAAGTCTGGCACTAGGACCAAACTGAATCTGTTGCAGAAGATCCTGTGATTTAACATGATTATAAATAATAATAAAAACAATGACAATATGACTACTTTGAAGATCCAGGAAGTATCATCCTGGAGAGTATGTTTTTAACCTGTTCCTCCTGTGCCCTCACACCAGTGTAAATCCCACTCATTCCTACCACTGATATCCTTTGGAGATGGAGAAGACAGGCACAACACATGAATTCTCTCTCTTCACCAGCCCATCAGAACATTAGGGAGGGAGATAGCAAGTTACATCTGGGGAAGGGCACAAGCAGAAGGGATTAAACACCTACTACCAAAGTACCTATGTGCAAATCTTTGGTCACATGGGGCTGCCGATTAATAAAAAATAGTGAATAAAGCTGATAGGAATAAGATTGATGCATTCAAAACATGGTGCTGGAGGAGAGCATTGTGAATGACCTGGACTAACAATTGGATCCTAGACCAAATCCAGAGCTTTCCTAGAAGCAAAAATTAGGGTGGAGGGGGACCCACCATGAGACAGGCAAGACTCCCTGGAAGACAATCATTATAGAGAAAGTTGAAGGCAGAAGATGAAAGAGAAGATCAAATATGAGAAGGACTGAAGCCACAGGCTGAACTTGGAGGGGCTGAATGGAGCTGGAACGGACAGGATGCTTTGGAGGGCTTTCATTCACAGGATTCGTATAAGTCAGAGACAACTTGACAGCACATAACAGCTACAAAATCCAGGTGTTAAGGATGTGTCAGAAAGCCCCTTCTGGTAGTCTTGGGTTTAATGTGGTTGTGGCAGTGGATGGCCCTGCTTCTGAAATAATCACTTGCAATGCATTTCTGTGCTTTTGCTTTGCTTTGTTAATTTCTCTCAGCTCATGAGCATCAAACTGCCAGCCAGTCAAGTTGATATCTTGCAAAGAAACCAACTGGGTTATTGTACGGGCCATCTCCAAGACTAACAAGGCCGAAGGCAGAAATCCTTGCTCTCGGCTGAAATCTAAAAAAGTCAATTTCTTCAGAGTCAATAACTCCTGTAGAAAGGCAAGCCACCCATCACTTGTCATGCAGTTCTCTGCGATGTCCAGATGCTGGAGATCTCTCAGAGATGGCTTTGCAAAAAGCTTACCTAGAGAAATATTTGAAATCATAAGGTTCTAAAAAGTGATGATTCTGGACAGTATGTGGCATGCAGCTGTAGTGGCAAGCAAATGAATTTTCAAAATGTAACCTAGTGTCAAGGAGAACCCCAAACCCAGCCCTTCCATCAAAAGTCTCTGAGAGGTGCTTCTGAGAAGCCTGAGAACTATGGGGACCGTGTTGCTCCAACTCCCATGTTTTTGGTTTTGAATCTTGTAGGGCTTAGAGCAAAGCCTTCCATGTGGTGCAGCCATCATTGTGGAACATGCTTTCTAGGGAGGCCTAATGAGGCATGGGAAACATTTCTACCTTTTCAGGCATTTCAGTACTGGATGTGACTATTAATCTTGCTGTGATGTATTATGTATTATTTTTATTGTTTTAAATCAGCCATGCACATTGCCCTTAGTGTTTATAGTTATGGGAATAGTCCAGGCAATGCAGCCCACTAACAGTAACAGATTTCCACAAGACATTTTACAAGCCACTTGGGAGAGGCAATTGAATGCAGGAAAACTCTGCTGTTATCTCTGATTGGAGACTGTTTTCTTCATAATGGAATGCATTCCCCAGAGAGGTCCGCCTGGTGCCATCGTTCTTTGTTTTTCGGCGCCAGGCCAAGACCTTTTTATTTAAATGATATTTTAATTGTTAATTGTTGTTTTTATTTATTGGTTTTAAACTATCGCTGAGATGCTCCAAATGTTTAATGTTATTCTATGTTGTTTATCTTCTTTGTAAGCCGCCCCGAGGCTTTCTGCGATGGGGGCAGCATAAAAATGCTATAAATAAAGGGAGATAACTGTGAGGACTCCTCTAAAGGCCAACTAAGGACCCCCATGGGCCAGAGTTTCCCCATCCCCTTTCTACTGCAATGTGCAGGCTTGGTCATGCAGGGATCTTCACACACCTAAACGTGTGCAGCACCTCAGCAACATGTGCACAGCCTTCTGGATAACCTAGATATCAGCATTCCCCAACCTGGTGCCTTGCTGTTGCTTTGTTCTGCAGCTCCCAGCATTCCTGACTTTTGGCTGTGCTGGCTGGAGCCAATGGGAATTGAAGTCCAAAATATCTGAATGGTACCAGGCCAGAGAAGGCTGCCATGTGCTATCACGTTGGGTTCATTAACTATTTTCTTTATAGCTCTTTATTCTACTCGGCTGTGTACTTACCAAGAATCGCAGCATCTGAGTCTGTGATAGCCCATTTCTTCAGCCCGAGTGCTGTCAGTTGTGGCATTCTTGTTAGCTGTTCTAGCTTAACTAGGAAGGTGTATACTTCATCTGTCCAGGGGAGCATCAGCACTTTCATCTTGGGTAAGATATTTAAGCTATCAACTGAGAAACAGTGAGACAAAAATCATGCTGGCAATACAAAAACAGCTGTATTGTAATAAATAAAATAACGATAAACAGATAAAAGTGCAAGTATATTCATTGAGCATTCATTCAATGCTCATAAGTCCCCGAATGCAGAGCAGGAGAAGTGCTGAAAGTGCCCTTCAGTTCTCTGCTTCTTGCACCCTACAGTTTTGCTAGACAGCTGTTTTTTGTTATCTAGCTGAGATGCCTCTGAGGGAAGGAAAGAAGGTTGGAACACTGTCAGGACAGCTTGTACCATGGCAGCCTTGGATACTTCCCCTCTTCACCTACAATGCTCCCTTCAGGACTTTTTCAATGTTGTTTCCAAGAGCTTGATGAGAATTGGTGCAATTCTTTCTGCACAAGGAGGAAGGACAAAGTGGTCTCCTCAGCCTCAGATCTGAGAGCCCAAATTGTCCTGTAGCCTCCTAGATGATGCCTAGAGGCCATAGGAACACTCCCTCCATCGTGTAAGCACAGTTATTAGGCTGTTGCTTTGCTCAGCTCCCACTTTTAAAGAGGCAATTCTTTGGCATTTTTAATGCTTTGGACCACAGTAAGACAGGGAGGTGTTTTCTCATATAGGATAATGCTCATGGTATTTCCATGTAGGAAAATACAGCACTGCTGTGTACATTAACGCTTTATCAATGCAATTTGCTGGATGCACACGAAGTGTCCAGATACTGAGACAAGGTATCTCTTGATATAGCTTCAAGCAAAATCCCTTTCCATGAATGTAGTTTGTCAGTAGCAAATTCTTCATTATCTAAATATTCCCTGGTAAAAAGACCACTTGCAAAATTATCAAGATGTTGAACATCAATTTCCACCTATTTCTCCCAAGTCAATAAGTTTCCCATTTGAGGCTCTGCTCTGCATTGCATTATTTATAGAAATATTTGGTTTAGAGAAGGCTCTCCTAATCTAGCACCCTCCAGATGCATTGTAGCACAACTCCAATCATCCCTAACCAACATGGTCATGAGGAAGATGGTAGATCTAGTCTAACATATCTGGATGCACCAGGTTGAGGAAGACTGGTTGGTCCATTTGTGGAGTGCCCACCATGCAATTAGAGGCAGAAGGTCCCTGCCATCTCCAGATAAAAAGCATCTCTGATGGCCAAGCTGGGAAAGAAACCACTCAGACAGCCACATCTAGTCAGAGCAGGCAATACTTGGCTAAATGGACCAATGGTGTATGGCATTTGCATATGCTGGGATAGAGGTTTATCAGATACTCTCCCGCATTCTATATGAAGACAATGCCCAGGTTAACTGGGGCATGCTGGCAGTGCGGAAGGCCCTTTATCTGTCTAAAGAATGGTTTCTTGATTTTTCTGTCCCTAAGTTTATTGGTGATGCAATATAAAGATAGACTCCATTATAGCTTAGTGAGTAAGTGCTAATATTAACATTTTGGTTTTTACTTGGTAAATTATGGTGTTATCCTTAGCTATGTAGCTATCTCTGATAAAATGATCAACAGACCCAAGGTGATCATCTCCCAAAATATCAACAAATGAGAATTTCATCTGAACTAAAGACTCCTAACACATTATAATTTATTCCAAAGCATTATCTGGCCTCCTCATGAATAAGATGCGACAGTAACATTTAGAATACAATTCTGTACAAGTTCACTGCACCTTTGAGATGCACTCTTAAATAGGAAAAAATGCCTTCAACTCCCAGCATTTCCCCAAGAGTCAAGCTGGATGAGGAATGCTGGAACTCAGCAGACTTCTTTTCTGTTAACATGCATAGAATTGCATTTTTTTCACATTTTTCACATTTCATTTGGAGAAAATTTGCTTTCTTACCCAATCTGCAAAGAGGTTCCCTTCCAGCATCTCCCAGAAAATTATCAGATAAATCAAGTGAATGAAGCTTCGGTAAATTGCAAATATTCTGGACTATAAAAAATAAGTTTTAAAAATCAGTTAATTATGTTGTCTTTATGTACATAGGAAAGAAATGAACTGGGAAAATCTTCATCTCTAGTGTTTGCTCAGAAGACTGCTTGTTCTATTGATTATCTAATTCTTTCCTCCATACACCTCTGCATTCTCCATCAGCAGCATTCAGAAAGGAAGAGAATTCTCAGTGTGATGCCCAAGGTAAAAAGAAGAAAAATCTATATGGCCAAGCTAATTTATCTTAGGGCACCTTTACAATGCAGAATAAAACAGACTGTAGTGCAGTTTGATCCTATTTGTACATCAATCTTTGGTCCTTAAGCAATTATTTCATATGTTATACAGCACTAGAAATGGCACTATTGTACTGTTTAAAAATAAAAGAGAAGAAATCAGCAATGAAAGACCAACCCCACTACAATCACATTCACATACCATACTGGAAAATGCATGGGGCAATTTAGAGAGAGGCTGTTCAAGAAGAAACTGCTTGACAATTTTCCAGATAGCACTTGGCATATCAACTGCTCAGGGACAACAAAGCCAGGTAAACCTCCAAGGAAGAAATATGTCTTTAAAGGCTGAAGCTGCATTTTATTACACACACACACACACAGCCTAACAAGAAAAATTAGTCGGTAATTTGAACATTGTAGGAGACGGAAGAGCCACTGAAGAGCCAGTGTGGTGTTGTGATAAGACTCTTTGGTCTGAGCATCCAGAAGACCTGGGTTCTAGCCCCATTTGCACAGCTATGTAGGTAACTGGAAGACTTTGGTCCATTCATAGACTCTGAACCTAAGCTATCTCATAGGGTTGCTCTTGTGAGGATAAAATGGAGAGAAGGAGAACCTTGCAAGCCATCTTGGGTTCCTTTGCAAGGGGAAGAGAGGTGGGATATAAATGTCAAGTAATAATAATTGAGAACACATAGGATGAATATATTCTTTGATGCCATAGCTAGTGGTACAGACCATTGGTGGCTCTGGCAGACAGTGAGTGCAGGAAATAACTAAATAGTTGGTGCCAGGTGCAAAACCTGGAGTCACTGATCCAAAGGATCAGGCAGCAGAGCAGATGATAGGAAGTGGTTGTGCTTGAGGCTCTCTGGAGCTTTGCTAATCAGAATAGCTAATACTAAGCAAGAAGGGCAACTCATCTGTCATGTTCTAAAGCCACACTGTCTATCCAGAAGCTGAACACTTGATGAAGATTTAAAGTAAACAAATGTACAGTGCAAGGATAGACAACCTGATACCTCCAGATATTTTAGACTACTGTTTCCATATTACCTGACCATTGACCTTTCTGTCTGGGGCTGACGGGATTCCAAAACATCAGGCAGGTATCAGATTGTCAGCTCTGATTCAGTGTTTAGAATTTTGTTTAATCTGGCATTTGCAATTTTAATTTGCTTTCTGATTCTTGTACATCATCTAGAGAATTATTGTTACTGACCAGCAGAGAAACAGAATGAGCAAATTTAACAACTGCAGTAGTAACATAAGCAGTGCAAATACCTAGAATTTCCACAGCAGTCCTGGAGAGGCAGCAGTTGACTAGGCGAATTTCCTTCAGATCTCTGAGGCAGAAGGATATCGACTTTACTATATGTGTTATTCCATCTCTAATATCAGTAAGATTATTCAACCACAACAACTGTAGTTTTTTCAGTTTTTTTAAGCCTTCAGCTATAAACAAATTGGAAAAAAGTAAAGGTTTTAATCTATTTTTGATCATTGTTGATTACTGTTGGGACAAGTGCAAGCTACTTATGTAATTGCATCCTTGAATATGTAACCTTTTGTTTATACTAAACTTTATACATTAATATATAAAGCTCAATACACTAATGTTATAGCACTATAAAGCGAGGGGAATGAAAAAGGAGACAAAGGGATATGGAGCTTAGAAGGTTATATGCATGTATCAGTCAAAGTTCAATAAGGACAGTGGGCCAAACATTGTGAATACTATGATGCTTTCAAATAAGATTAATATTGCAGAATATTTTAAGAAAATACAAAGTTACCTAATTTTTTGGCTGCAGCTTCATTCATCCTGATGTTGTCAAAGGTAAGCTTTTCCGTATCGACAAGGGTGGGCATTCCATCAAGAAGACCTCCAAACAAAAGAGCATGATGGGTTTAAGTAACACAAAATGTGTATAACAGTATGGCATAGCATGAGTGTTGAACTTCTTTCAGATGCTCACAAGGACTTCATTCCAGTCATGGAAAGAATCAGAGACAAAAGGGCCCAAATTCCAAAAAACACCATCATATTCTAGCCAAAGATCTTACCTCCAGTAGCTAAGCTTTGAATGAGGAACGTCAACCTTTACAGTGGGGGAAACATAGAAACAAAGTGAGTCAGAACGGGCCTCCAGGGCCATCTAGTCTGACCTCCGGAACCAGCCAGCTCTGCTCACGACATGCCCACCATGTGCATGTCAAAAATATGGAATGCTTCACAAACTTGTGTGTCATCCTTGCGCAGGAGCCATACTAATCTTCTCTGTATCGTTCCAATTTTAGTATATGTGCTGCCAAAGTGAAAACATGCAAGGGGAAAAACATGCAAAAGCCTGGAAACACCAGAGCAGCCAGAGAAAAGGTGATAGAGCTGGGTAAAGAGGGCATGGCCTTCTGGGAATCCCAAAGAGCCATACTGGGATCAAAGACAGGCAAGAGGCTAAACACCTCTGAAGAATAAATCATGAACATTTACTGTATTTGATTATTATAACCCAATACTACCACCACATTGGTCAAGACAAGCCACATGAAAATTGCTCCCTGCTTTTACTGCAGCTGACCTGGTTACATCCCCATTACTTTGCAGCAGAGGGAGAGAGCAAACTGCAGTGCCACTCTACCAGCTCAGCTCCTCTACCTGAGTCATTTACATGACCATTATTAGAATGCTGAAACTTCAAAAACTGGTGCCTCCTTTTGCTTGTTTTCTGTTTCCTGCCTCCTCCTATTAACTTCTGTTGGAGTTGCTGTTGTCTTTTATATTCTAAATTTAAGGGCAGGGACTGTCTTGTTCATAAGCTGTTCTCAGAGCCTTTCCAAGTGAACAGAGAGAAGCTAAAAAGCACTTTAAATGAATCAACTATACTAATTAATCTCAGAATGAGCTAAAGCTTCTTAAGAGAGATGGAAGGAGAGAGGGGAAGGCTGTACATATCCTACACTGGTCTGTGGTGTAGAAATAGCTGTGCTGGCTGATAACAATGTGAGGAGATAGTTTTGCAGGATGCCAGTAAGCTGCCTAGTTGGTGGCCCTTGTATTTGAATCACAAAATACACATTGTTTGCCACGGTATTACCTACCCTCTAGACTTCCATTCTGTAGATCTTTTAACTTTATGGTTTTCAGGGCTATCATTTTGGTTATCTGTTGCTCATCCTCTGTTGTAAGAGGTGTTGAGTCCACAGTTAGGTCATGCAGGTTGGTACAGCTAGAGAGGACTTCCTTCAGCTTTCCAGTGAGGCCAGGACTTGTGCTGATATGCAGCCTGAGTCTTGAAGCAGAGCAGCAAATTTTTTCCAGATACTTAACATCACCTTTTTCTAATTTCTTAAAGTCTTTCAGTGTAATCTCTAAAGAGTTGAGCTTTCGTTCCCAGTTGAAGAACAAGGAGACTGCCTTTTCGGGGATGACTGTTTTCCACAAAGGCATTTTAGTTCCTGTCTCCTCTTTTGCCTCTCCCCAAGAAGAGCTGCCCCAAAAATCTAATTTGATGAATTCTAGCATGCTCACACAATTAGAGAAGTATTCAAAAAACCCACATATGTATGTAGGAATGCTCTGGGTATTTATGTATAGGGTTTTGCCATGGAAGAATTCCTCAAACTCCTCTCTCTCAGTTGTTTCAGAGAAACTTTCATAAAGAAAACTAATGGCACACTCCACAAATGAGTTCCCCAAAGTTGCACTTAATCCTTCTTCTCGAGCATTTCCTTCATTCTTCATGGGTTCTGCTTCTGACAATTGATCAGGGGAGGAAGGTAATACAAAAAGTTTGCCTTGATGATGAATGGTTGACAGATGATTGATAACCTTTTTACTAGCTTCAGATGATGATCCACAGGTATACAGGAGTAAACTGTAGTAGGTACTAATAACATCTGAGACGCTATTAATTTTTTGTAGGTAACTATATCCTCTTGTCACTTCTTCATTCCTATTGGATATCAATAGTCTGGAAAGTCTCCTGCCTGCAACGTATTCCTGAAAAGACTTATGAAAAAATCTGTATACTGCTGTTAGTTTCTGAGCTGCATACTTATGCATGAGGCCTGTAGTTAACAGGACCTGTTCTTTCACACTGGAGAAATCCTCAGGGTAGAAATTAACTTTGTTGTCAAAGACTCCATTTAAGGCTAAATCTCCACAGTGAATTAAGCTTAGGCGAAAGTGTTTATCAGGTATCTCTCTGGTTTTGTACTTGTTTTTCCCCACCAGCAAATCATATAGTGTGGAGAACAGAGTGGTTTGTGTCTGTGGATTAAACATGGTTTCTCCCATTTGGATGGCACAAGCAATAACCACAAATAAAGGGGTCTTCATTAAGTTGTCAAAGTGAGAGCCTGATCGCTGAAAAGTAGAATCTGTTCTCTCCAGCTGAGACAACAGGCCCTCTGCTAACTCAGTTCTCAGTACATTTCTAATTAGCTGTTTTGCACTTTCCTTAGTTAGATCACCTGTCTTAGCAATCAGTGACCCAAACAGCCTCAGACTGCTAATAGACTCAGTCCTTGTAGTAACAATGACTGTGTTTTTAAATTTATGGTTCTCTTTGATCAGTGATTCTATTTCTGGGCAATTCTGGGATTGGAATTCATCATAGCCATCTAATAGAAAGAGGACTTTTTCTCTTAGTGAATCAAGTAGCTCCATAAAGTCCTCTTTGCATATCCTGTATTCCTTTTTAAGAAGCTGCTCACACACGGTCTCATACAATCCTGTCTGAGCATCACTTAGTCGAATGAAGAAAACAAGCTTATATTTTAGCAAGGAAGGATAATCTCCATTAGCCCAGAGTAAAGCAATCTTCTTAAGGAGAGTTGTTTTTCCTTTCCCAGCTTCTCCTTCTATGATACAGGGATTTTTAAGTTCATCTAAAAGGGCATTTAAAGACAGCTGTCCTAGCTGGACATTATGGATGTCTTTCTTCCAAAGCAAGATATCAGTATAAGTCTTTGTCAGATTGAAAATAATATCAATTTCTCCTCCTAATGGATGAAACTGTTGAAATGATGGAAGACTATAAAAGTCTGTTAAATCCTCAACCAAGCAATTGAAGTCTTCTTGGGTCATTTGCCCAGCACCACCTAAAAGAAACAAAACCAAAAGAGGAATATGCAGGTGCAAAATTGCTATTGTGCACAGTAGATGGAAATAAACTAGAGAGGTGACTCATATTCATCTCATGCAAACCCCATGTTTGAAGTGTTAGTCTTTGGAGCCCTTCACAGCTTAGGACCAAGAACCTGAAGGACCACCTTCCTCCATATGTGCATAAAGATCTCAATGGAGGACCCCCTCTAGATGCCTTTTTAGATGCAAGTTCCAAACCCTTTTTCTACTACCTCCGCCTGCTGGCTGAAGAAACCTAAATCTAGGGTCAGCTGTTGCTGAAATAGACATTTGGAGCTTTCCTTCTTGCTGAGACTATTTTTCTCTGCAAATAAAAGCATGTGTTTGGTATAGTGCGGGATATAAGAAAACAAGCTTTGACTGAGGAAGTCATTGGTTTGAGGCTCAGCTCTTTCACTAGGTGGCTTTAGGCAAGCCTCTGCCCACCCACAACCCCTATACCCAGCAGACTCCCAGTCGACAAAACAGGAGACAATAATGCTGTCCTAGCTTATGAAGTTGTAAGAATTACAGCTATGTTCATCTGAAGGAACTTAGAGTCTCTGAGAAGTTCAGTGCAAATGCTAGGTATTATTTGTTGCAGAATAAGCTTTGTTTGCTACTACACGTCTTTGTGGGCATAAAAGGCTGCTTTTACAGTCCACCCATCTTTGATTTATAGGGTGTTACTTAAAGGGGTGTTTTACTTATGACTCAACACTTTAGTGCTTCTCTAGATAGTTCTCCCTTGTAGGCAACTAGTCAAATGGTAGATAGAGAAATATATAATCAAAGAGATTACATATTATTCAAGTAAAATCTTTTTGCTCAACTCAGAACAATTTTCTGCAACAGAAAATTGGATTTTATCTATCTAACAATAGGAAATAACACCAGTATATGACTAAAATCGAAGTTGTAATGATGGTCATAAAATCCCTAATATTTATACTGTTCTGGCTTGGTGAAAGCAGGGAAGAAAATACAGATGTAGAAGGTAAGTGTTTCAGATTCTCCTTGTCCTTCCCACAGGGAAGGTCTAAGAAGCCATCTTAACAGAACAGGCAGAGTAGGGCTAAATTTCCTGTAAGACTGAGCAAGTCTTTCACCTTATAGTAGAAATTAGTCAGTCATGAGAATTGTAGGTGTCGTATTTTTCTACTTACGATATCCTAGTAGATTCTGAAAAAGCAAAAAGTCTATTTTCTCCAGAGCTTTAATAAAAAATTCACAGGCTTTTTCACCCTTTTTCAAAATTAAGCGTATCAAAGCTCTTGCAGCATCCCGCCTAGTCTTCTGACACATGATGATATCTTGTTCTTCATCAGACAAAACAGATTGTGCAAAAAACTCATCAATAATTTGCTCGATAGTTGGCATCAGCATTTTCTGAATGAGCTGAACACTATTTTTCTGTATGAAATCCACTGAGGAGAAGGAATTCGTCACACCTGGAGCCAGTCCTGACATGTTCAAATTAATCTGTTCAATGATAAATTCGGGTTGGCTTGAATGCAGGTCAAATCTTTAACGTTTACCTATCAGAAATGTTTTGAGAAAAATAATGCTGATAAATTATTGGCTTATAAAATTGCTGAATAAATAAATTGATGCTTTCTAACAGCAGGTTTCAGCATAAGTATTACATAGTAATGAACTGGAAAACCACCTTGAATTTATAGCAATCTGAATTACCTATAAAGATAATATTCTTAGCTTTCCAGGTAAGGTAATATAATAATGAAGTACAGTTCTCTTTGCTAGTGAAGAAGATGAATAAATGTTGCATGCTCCTATAGCTCTATGGGAAATTCTACTAACTATAAGAGCTTTGGAGGCAAGTAATGCAACCAGTGTTGGTGGTTTTCCAGTGAAAAGAAGGAATATTTAGAGTATCCAGCCCCTCTAAAGAAAAAATATATAATTTCTGCATTGAGCACAGTAGATGAATAACAGTGGAGTCCTCTGCATGTGTATACTTAAGTAATTCTCATTTTGGTCAGTAGAACTTACTGTCAGTCAGGTTTGCATAGGGTTGCAGGAGGAGACAGCAATCTTATATGGGCATCGGGAGAGTCTGTTGTGCAGGAACCATATCTTCCTTAAACCCTCCAGGGTTTGCACTAGCCAAGATGTAAGCAGTGTGTGGCTATTTTTCATGCCCCCTTCATTTTTGCCAGTGGTTTGTCTTTTAATCCTCCTATCCTGCTGATCTTAATGGAGGAAAATGAAGTATATTAGCCTGAGGGCTGGCATACCTCTCCACTCTACTCCAGGGGCAATTCTGGGAGACAAGGGGCTTTGGATCAGGAAGATCTCAACATTGCCTGATCCACCTCTCACACCTGCCCCCCAAATTCTCTCCTTTTGCCCTTACTGCCATCAGAGCAGTGGCTTTGGGGCAGGCATGACTGTGGCACTTCCTGCTGCTAACCAGGGAGGTCTCTGCAAGCAAACCTTCCTCTCAGCTTGCAGGAGGTGTCCTGGTGCAGTTCCAGGGATGCTCTTGTTTGGACCACAGGGCTGCAGACGAAGTTGCTCTGAATAGTGGGAGAAGGAAAACTGGTATATTTTAACAATCAATACGATATCACATCTGTATTTTGCATGGAAATTACTATTAGAGATGTGCATTTCTCAAGTCAAGTCATACAAAAGGATATATATTTTGACCAAAGGTAAACCAACTTCATGCTATATATTTCTTTATAGTTAAATATGACCAATAAAGATATATGCATCAGAAAATGAAATGTTCAAACTAGCTGATGTACTTCCCTCTTGTTTCTGAAAGGAAAAATGTGTCAAAATATTTGTTTACAAGCTTTGTGATCTCTTAAAAATTACACTCTGCTACCATATGACCCAAACATCTTGTGGCATAATTAACTGCCAACCATCAAGGGCCACCATGGCATACATAAAAAAATCTCAAGGGCTGTCCTGCTAGGAGGCAAGAAGATGATAGCCTTCAGGCAACAAATAAAAGTACTCTTAGAGAGCAATCCTACAGTCCCTGGAGATCAGAAGGGGACCCTCTCACAGTTGCAGTGGAAAAAACCACAAAGAAAGTCTTATACCCAAAGTCTGTAGGGGGGGGAGGGGTCCAGTGGGTGGGGAGAGGAGAGGCTGGAATATAAGGAAAACTCCTGCCACGCTCCTGCTCCTGTGTGTCCTTGCTAGATGGGCTTAAAGGTCTGTCCACTGAAACACACACACACACACACACACACACACACACACACAGACACTCTGGATGGAGAAGCAAACATGATCGTTCCTCCTGCCCTGCTGGCAACAGCTTAGCAGATCTCTGAGTAAGAGAGAAGCCTCCATGTTTGGGGGCTTCCTTCTCATCATCCATAGCACCTCAGCCTTAAAGGGCAACAAAAACATTTGGTATATTTTTACCACCCAGAGGGGAGAGCAGAAAGAGACTGCCTTTGCCCCAGGCACCAAATTATTTGGGGCCATCTCTGAAATCTTCTACTTACTGGCTCATGTAACAGGAACTCGAGGGACTGAATTCATTGGGTATGTATGAAGGCTTCAGCTCATGGCACTCCTGAATTGAAGCAATAGGCAGAGCAACCTAAAGGACTCGGGGAGGGTGTCCCAGGATCTAGCAGATTCCTCCTCCTGATGCAGTCACTCCTAAAACCCAGGGAAGGGGAATAATCCAGTGTTGCCCCCACCCACTGCAGCTGCCTTGCAAAGTCCCATGCCTACTGTTGAGACTTTGGGTGACCTCCGAGAGCTATCAGGAGCACAGTCAAAAGCTGCAGTCTTGTGTATGCTTGAGAATAAATCCCCTCAGACTATGGAGGAGGCTGCACATCAGTGGCTTGTAAAGAAGAACACTATCAGACACCTTCAGCTCCAACGTTCTTGTTTCCTCCCCAGGAAAAGCCAAGCAGGTCTAGTTCTCTGTCTCACTCTCAGTGGGGACAATGGAGACAAGAAGCCACAGGGGTCCAGGACTGGGAGGGAGCAACAACTTGCCCCATGGGGGGTGGGGTCATGTCCTCCTCTGCTGAAGTGCCTGTACGTGTATAGATGGCTTTTGCCCCCTGTCCCACTTTCGCAAGACAATTTACAGGACCCAAACAGAAATGGTCTTGAAAATTTTTAAGACACATTTTTTCCAAGAATCCCCATCTCTAGTTACATTTATTCCAAGAATGCTAATCTAAAGATCATTGCCTAAGCATGTTTGATATGTTAGAAATAAATTAAGACAAAAGCAAATTTACCTCCTTCCAAGTGCTGTCAGGAAATAGTTTCATCAAGCAAAAGCAATTTTAAGTTCCTCCTTTGGGTGGTTTCATTTTGACATAGTTGCATAGTTTCCTTTTGCAAAATGTGTTGTGCAATATCCTCCCATTATCAGCATGACTCACATGATTGTGCACAATGGACCATTTAAAAGAATAAGGAATAATTGCTTCCAAGAGGAACAAGTCAATTTAGCTTAGCTGTTTCAGGATGGCCAGGGAAAATGTTGAAAGATGTTCTCATTCATTAATTCATTTAAAATATTTTAGGGCTAAGCTCTCACAAAGCAGCATACAAATAGGAATGACAGAATGTACAATTAGGAAGACTGGATGAGTGCACCATTACCAAAAGAAAAAATGCAGTACACCACACAAACCATCTACATTCTTAGAGAAAGGCCACGGTGGGGGGGGGGGGGGACGGGACAGTTTTCCAACACCTTCTTAGAGGCCTGTATTTGAGATGTTAAATGTAAATCAACTGGAAGAGTTTCACAACTTTGGGGCTACCACAATGTAGCACTGCCCCTTGAGCTTAGCAAGCTAGCTGACTTTACAAGCTGGACTTCTGAAGCCAGCCCTGAGTGTATTGGTAGGACCATATGGGTGACCTTAATCAGAGATGGGCAGAAGTAGATCAGTATGGGTACATCTCTGGGTGATCTGCAGTAGATTGGCAGGGATTTTGGATCCCAGTTGTTTAATATTAACCCTAAATTATAACTTTAAAAGAAGAAAGTCTGATGTAATAAGCAGTGGAAAAACTGTGAACACCATTCACTTTTGATAGGACAAATTATTGGGTTCCAAAGATCAATCAAACTTTGGTTGATAGTTCTCAAGGAATGACAACCAGTGTAGTGTAGTGGCTAGAGTGCTGGACTTGGGATCTGGAAGGTCTGGCTTCTAATCCCCATTCAGCCATGAAGCTCACTTGATGACTTTGGGCCAGTCACTCAGGGTCAGTCTAACCCACCTCATGAGGCTGGTGTTGTGAAGATAAAGTGAGCTGGAGGAGGACTATGTAAGCCACCTAGGGTCCCTTGCAAGAGGAAAAAGGTGGGATATAAATGCAAAGTAATAATAAGTCAAAACCAACACAGTTCTTGCAAGCTTGAATTTGGTTCACTTCTGCCTTCATATAAACTGTTTCCAAGCCCTTTAGAGCCTTAAGGGTTAAATCCAGCTTGTTTAGTTGAACATGTAAACATGCTGGTAACAAATGCAACAGTCTCCAAAATGATTTTACACATTCAGATTTTTTTTATGGGGAAGGGGATTTGAATGCAGTGAGCTTTTGCACAAAGAAAGGGTTCCATGCCAACTTCCAGGGGAGCCCTCTGTAAAGCACTTGTAAAGTAATGGAGATATGGCCCAGCTGGTATACAAGTGTGCACTGGGGGACTTGTGCTTTTTTTTTTTTTTCTTCTTCTCCAGAGCACATTTCAAGACTTTATTGTAAAGCAAACTTCCTTCTCTAGAAAATTGCTACATCTACCTCTTCCATCAGAGCGAATGCAACATTTTTGACATAGAGTTTACAACCCTCAAGATCTCAAAATACTGCAGATGTAGACCTAAGTATGGAATTAGAAACACTAAGTTACAACATGTTAAAGGGAAGCTATAAACCCATCCAGCTTTTTGAGAGCTACATTCTAGTCACTGGTTCATGTATAGAACTTCCTACTAAAAGTCAAACATTCTGTATCCAGAACTTGGAACATCTCATGCCAGGTTGTCAGATGTCTCATGCTATCTGGCAGGTCTGTCCAGCACAACAACTTTACTGTCTAGTCTCTGCTGTATCCTTAGATGCTTTCAGAGCCTTTGATCAGGTGCAATGGGCAAGACAAAAACAGCTTGCGACTACTGTGTGGGCTGGGGATACCTCAGTGCTCCTATGGTGTCCCTTTCGAATCCTGCAGGAGGGCAGAGGAGGTAAGAGAGGGGGAGCCACCTCCAGCACCACAAAGTACCCATCTGTTGGGCACAAAGTGGCCCCCGGGGCCAACCAGTCACTCTGTATGGCTCCTTCCACACTATGCCATGGCACCTTGTGTGAAGCTGCCTCATGTGTCAGTAACAATGCCTCTGTTGGCTATAAAAAATTTTGTTGTTGTTGGTCACGAAGTCGTGTCAGACCCATCACAACCACATGAACAACATTCCTCCAGGCCTTCCTGTCCTCCACCATCTCCTGGAGTCCACTCAAGCTCACACCAACTGCTTCAGTGACTCCATCTAGCCACCTCATCCTCTGCTGCCCCGTTCTTCTTTTGCCATCTATTGTTCCCAGCATTAGGCTCTTCTCCAGGGAGTCCTTCCTTCCTTTAGATGGCCAAAGTATTTGAGTTTCATCCTCAGTATCTGGCCTTCCAAAGAGCAGTCAGGTTTGATCTCTTCTAGGATTGACCAGTTTGATTGTCTAGCAGTCCAAGAGGGTTCACAAAAAATAGTGCAACGGTGTCCTCTGGTGGTGTGAAAGCAAGAGTCATCTAAAGGGTAAACAAAGAGGGTAGCAAAGTTGCACAAGAACTCACAAAATATGAAGCCAGAAAAAATATTAGTACTCTTAAAGTAGCCAGAAATAGCACTAGGCTTGACTCCAGATTTACTAGTACTTCGAGTAGACCCAATTAAATCATCAGAACTTTTGTTAGTCATGGCGCAATCCAACGTCTAAATCTGGGCAGAAATGGGTAAAAAAACAAACAAGAGGAGCAGAAATTCCATTGAAATATTAGATTAGTGGTTTTCAACCACCAGTCCGTGGACAGGGGCCGGTTTGTGGGAGATTTCTTGTTGGTCTGTGTGTGTGGGCGGGGGGGGGGGGGGGGGGGACATCCCACTCACCAAGAAATGGAGTGGGGTTGGTTGTGCTCCACCACTTCTTCCTCAGTTGGCAACCAATGCCACCAGGGTCGGGGCAGGGAGGGGGAGTAGCCAGCTGGGAGCCACGCTGCACCGAATGGTATTTTGTTCTTTTGCTAGCATTTCTTATTGCTTGATTTCTGGTTGTTTGGGAGAATTTTCATTTTTTGGTTTTGTGTTTGGAAACTAATACACAGAATACTGTATTGTGTATATGCTGCTTTTTGTTTCTGCCTCAGCTGTCCACGAGGTGGTTTGGCAGTCTTCGCTGGTGCCCAGATGTGGAAGGTTGAAAACCGCTCCGTTTGATAACCCTCCCCCACGGAAGGCCACAGTCCCTTACGAGCTGCATCTGCAGGTGGTGTTTCCCTTGGAGAGCAAACCAAAAAAAAAAAAAAAGATGGGGAGAGCTTGGAGTTTTAGTGGCCGAAACCAACTAGTTCCGCTCTCACTTTTCACAAAGTGGGCGTGGACAACAACTCTATTTCCTCCTTCCTCCCCCTTGCCCCGATGTAACCAATCATTAGGCAGGATGACTACACTGACCAATTAAATTTTGTTCTAAGGTAGGAAGGACCATGGCAAACTGGAAAAAAAAATCTGTCAGCCAATCCAGAAAGACTTTACAGAAGCCCAATCGGAAGGCCGGTGTCACTGTTGTCCCGCAGCTTGTCACTCAGGAGGAGGTGGCGGCGGCCTCCGCCTCTTTGGGTCGCTGCTGACGGGCTGCCGGGTGGCCCCGCTCGATCGTCCGCTCGTTCTCCGACGGGGCTTTCGAGGCCCTACGCGGGCGGGGCGATGCAGCCACCGGGTGCCCAACAGCCCGCTCCCCCGCAGCCGCCACCGCCGCTGCTCTACGCGCCCAGCAACGGGGATTTCACCTTCGTCTCCTCGGCCGACGCCGAAGGTAAAAATGAGAAGGGGTCGCGAGAAGTAGAGTCGTTTCTCCCGCCGGGAGCAACTGGGTGAAAGGGGATGGCCGGACCGGCAGGGCTGTTTGACCCAGCGAGCTGATCCCGTCTGGCTTCTTTTTTCTGCTGGCTGTAGAAAAGGGACCCATGTACAAACTCCGCCTCTGAGCCTTGGTGGCCCAGCCTGGTCTGCGTGGCAGAGGCACCTGCGTGGAAGTGGGGTGGCTGGATTCGGGCTTGGTCCCGGGAAGGAGGGCGGGAGAGCAATTTCGGGTGGGGGAAAAACGCGCAGGTTTCCGAGACACCCTGAATAGTCACAGGAACAAAGTAAAAAATACGGGTGATGATGAGAGTTGAGGAATGTAAACACTGCGGGGCAGTTTTGCTTTTTCCCCCCGTTCCTTCTGCTTCTTATTTATTATATTTATATCCTTCCATTTTCTTTCACAGACTCCAAGGCAGCACCTCTTTTTCTCCATTTTATTCGCATGTCAGCCCCGTGAGGGAGGTTAGGTTTAAAGTCATTTATTGAGGTTCAGGCGTCTGGATCTCCAGAGTTCTCGACCAGCCCTCTAACCACCTTAGCTCTCTCACACGCATACACTTAATGTAGTAAAACAGTTGTCTAAATTATCAAATCTCTACATGTAAAGTAGCCGGATGTGCTGGGTTTTTATCATTCTCAGCTGTCCTGGCCAGTAGATTGGATGGGAGTTGTAGCCTGATACAAGGATGCTAGAAATGTGCCGGTGACACCCCTTTAATATGACTGATTAGTGCATGCAGGTTTGGGCAGGTGGGAAAATGGTTGTGTAAATGGGCTCTATTCTCCCTTTTTTCACTTTACTTGGTATTTAAGGCTGAGATGGTTGACATTTATGTTCTCAAGGAACACTGTGTTCTTTAGAGTGGACTACTAAATTGAGAATAGCTCAGATAAGCATTTTGTTGGACAGCTGTTTCTGTATCTACTGTGCATACCAATGGAATTTGTTGGATTGGTCTGTTCCATTGAAGTAACATTTTAAAGCTTGGAGTACATCCTGAGATTGGGAGATTTGTTTGTCATGTGACTTAATAGAATGGTTGAAGTGTCATGGTGTGACAGTGTCATGGCCTGGAGAAAAGGATGAATATGTACTTAAGGAATTTAATGCAATCATGGCAATCTAAACTTTTAATATGGTGGGAATGGCAGGCCCAGCATACTCTCTCTTGATTGGAATTCATAAACAGCTTTCAGCTACTTGTATCTGCTAGTGCTCCTCAGTAATATGCCACTTTGTATGTGAAGTGGAAACAAAATGTTTAATTCTGTGTGAGACAATTATCTTTTGTAATGAAAACAGCACAAAGTCTTGTGGCATGTTAAAAGCCCACATACTGATTATGGTATAATTTTTTGTGATCTTCTGCCCATATCATCTAATGTCCATTTTTTGTCCTGATTAAATAGTGTAGGTATACATGGAGAGGTGCAAGTTGTGGTGAAATTGTAAACAGTGAGGTCAGAGGGAGTTGAAGTGGAGAAAGTACAGTCAGTCTTATTTAGAATGGCCATTCATAAAATATTTTTTGGAAGGTAATACAGACATCCACTACATGTGCTAATCAACTCATCTTTGTAATAAGGTAATTATTGCTCTTTGTGCTTTCTAAATTTCAGTTCCTTCTGCACTCATTGATTACAAGTCTACCTCCCCCAATCTTGCACAAATCATGTGTGGATAACTTCTTACTTGAGGGTAACATTTCATATGTATGCTAAAGTGGGCTACAGTATACAAGAGCTCATTCTGTAATACATTTGTCAGTTTTTAACATGCCATAAATCTCTTCATTTTTGCTGTAGCAAACTAACATAGCTATCTGAAAACTTCTAGTTACTTTCCCTATGGTTTTTGTATGCTTAATTTTTAACCATATGGCTATCATAAGCAAACATTCTAGATTAGGAAAACTATATTGATCTGGCTTCTCATATATGTGCCCTATTCCTTGTCAAGATCTGAGTGGTTCAATAGACTCTCCAGATGTAAAGCTCAACCTTGGAGGAGGAAGTGGGGAATTTATCAAAGAATCTACTGCAACTACATTCCTGAGGCAGAGAGGATACGGTTGGCTTTTGGAAGTAGAAGACGATGACCCTGAAGATAATAAACCTCTCTTGTAAGTCAACATTACTCTGAAATTCTTTGCTTAGTTCTGTATATATATGAAACAAATATAAAGCTTGTTTCAAAGCATGGTCAATCTTGTATAATTGGAAAAAAGGATGCAAATGAAAAATCACTAATTTTTAAAATATTGACATAGATATCAATCAAGGTATCTCAATTAAATTATTCTTGAGTCTTATTCCTGAGTCTCATTCAAGAAGTCTTTTTACATTATAGATAAATGTTTGAATTCAAGACCCATCAGTTGTTATAGCATAGGAGAATATTAAATTCAGCTAATATGTCCACAGATTAAAATACATACACATGTTCAGTAGAAAGGCTGTATGGGTGTGATGGAAAAACAAGTTAGTCTTTTAAATGGCTGGAAAGACACATGATGCCAAATCCATGTGTGTGAGGTGGGGTAGCACATGCATCTTCTGTAGCCGGCCATCCACTGCAACCATCCCAACTCCCAGCTAAGACAGTCACTCCAGAAGAGACTTGTCCTGAAAGTGCTAAGCAAATATATTAAAGCAGACTCTGGACAGGTCTACAGTATCCTTGGGGCATCCATTAGTTTTTCTCCATACACACTTAAGCTGCCTCCTATTTTGTTTCATTTTTATTAGCTCCGGGGTATACCATGGAACTGTACAAGGTATACCCAAGAAGGCACTCAGGTGCTATTGTGTCAACTGCCTGGATTATCTTTAACAGACTGGTAGCCTTTTCTGCCTTCTGTCATGCTTGCAAGCTCCACTCATACACTCTCACCAACCAATCATCTTACTCACTCCTACCCCTTGTTTACCCCGGTCCCCCTGCCCGCCCTTCTGAAACTTACCAACATTTAAGGGAACACAGTCTCATAAGACTTCACATCATAATGCTATCCCCATACCTGGATTTAAAATAAAAAAATCTAGAGTGCACCCTGTTACATGTGTTGGGGCAGTCCCATGGTTGCACCTGAGTTTATTAAATCCTGAGCTGCGCCAGCTGGGTAGTCGGATGGGAGTGGGGGTATGGGGCAGGGAGCATTCCTCCAGCCCCCTGGGGCTTAACTACCATGCTTCTGGCCCAGCAGTTGAGGCCTGCCTAGGTGTCTCACATTCCAATCAGTCCTGAAGGCAGTAATCTTCTCCAAGAAGCAGGGGGACCAGTCCAGCAAAAACCAACTGGTGTTTGTGGGGGGAATTGCCTGGTAGATGGTAAAATGCCAGCTCACTTTTTTCCTTGAAGAGTGCCCCATTTGCTAGGTAAGGCACCAGGACTTGGTTGGTGCCAAATTTAGTTTCATTAAATCTGGTTTTCCTATTGCATTCAAACCAGGAAACATGGTTGAAACTGAACACTGGTTTTTGACCCAACATAATACTAAGTCAAGATTTTTAGCAGTGAACTAATGTTAACAGAAACCCTTTTCTAGTCATGCAGGAAGGTAAGGTAAGTACATGAACCTGTTTCATTTGTGCTTGTTGAGGCTTGCTCATGTAGCACTAAAGCATGTCTGGACTGAGCCACTGTAATGAGAATGCAAATATGTTTGAATGTTCTATATATTTTAAGCAACTTAGTAAATTGTATTATGCTTTATGGTGTTCAAACAATTTCAGAGGCATATTATGAAAATTCTATTGTTTAATTTTAGGGAGGAGTTAGACATTGATCTGAAGGACATATACTACAAAATTCGATGTGTTTTGATGCCAATGCCTTCTCTTGGATTTAACAGACAAGTAGTAAGAGATAATCCTGATTTCTGGGGCCCTCTGGCAGTTGTCCTGTTCTTCTCAATGATCTCATTATATGGGCAATTCAAGGTTGGTAAAGGGCTTTAACTTAAAAATAAATAAATTGCTGGGCTATGCCATGGTCATAAGCAGCTGAAAAGTATATTTCTTAATCTCATATACATCTCCATATATAAGATTGAAGTAAATTACTAAGGAAAATAATGTTAGAATTTCTTTTTTTAAAACCTAGCAGACCTATTTTCATTCCTATGTTGTGCTGCTAGTTTTTCTAATTAGCAGAATAAACTTGTGACAGTTGTACATTCTGCTGTTGCTTTTTAGCAGCTGATATTGAGTAATATATGGCATTTGAACATGGAGATTCTATAGAATCATAACTAGTAGCTACTACCTGTAAGCTGTGTTTGCAAACTTCCAAATTGCTTTCACTAATGGCTTTGAAGCTAGAAATCTGCAAATACCCACAGTGCTTAGTCTGCAGTGAGATCCCCATAGCTGCATGCACAGAACTGCAGGACTAGATTGCAGCAGTGACATTTCTGTTAAGTCACAAGAATGTATTTGACCTTTTCCCACTTTTTCCCTTATATTAAAAAAGCCAATAGATAACTTTAAAATGCCAAACCAAGATTTATTGAAAATTAGTCTTCATGAAAAAGAGACAATATTGACTAGACCCTTTACAAATTTCTTAAGGTGGTATCCTGGATTATAACTATTTGGATATTTGGATCCTTGACAATCTTCCTGTTGGCCAGGGTTCTAGGAGGAGAGGTAAGAATCTTGCAAAAGTAAACTTGGTTTCTATACCTGACAGTATAGTGCCACTATTAGTTAGTGCACTGCCCACCCCATTGCCCAACAGTCTACTTCAGCTTGCCGGGGTGGTGTCAAGTGTAATGTTAGAGTACTCACCCAGGTTTCTGTTCCTGGGGACTCAACATACAGGCAGAGGCAACTTTGTCAGGTGTGTCTCAGAGCTCCAGGGCAATCATAGGTCTGTTCTAGTTGTTATCTTGACCCTGTTCATTTTGGACAGGCACACTTTGGATCAAGTGTGCTGTATAGGGATTATAGTGATCTGGGGATGGAGGAACTTTTTAATGTCCATTTGTCACAGGCAGGTCATTATCTGGTGGAATTTCGAAATATGAAGACTCTTAGCCTGTGCAGAGTAAGAGAACTGATGAAGGTGAAATGCTCTAGAAAGCTGCTTGATCTGGATGGGTTTCTGACAGCTCCTGAATAATTTCCTCACCTCGCACGCACTTCTATCAAAGCTCTGGTTGAACACTAAAATAGAAAAATGACTTGGGCAGTTGACACAATTGCTGCGCAGTGGTCTCTGTTGCTGAATAGAGCCAAGCAAGCTTCCTGGTTTTCCAGGGAGCTTCAGCAGTGTAATGAGTAGGACAGCAACTACAATAGTGTTGACAAAAACATGAACAAGTCCAACCATTCACAGGCTAAAGCATATTTGAAAGCCTGGTATGTGGTAGAGAGAGCAGCAATTAAATTGCCAAATTGAGAGTTGCACAGAGGAGCATTTTCAGGAGGTAACACAGCTATTCAAAAAAAGAAAATGTGAACCATTTGATATTCTATGTCACTCACTTATGCAACAATTTGCATTTGCACTGACTTGGAAGTTGTAGTAACTGTGGGATAGTTGCTATAGGTCTAGTGCCCTTTGTATGTATGTATGTATTTATTTATTTATTTAAAACATTTCTGTGCCACCCCCATCGCAACAAAGCCTCGGGGCGGCTCACAACATTCATAAAAAATAATAATTTAAAAAGTGGTACCATCTCGGTTATATATATTAAAATCTATAAATACAATAATAATAAATTAACAGTTAAAATAACTTTAAATTTGTAGTCTGTTTATAGCAGATGCTTTCAATTTGTGCATCCTGAGAATGTGAAATTTTTGCCATTCCTGGTTCAAAAATTGGCCAGTGTATGGGACACTGGCCAAGAGGGTAAGAGTAGTGGTGGATGCTTCTTTATGGAAAGGTATGATTGTCTATTGAAATACATTTGAGAAGCCAACTTGAATAAATTTTAAATTGTTTCTAGGCAGGTGAATTTTCATTGTTGCACAATAATTTATGATCCAGTCTGAAACTTGATCTAGAAGAGCAGTGTAGTATGTATAGAGTTCCCATGGGAGACTGAGTTGCTGGAAACAATGTATGTAATATTGTTCATTTCATATTTGTAGGTTGCATATGGCCAAGTTCTTGGAGTTATTGGATATTCTTTACTTCCTCTTATTGTAATAGCACCTGTGCTTCTGGTGGTTGGATCATTTGAAGTTGTTTCAACTCTAATAAAAGTAAGTTCAATATTATGTTTGACAATAAAAGAATGCCAATTATTCTTTCCTGGAATGAAGTATGTCTTTCCTTTATATAAGCAACAAGTATTTTGTGAGTGGGTGGGTGTTTCTTACAGTGTGAGTCATGATTTCTCAGCTAGTCTATATTTGTCAAGTATTGTTGAAATCCTTTGTAACAAACAGTCACATAACAGGACCTATAGATTTCTGAATTCAGATTATGACGACTACACTACTCAGCTATTTGGACCATTGCAGCAGAGTTCCTCTGCAACATCAGATTAGTTAAGTCAAAGGAATTTTTAGAAATATAAGTTCATTATGATATCAAAGCAGATTATTCAATAGCATCAAGAGGAAAAAGTCAGTGAGGAGAGAGATTAGGTCCTTGAAATATGTTTGACATGTTCATCACCCTTTGCATCAAATCCAGCCCATAAAAATACTTAAGATATTGCCCTCCAAATGCTTTGGTACCCAAAGTTCAGCATGCTTGCATTGGCCATGCAAGCTGACATCCAAATTAGCTTGAAGGTACCTAATTGAAGAAGGCTTATTCATCATTTTTACAGCTTTGTATGTTTTTAAAACTTAAAGTAGCTAAATGAAGCTGGGCAAATTGTTGGGAGTTACAAAATTAGTACTTGAATTCATCAGTTTCTAATGGGAAGGCATGAAAGATTTGAAAAATGCTTCACAGTATTACTATTGTATATTGAAATATGCACATTTCTAGCTAAATAATCTAAAAATATATGTGAAGTGGTATCTGTAAATATTGTGATAGAAATGTTAAAGGAACTTAATTTGCCCTGTTCCATCTGCTGTATAACACCATTCCAATGCACAGTTATTTGGGCTGATGTAGAAGACTTGGCAATTACAACTTTCATACAATATTTGAGTTTGTGAAAGGTTTCACATCAGTTTTCTGATGCGGTTTTCTTAACTGAATGAATCAGTTGTCAGAGGTACCCATGCAAACTGATTGCTTTTTCAAAATGATAGTAAATGGCATTTAGCAACCAAAAGGTGGCAAGAATAACCCGTTAGAATGCCTGACTTTCCAATAATGTAAACACATTTGCTTGGTTCTTCTGATGTTAGCAAATCCTGATTTAAAGTCATTGTACTTAGTCACAACTTGCTTTGTCCATTTCAGATATGCTACTCTTTGGGGAGCTTAGGGTTCCTTTCTGTGATAACATTCTATCTTTTTATTTTTGTCAGCTTTTTGGAGTTTTTTGGGCTGCATACAGTGCTGCTTCCTTATTAGTTGGAGAAGAATTTAAAACTAAGAAGCCCCTCCTGATATATCCCATCTTTTTATTGTACATTTATTTTTTGTCCTTATATACTGGGGTGTGACCAAGTCAAACAAGAACAATGTCTTGCTCACTATGAAGACTGATGAAATGTTACCTGATTGAAGAGAGAAGTGAGTGTGTCATGTCTGGCTGTCAAGTTTTCAGTGGTAACCCAGTTATATCTATGTATATTATTTAAGCTGTTTTAGTTACATTAGAGATTTATAAAAGAGTTTTAGGTTTAAGACTATGTAGATTTTTATTGAGCAGATATAAGAATATTGTGTGTTTATAACTCAAAGTTGCAGGATAACAGCTTGATAACTGTGCCAAAAGCACTAAGAGGATATGATTGATGTGTTAAATTGAAGTGGAATTCTAATTAATAGTAATGGTTCAAAGTTCAATTCTTACATTTGAAATTGCAGATTCTGTACATATATTTATGAATCAGTCCTAAAGATTGTTCAGACAACCAGTACACAACTGTGACACTTAATGTGAGTGCCTTGCACACACTGATTTGGCTGTTGAGTCATTAAAGGTCTGACTTTTTAAGAAGGGTGTTTATGTCAATCATATTTAGGTTTACATATTTCATTGTTAAGAGGGTTTACAGATTCCATAACAACATGAAGAAACAACTGTTTGAATTAGTCCTTGGTTTTTAACAAACTATATGTATGCCATAGGAAAATATTCTTTAATAATATTGATTTTGAAATTTCCACAAAAAAAGCTGCTAGGGGTTTTTAACCTCCAGCTTTTATGGTAGTAGTATTAAGTGGGGAGAACAGTTTAAATCAACCTTATGATTCTGAACACTGTCTTACGATGGAATAAAAATGCTTCTCCAAAACTGTACTTGTTTGTATAATGCCTTGTTCTGCTATTTTTACATAATACTAGTCAACCTGGGGTGGTATACTAATTTGGAATGGTAAAATGATGCTCTTAATAAGGTCTTCATTCCTTAAGAACAAGAATTACAGCATTTAACTTTGATTAACAAAGTTAAATTTGTGTTTTGATTACTAGGATTATTATTACTTGATTTGATGATATTACTGAAATTGCCGTTTAAGATTGGTGCAAACTATCTTTCCCAACAAAGCAAATTTATCTGACACATTTCTAAAGGAAATGTTTGTTTAGTGTGCTTTGGTATTTCCAAATCAAGTCCACCTATGGAACTGTATGGACATGAGCGGACTCATGCATGTGTCTATTTTTTTCTGGATTGGGAATCACTGGCATAAACTGATTATGTATCTAGCTGCCTATCCAAATAAGGATACAGTCAGCACTTGAATTGGTTTGTATGGATGCACTTTGGAAGCACATTCCCACTCGCATAATTGGTAACTAGACTTGTGTTAATGTCTTGTTTAGATCACGAGCCCTTGCCAATTGGAACAGCTGGGGGAAAATGAACTCTAACCTTGTAAAACACTAGATACATTACCAAACTGGTTGTGGGAGAAAACAGGATTTTTCATAATTAAACAGTTAATCTAAATTTGATTATACTCTGTTCTATAGAAGCGATTCAAAATGGATTATTTGTTCTAATTGAATTGAATTGAATTGAATTGAATTGAATGGAAACAAGCAGTCATGCAGTGCTTGCCAAGTTGATACCTCATGTACAAGTGCTTGTTGTTGTTGCTAGTCATGAAGTCGCGTCCAACCTATCACAACCCCATGGACAACATTCCTCCAGGCCTTCCTGTCCTTCCCCATTACCCACTGTCAACCTAAGCTCAGACTGACTGCTTCAGTGACTCCATCTAGCCACCTCATTCTCTGCCGTCCCCTTCTTCTTTTGCCATCGATTGTTCCCAGCATTAGGCTCTTCTTCAGTGAGTCCTTCTTTCCTTTAGGTGGCCAAAGTATTTGAGTTTCATCTTCAGTATCTGGCCTTCTAAAGAGCAGTCAGGGTTGATCTCCTCTAGGACTGACCGGTTTGATTGCCTTGCAGTCCAAGGGACTCGCAGGAGTCTCCTCCAGCACCACAATTCAAAGGCCTCAGTTCTTTGGCACTCACCCTTCCTTATGGTCCAGTTTTCACAGCCATACATTGCAACTGGGAAAACCATAGCCGGTTGTCTATACACACTTTTGTCAGCATGGTGATGTCTCTGCTTTTTAGTATGCTCTCTAGATTTGCCATAGCTTTCCTCCCCAGGAGCAAGCGCCTTTTAATTTCTTGGCTGCAGTCCCCGTCTGCGGTGATCTTGGAGTCCAGGAAAATAAAATCTGTCACTACCTCCATTTCCTCTCCATCTATTTGCCAGAACGTGATAGGACCGGATGCCATATTAGTTTTCTTGATGTTGAGTTTCAAGCCAACTTTTGCACTATCCTCTTTCATCTACACCAAGAAGCTCTTTAGTTCCTCTTCACTTTCTGCCATGAGAGTGGTATCATCTGCATATCTGAGGCTGTTGATATTTCTCCTGACAATCTTAATTCCAACTTGTGATTTATCTAGGCCTGCCTTTCTCATGATGTGCTCTGCATATAAGTTAAATAGACAGGGCGATAGTGTACAGCCTTGCCGAACTCCTTTCCCAATTTTGAACCAATCAGTGGTTCCGTGTTCTCACTGTTGCATCTTGACCCGCATATAGGTTTCTAAAGGGACAAATAAGATGGTTTGGTACTCCCATCTCTTTAAGAATTTGCCACAATTTGTTGTGATCCACACAAAGGCTTTAGCATAGTCAATGAAGCAGAAGTAGATGTTTTTCTGGAACTCCCTAGCTTTCTCCATGATCCAGCGTATGTTGGCATTTTGATCTCTAGTTCCTCTGCCTCTTTGAAACCCTGCCTGTACTTCTGGTAGTTCTCGGTCCACAAACTGCTGGAGCCTAGCTTGTAGGATTTTGAGCATAACTTTGCTAGCATGTGAAATGAGTGCAATGGTGCAGTAGTTTGAACATTCTTTAGCATTGCCCTTCTTTAGGATCGGAATGTAAACTGACCTTTTCCAATCCTGTGGCCACTGCTGAGTTTTCCAAATTTGTTGGCATATTGAGTGTAGCACTTTTACTGCATCGTCTTTTAGCATTTTGACTAGCTCAGATGGAATAATGTTGCCTCCACTAGCTTTGTTGTTGCTCAGACTTCCTAAGGCCCATTTGACTTCACATTCCAGGATGTCTGGCTCGAGGTCAGTGACCACCCCATCGTGGTTATCAGGGACGTTAAGCTCTTGTATAGTTCTTCTGTGTAATCTTGCCACCTTTTCTTAATCTCTTCTGCCTCTATTAGGTTCCTGCCATTTTGGTCCTTTATCATGCCCATCTTTGCATGATACATTCCCTTCATATCTCCAATTTTCTTGAAGAGATCTCTGGTCCTCCCTATTCGATTGTTTTCTTCTATTTCTTTGCACTGTTCATTTACGAAGGCATTCTTACCTCTTCTAGCTATTTTCTGGAATTCTGCATTCAGTTGGGTGTATCTTTGTTTCTTCCTTGCCTTTCGCTTCCCTTCTTTCCTCAGCTATTTGTAAAGCTTCCTTGCATTTCTTTTTCTTTGGGATGGTTTTAGTTGCTACTGCTTGTACGATGTTGTGAACTTCCGTCCATAGTTCTTCAGGCACTCTATCAGATCTAATTCCTTAAATCTGTCACCTCTACTGTATATTCATCAGGAATATGATTTAGGTCATACCTGAGTGGCCTAGTGCTTTTCCCTTCTTTCTTCAATTTAAGCCTAAATTTTGCAACAAGAAGCTCATGGTCTTTTTTTTTTACTGACTGTATAGAGCTTCTCCATCTTTGGCTGCAGAGCAGATTTGACCACGTCCAGCTTACCTTGATTCATAGATCTTACATTCTAGGTTCCTATGGAGTACAGATCTTTACAGCATCGGACTCTCCTTTCACCACCAGATACATCTGCAACTGAGTGTCCTTTCGACTTTGACCCAGTCACTTCATTCTTTCTGGCACTACTAGTACTAGTCCTCTGCTCTTTCCCCAGTAGCACATTGGACACCTTCTGACCTGAGGGGCTCATCTTCCGGCATCATATCATTTTGCCCTTTAGAACTGTCCATGGGGTTTTCACGGCAAGGGCACTGGAGTAGGTTGCCATTTCCTTCTGCAGTGGATCACCTTTGTCAGAGCTCCCTGCTATGACCTGTCTGTCTTGGGTGCCCCTGTACGGCATAACTTATAGCTTCACTGCACTACACAAGCCCCTTCGCCACAGCAAGGCAGTGATCCATGAAGATGACAAGCATTTGTGCCTATATATTAATATCAATTTGTATTCACTTAATTCCACCTAGGTCCAAATTACTACTAGAAATCTAACAGCTGAACTCTTAGTTTATATTTCCTAAGGGCACAATCCTATGCTGTTTAGACTGAAAAATGCCCTAGAATGCCATGACTGGTTGGGGAATACTGAAAATTGCAGGATTTTGATTTAAACTTGCATGGGATTGCATCCTAAGCTAAATAGTACATTTATTATAATATGAAATCACTTGACAGCTAACATTAAGATCATAGTCCTAAGCATTATATTAGTGGAACTTAATTCTAAGGTATCATTGTTCAAGATCACAACCTTGGAGCCATCTCCTTTGTTAGAATTTTCTTTCTTGAAATTGCTCCTGCAAGTCACCCCACCAGGACTAAAATAAGTACATGGGAAGACTTCATAAGTATGCCTTCTGTGAAGTTTTTCTATATTATAAATATCCTAAAACAACTCATTGTATCTTCACCTAATAAATGGAATAACAGATGCATCACTTCTTTCCATTTTAATTGATAAAAGCTTTGAAAATACACATCTCCAGTTAAAAAGCAGCACATGCTCAGCATTGGTGTTATTCTGTGTTGGCAGTTTTCAGAACCATATTGAAGTGTCCTCCAGTCTGTGTGATGCCATGGCTATGCTTTGAAATTTAACAAGGAAAATCAGCTAACATATAACTATTTTGAAGAAAAGTATACCTATATGAAAGTATACACAACATCACTACTGCTTAATATCTAACATGGCAACTTTAAATAACTAGTTAATGACTGGTAGGTGGTTTCAAGTCCCTTTTCTAGCTTTACAGCAAATACATACGTTTGGATGAAAGAAAACAGTATGACCATCTCTGGTGACAGAGCATAAAATGTGCATATGCAGTAGGCCAGTCATCATCCTTTACTTAAATATGGTTGGAACAAACATTTAACTCCTTACAGGCTTGTAACTTAAGCTTTTACCCCAGATTAAAATGTTTATTACTGTGTATTTGGAATTAACATTAGTTTTATTCAATGAAGAATTGCATAATGTTTCAGAAGTGAAATATCTCTTGCATATGCTGTGCAAAGAAAACTATCAACAGTTATTGAATGCTTCAATGGTTTGTTTTATAACATTACATTTGATTCCTATTTCTAGACTAGGCATCTATGTAAATACAGTATATGTATTTTATAAAAAATGAAATTAAACTTGTTTGCAGAATACATAGAAAGCTAATTTATACTCTCCAAGGGATAAATATCCACATTTCATATGTTTAACTTCTATGTTTATACAATGTAAATAAATTTTTAGGATTATTGAAAATATACACTTTGTCATAATTGAAAGCATGTTAATGTTTGTTTGACATCAACTTAAAAGCAATTATTTTGACATGGATGCAAATGTGGAATGTGGGAGTTTGATATATCCTGTTCAATGTTCATAGTAAACATTTCTTGAAGACTAATTCCAGTTTATAAACAGATTTCCCCTTACACTTTATAGCTGTCTTGGGGTAATATTTTTGTTTTTTAAATAAGGAAATGGATCTTCATTTTACTTTCATGGAAGCATTTTTACAACATCCTGATAAAGCTTCTAAGAATTATTATGGTGGGTGGTAACATAAGCTCTAGCAGTTTTACAAACCACTAAAAGTTACTTTTAAAAGTGTGTCTGTATTTGCATAAGTGTTGGCTGTCACTCTGATCACTTTAAAAGATTGGCATCTGAGTAGGTATAGATCCCAGATGACACGAAGGAACTAAAAATCCTGTTTGATGCCGTATAGATTTTTTTTTCAGATGGTATCAGCATACAGGCAACTATACTGTGCATGTTTTATTGTTGAGAAGTACCTTTAGAAATAAAGGCACATGCTTTCTAAAATGTAGATTGTTACTGCACAGAGACTCTGCTATGGACAACGGGAGTTGTAAGACTTTGCTATAAACTTAGTTTGGAGAAGACATCTAGGACACATGTCAATGACTAATCACTGATGTCAGTGAAGCTTGATTGCCTATGCATGACAGATCAATGATTATCTATTCACCATTTTGTTTTAGTGTAAGTATTATAACCTAGCATTAGTTTCTAGGTCTCTTCAGTTTTGCCTTCTACAAAAACAAATGTATTTTCCTTTATTACCACAGCTATTTTATGCATACACAGGATTAGGAGAAAAGGGTTCTATATCAAGTTATTTAAAATGTAAGTATTATATAGTTTATTCCATATTGCATGGAATTAAGAATAACTATGTTACAAATGAACAAGTAATATTCTTTAGACATGGCATCAGCATCTAGCAGAATACATAGTTTTAAAGAGAGATAAATGTAATTTGAGGAGACCTTAGAAGCAATCCAGCCTTGTCATCATGGTACCTGTAATGTGTTTAGAAAAAAAAAAAGCTACAGGCACAGACCGATACACAGAGCAAATGTATCTGTCGCTGCTCTGTTAGTTATATATTAAGGTTATAATTACAGCCCAATACAAAATTTTGATTTAAAAAAGCTTGGCAAACTTCACACAGAATTATCAAAATTTCATGTTGAGATCCACACACCAAATCCCTATATGGTTTTGTTCTGAGAAGCTGCAAGTAAAACAGACTAGGATGTACATTGAAAAGTTACTAGTGCATGGCTCCTCCACACATTTCTGCACAGAATTGAGAATGTTAATAGAAACTTGTCATAATGAGGAACAACTGCTGTATGGCCAATAGGTTATCTAAAGTATCCTTTATATATAAGGCTATCACAGTTTACTGTTTCCCTCCATTTTGGAAATCCCACAAGAATTTACTTGCTGCTTCTTGCTTCTCAGAGACCCTTCCAACATGATCCTGCTCTTTGAAACCTCACAACTTAAAAATTAAATCATCATAGCTTGGCTCACACCTCTGAAGTTTATTGCAGGCTTGTGCACTTGTTCTGTATATTTCACTTGCTTCACTGTATATTTTCTGAACTATCTTCAAATAGCAATTAGTGTAGGGCACTGCATTTATAATCCTTGCTCATTTCTCTTGAAATGTTTGCATTTCATTATCTTTTCTGGAATTGTACAAAAATAGCCCAAATTTATTTTTATTTTATTTATTTATTAAATATTTTTATGCCGCCCCATTCGCCGAAGCTTCGGGGCGGCTCACATCAATAAATTAAAATAATTATAATATAAATTAAAATATAAATATAAAATTAAAATACAGCAACACAGTATAACATGAAGATGAATGGAATGATGTATGATGAATTAAAAAGCTTCTTTAGTGCTACTACATGCACAATTTTAACTAAAATTACTGAAAGAGGAGGGGAGGAGTATGGGGAATGAATGTAAACCAACCAAAACCAAATTGCTCTGGAACTGGGTGCTTACTTGGTGAGTTCTGTGAATGGATCTATTGTGAAGTTTTGCCTTAAATTGTGTTTGGCTTTGTCAAAAAGTAAGTTTTTTTTCTTAATTAGCGGTAATGTTTCAGTAAATAGGCATTTTTAGATTTGAAGATTACTAGGAAAACTTGGCAGATTACCTGTGAAAAACTGCAGTAGGTGGCTTTGGAAGAAAATGCACCATGTATTTTTAGCTAGTTATTTGAAACCACTGATGCAGGTTCTGAGAGCCTAAAGCAGTACCTGTGTCTTTGTCACTTGTACCCTCTAGGGCTCAAGTATTCTCTTGACCAAAAGAACCCCCCTCGCCCCATACTGCTCCTCAAACCTCTCATCCTTCAGCAAAAGCAAGCATTATGCCACCTTACACACTAAAGGCTTCATTCTGATTTATTGAATAAGAGAGCAGCTTGCAGTGTAGCCAGCTGAGGAATACTTCATAGTTTTAAGAATTTTTACAGTTTAACATGCAAAGACTTGTGCTCTTAACAGATTTCTCAAATTGTTAAATGAAATTCAAGTTTGTCATCAGTGTACCATAGTCCCTTGGAAAATGTGAATGAGAACTACACAAAGCATACATGACTGTTTCTTTGGCAGACTGATCATTCAAAATACCGGAAGCAAGCATCTAAATAGTAAACACTTCTCCAAGCTTCAAAGAACAAGAAATGTAGATCTTCAAGTTGATGTTAACCTGGCTGAGTTTACCATAGTCAAAGCACCAGAGCAACACATGTAGGGCCACAAATCACAACTTAGCCTGAATAAAGGAGTGCCTTTTCTCTACTAGAACTCCTAGTTCGAGTGCTGCTCAAGACTGTAAGCTGTTAACTTTGTTATAAGTTTTGTATAATAGGTTGGGTCCAAAAATGAAACTTCAGAAATTTCTAAATCCATACTAAGGTAATAGTTTTTATTAAGCAAAGTAAAACGCATACAATGCAATGCAAGCTTTCCAGTTCTTTAGCAGGCAAGAAAGCGAACCTTCCGCAGCAGCATCCCCGTAGTTTTGGCAACAACAGACTAGCAACAAAAGATGTGCAGGTAAGTTGTTGAAAGCATACGAAGCTAGAAAGAATCTGTCCCAAACGTGACAGCATTCCCTCTATCCCTCACCCACTGGCGCTTGGTAGCGTGCTATCCTACTACACAGTCCGGTTCCAGCTATGAAAATAAACACACGTGGTGTCTCTGCTCTGGGAAGAACCTCTTTCATTCTCGGCTGCCTTTACAGGAAACGAAAACTAGCGAAGGCCACGCAAGTAAGGGGGGCTCATCAAGAGAAAACACGGAAATCAAACCCCATGCTGAGCCGGAAAGTGTATACAAAAGCAGCACTTCCTCAAGCACGAACTCCTAACTTCTCTAGAGAAAACCTTCCCTATTTTCTCCTCTCCGTCTAAAAAAAAGAAATCCATCCACGTGCAGCTCCCCTTGCTTACGGTGTAAAACGCGCCCACAAACGTCCACACCTGCAGCAAACAATCTGCGGCCCCTTCCCACCTACAACTTCCACCAGCCCTGGCCAGCAAAGCCAGTGGTAAGGGCTAAGAGGAATTGTAGGCCTGCGTATCTCTCTCCTTCCTTCCAGCGGCCACCAGTTGCCCACGCAGCGCAGCCAGCATTGATAGCGCCGCGAGGCGGTTGCCAGGACAAACTGCGTAAGGATATCCCGTTGGGCGGAGCCTCCCAGGTCAGTGACGTCATTTACGAGATCTGTCCCTTCACCCTCCTGGTTGTCCGCTCATGTGGCGGAAGCCGACTTTTTTTTTTAACTCTTTCACTTCGAACAACGCCTGAAGTCGTTTCTCTTTTGTCGGCGTTCCGCATCCGGCGTAATCACGTCATTTCCTGCCGTCGCTCGGCTCTCCTTTCTCTCTCTCTCTCTCTCTCTCTCGCTCTCTCTCTCTCTTTTACCCCTCTCCCTTTTTCCCTCCCCCTTTCTCCGGACCCGGATGGTGACTGGTGGCGGCGGCTTCTCTCGGGACTGTCACTGAACGGCGCCGCCGGGCCTCTTGTCCTGCGCGATGGCGGCGGAGGAGGCCGGAGGAGCGTCATGTTCCTCGGCTCCGGGGCCGGTGTCGACGGGACCCGGCGCGGGACCGGGGCCAAGCCTCTGCGAGTGGCTGCTGCTGCGGGACGGCCGCCTGCGTTGCGACGCCGACGGACTCTGTAGTCTCTGTTATCACCCGGCGCTCAACGCCATCCTGGCCGTGACCGCCCGCGGCGCCATCAAAGTCATCGACGGCACCTCAGGGGCTACGCTGCAGGCGTCGGCACTCAATGGTGAGGGGGGAGAGTCCGGTCGGGCCTACAAACGGGGCCCACCGGCGGCGGCGAGTGAGGGGGGAAGAGGAGGGAGAACAGGAGGAAGGAGTAGGCGATCCGAGCCGGTGTGGGGGCATGCTGGGAGGGGACGCTGTCGAGCCTCTCGTGGCTGTCGCCGCCGCTCTCTCACGCTCTCTTGCCTATGTTGTGATAGTGGCAGTTGTGTTCTGGGGCCTGCTAGCCCGGCTTCTGACTGGCGGAGCGCGAAGGTGAGTCGATTTCTTCCATTCTCCTTTTCTGCTCTCGAATTGAGAGAGACTTGGGGAGAGACGTGGTGGAGTTGAAGCAAAAGGAAGGACCGAAGAACTGGCCGGAGCTGTTGGAACTAGAGGGTGGGAAGGCAGGTATAGCTAGGTGCAGTTGAAAGTCCAAAGTTGCCGGTCGTCATCCGGGTCTTTCAAAGGGTTTCCTCTTGATCGTCTTCCTTTCTGTTTTGCTAGCCTCAGCCAGCTTGTTTGTGTTTCCCATATAGTTGGCAGATGAGGGAGAGGAAAAGACTTGGCTTTAGCAGAGGACGGAAGCGTCACTAAAGGATGCTTTTTTCCAGCTCCTCTTTGTTGGGAACAGGGCTATTATGTAGTTCGTTGTTGCGTGTGATACACGTGTCTGTGTTTTGCGATTAGCTGTGGTTTCCCAACGTCTATTCACAATGTTTATGTATGGCAAAATGTGCAGGTGAGAATTACACATAATCTGCTCTTAGGTTACATTCTGCTAATGAAATTGAAAGCAGTTCTATGTAAGAATTCAGTCACATCTTATTACATTTGGTTACCAGTTTCTTTTACCATGATTTGGAAAATGCTAATGTTTTCAAGCTGGAAAAATTGGTGGCAGTATTTTTCTTCTAGTATATAACCTGATGTAGTTAAGCCCGATTTATAATGTTTTTGGAATGCTATTATGGCATGAAACAGAGTGTATTAGTTTGTTTGGCAAAACTAAGTGCATGTAGCTGTTAGGTGGAAAATAGTTGTACAATTCATTAACGTGCTTGAGCCATTGCATGGGTGGGTTGGTGGTTTACTCAACATTGTTGATACTTAGGTACCTAGAAAAGAAAATAATGTTCCTGATAAAGGGATGAGCATGTAACACTTGTGCCCCACACCATTTGCCATGTGGAAACTGGAAATTTCATGCATGGTAAAATGGAATCATAAAGGTATCCAGTCCACGGTGGCAACCAGATTGATTAGGGTCTATATGAAAATAGTTAAGAAAGTGATCAGGTTAAAGGAGAATATAAGCTGTTGGGTCTATTCACCCCATAATTTACTTATGGTGAGGCACATATGTGGTACATTTGAATGTCATTTTGAATAGAGTTACAAATGAGTTCAGTTCCTGAGAAAATGAATATTCATCTTTAAGTCAAATTTGTATGCAAATCAGATCATGTATAGTCAGCCCTCCACATTCACGGGGGTTAGGGGCTCGGGACTCCTATGAAAGTGGAAGAAGCGCAAATATATCTGGGCCCTTTCTTCCGCCCAAATTCAGCAGTGCCTCCTCTTTGCAACAAGGAAATGTCAGAGATTCCCCTCTCCATTTGGGTGGGGCAGGAAGGCATGTTTTGGAGGCCTCCCTCTCTCCCCTTTCATTTCCCCTCTCTGATTTTGATGATGATGATTTTCTGCAGTATTTTTTTTAATAAATAGGCCTCATGATAGCCCATTCATATGTACAGGTTCATAATTTGGGCGTCTGTAACTCAGGGAGTACCTGCAGTTCTCACTTGCAGGCTGTCATGTCTTGCAAATCCAATGAGGTTGAATTATGGACAAGTTAAACAATCTTTACATAATCTAGTGTTTGTTCTTTAACCCTCACATAACCCATGCTTACTGGTTTCATATGACTCAAGACTTCTCAAGCAAGGATCACATGTTTAACTTGCCTCCAGTGAATGGTGGGTTGAATAACTACCTGTGATCTGGATTTGATCAATATATAAAACATAAATATTTAACCCATTTCTTAACTGCCTTTTCAAGATGATAAGCTTTCCCCAAGAAGCATACAGCATAAAAACAATGCAATACATTAGTAAATTATATGGCATACAGATAATTTTAAATAAAACCAGGGTCAGTAAAATGATAATATATTTATATAATCTAAATACTATTATGAATGTGAAAAGCCTGTTGCAGCATATGATTAACATAGAATTGAGAACTGTGTTCAAATACTTATTCAGCTGCTCACTCTTGGAGTCTAACCCTAAGTAAGATATATGCACAGATGCTTATCCCTTTCTAGTGTGTATGTGCACCATGCACACTGGAATTCTTACTTTTGTTAGAATTGTTGATTAATTTCAAGTGTAATAATGCCGTTAAGCATCAAACAAACCCTAAAGTTTGTGTAATAAAGGGGACAGGAACTGTTTGGGGTCCAGATTGTCCTCTGAGACTGGATTATGTTAAGGTAGGCTTCTTAGTGTCATCTGGTTCTCTGTCAGAGTGCCAGCTGAATAGAGCATTCATTTCACTTCTCCGTCTCATTATTGAAGGAGTTGCAAAGGAAGAACACAGCAGGCTTAGTTCTCCTATTGGAAGGTGATGGAGGAGTGAGGAGGGCTGCCCTGGTTTCACTCCTCCATTTGATGTATTGGTTGGGAACTATCTTTGATGCATATGGCTGTTTTCTAGTGGTTCCCCTGGCCAAAGCACTATATGGAGTCCTTCCACCTCACCCTGTGGACGGGGTAGCCATGTCTACTTTGTAACTTACCCCATACTGGAGGTTATGTGACAAGCGAAACACCTAGCAAACCACTCTGTAACTCCGTTGGGAGAAGGAGTGGTATGCTATGTAAGGGAAATTTCCAGTGTTACCTTTAATAGATAACAGTATTCTCCCCCCCCCCCCCAAAAAAAAACAACCCTGCTTGATTTCAAAGGGAAGAGACTTGAGTAAGGACTTTAGCCTTCCATAGACTAAATTAGGTACATCTTTGGGCTGAATCAAGCTTTGGGGAGAACTTTCACCATACCTGGTGTTATATCAAAAAAGTCAAGGTGCACAAACTAAACTTGGTAAAGAGAGGCTCTCTGTGTGAGATTTGTACAGGTGAGGTGATGGTAGCAGAGAGCCACATGAGCATGACAACTAATTAATCCTTGTTTGCAACCAGACATCAGTTATCTATTTTCTCTCTAAAGTCATATGGGTAAACATGTACACACAGTGAATTGCCAAGCTTTTGTATTCATACTTATAAGATGATTGACAGAGACTGAAATTGGTCATTTCAATCTTGAACAAAAATTAAAGATTTACTCCTTTAACAGAATGGCCCATCTTTGCGCTAATGTAGCATTTTCTTTACATGTCTTGCCACTTCTATATATTTTGGAACAGAAAAATAGTATTTAAAGATTTCAAAAGCAGTTAATATATGATAAGGTTACCGTTTCAGTTAATGCATAAAAATGGAAAAGTACGGAGAACATGTAATTTTTCAGTGCACTTGGATATTACAAAACTTTTAACTTTAAACATTTAGGGTTAACTTTGTTCTTAACTTTGGTCATAATTCGCATGACAGTTGGTGCTTCACTAGTTTAAAATTGTCCTCCTCTAGAGGCCATCTTCAAGACTGACATTTATGTTGGTGTACTGGTCCCACTGAGTTCAGTGGAACTTCAGCCGTGTAAGTGGTTATCCCTAAGTATACTGTAGTCCTAGTATCATTAGTTTTCAAACTTTCATATTTATTCATCTTTGCATTAAGAGAGTTTCTTCATTTTAAGTTGTGTCAGTAACTATGAAACTAAGAATAATAAGGTGATTCATATTTGGTTCTTGTGTATAAAAAAGATTGATAAGCTTTTGGAATTCATCTGAACTAAACTCTTGGAGATGACAGGCTTGGGAAGATGTGACTTGGTCTGTATATACTTTAAGAGCCTGAGCTGAGGGGAAATAGTCGCTTAAGCATACTTTGAATGCTTAGTTGAAAAAATGCTGGGGTCCTTTTTTTGGTCATCCAGTCATGTTCTTTTCTTCTGTGTAGATGAACTGACCTTGTAGTGAAATTGTATGTGTTGCATAAAGTTGCTGACATTACAGATTACATTCAGCTTAATATACTTTCTAGAATGGTTATAAGCCAACTAAGCAATTTTCTGTATGAACCTCACTAGATGTTGTAACTTGAGCGGTACTACTCCTAATTTGCTTGTTGTCGGGATCAGGAAGAATTGAGGGACAAGGTAGGAATATTGGCACTTTTGAATTTCCTACATTTAACAAAATTTGGCTGATCTTTTTATACTTGAGCTGCATCTGCTCATTTTTGTTTCTGTCTTGCACAATTTTTCATTCATGTTTTCCTGCTGCATGTTAATAAGAACTAATCTTTGCCTACAGGCAGGTTTCCTGCTGCCTTTTCTGGAACAGAATTGCTTGACTTAAGTTAGAGTAGCCTTCCCCAACCTGTTGTCCCCCAGATGCGTTTGAGACAATGAATCAGGAATAGCAGAAATTGGGATCTGACCTATATAGAAGGCAACAGGTTGTAGAGATCTGAGCTAGTGAAACAGTGTGATAATGCTTTTCTTAATTTAGCTGCTGGCAGTGTGGACATTTCTATGCATGTCCCTCAACATGTGTTAGAATTAGTATTTCTTCTAACCATATAGCAAAATACGAATGATAAGCTGCCTGAGGGAGTGTTTAAATATGCTATGCCAGAAGCCCTGCATCATATATACTGAATATCATCACTAGCATGAAATAACAAAGATGATTGTGGGATGTGTTTGAACACAAAACAAGCCTCTCAGATAATTAGCAAGGTAATTCTTCTCCAAGGGCTTGCTGTATATTAACACATATAGCCCTCACCCCATCCCATGCCAATCTGTATTATTTCTGGCTAGTGGTTATGTTTACTTAACATGATGCAGGGCTCCTGGTGTAGAATCAGGTCAAGGCCCACATTCTTGTCTCTTTCTACCTGAAATGTTGTCCTGTTGGTATTTCTACTTGGTGGTTTTGGTTTGGTTTTTTGTTTTGTTTGGTGACTGTTGGGTAAAAAAATAGTGTGCTCAGTTTGGCCAGTCACGCCATCTTTTTGACATTGGTGTTGTCTAGATAGTCAGAGATATTATTTTATTTATTTATTTATTTATATTTATATCCTGCCCTTTTCCTACCAAAGGGCTCAAGGCAGCTTACATCATTCTCCTCCTCCATCTTATCCCCACAACAACAACCCTGTGAGGTAGGTTGGGCTGAGAGTTGTGCCAAAGTCACCCAGTTGGCTCCATGGCTGAGCGGGAACTAGAACCCAGATCGTCTGAGTCCCAGTCCCATGCTCTTAACCACTACACCACACTGGCTCTCTCTTAATATTTAATTTAATATTAATTAAAAGAACATTCTCTCCCATGGGAGTTGTTCTATGAGGTTCCTTAAGTATGGCTTTTTTCATTGTTACTGACATCTGTGTGAGGTTGCTGGTTGAGAAATTTGGATTGAGGCATTATCATTATGCCGATGATGCTGAGCTTTATGTTTCAGTGTTAGAAGATCCAAGAGTATTGGTTTCAGTTCTGAGCAGGTGCCAAGAAGGAAAAGGAAAAGTAAGTTGAAACTAAATGCAGAGAGGACGCAGCATTACTTCTTGGTCTCTGAGGTGCTGTCTGAATAGTCAGAGTTGATATTTTGACTGCTCTCCTTCCAGATTGTCCTGCTATTTGTAACCTTGGGGGTAGACTACTTCAGTGTACCATCTATGGGGTGTTCTCATTAACTATGACTGGAAGTTGTTACAAGTGTCACAGCTTGCTTTCTGTCAATAGCACATCCAGCCTATTCTATGTGAACTGCACATGTACAGTTTGAAGTACAGTTTTCAGCTGTGAAACCCCAGTACAGCTTGGGTCATACATATATAGCAGAACATATGAACACCTCCTGGTTCCTGTCTTCTGTTCATGTCAGCGGGGGAGGCTCTACTCAGTGTATACTTTTAGTGAAGGGAAGATCTGCTGGATAAATGGTGAGGGCTTTTCACAGTTGTGACTCTAATATTTTGCCTGGATGTATCCTGCCAAATACTGGACATTTGTAAGAAGTCTCTGCTGTTGCTTTTAGGAGAGTTCTATATGATACTTCAGGAGGCATCCAGTTAAGCCCTCCAACTTTTACAGTGTCTTCTGTCAGTGGAACAAGGAAGGGGCAATTTCTCCCCTCTGCTGGTCCCCATGCAACCTTCAAATTTGTTTGTTTAATTTCTATACTGCCCAACAACTGAAACTCTCTGGGCAGTTCACAAATATGCATAGGATGATTGTGGAGAGAGGAGAAAGTCCTGTTATGTGAACAGCTTTCTACTTCATGTCATTGGATTTCACCCTTTGCCATTATAGCTGTTGACCAATTAACATGGCAGTCCTACCTTAGAAGACTGAATTAAAGCTCACAAAGTCTAAGTTCTGCTGGTCTCATGCCAGGGGGGTGGAAGTGAGGGAAGAATAGCATTCTCTCTTCCTATTCAGAGGGATGGTTTTGACTCTCTCTTCCACGGAAAGCCACAGGAAGGAATTTGTTAATGCTAGCTCAACCACAGTGCTGGCATCAACTTTTTCCATGTTGGGAACAGGGCAGATAAACATTGATTTTTAAAAATAAAAACATTGATTTTTTTTAATTTAAATTGGATTTTTATTTAAAATTGATTTTTTAAAGGAAAAAACATTTCTTGGGGAAAACGCTATCTAAAGATAGTTTTCTATTTAGGATACATTATAGTTGAATTAGCTTTTAATTATGTAGGATGAAGCTGTATATTCATGCAATGTTTAGATTTTTTAGTAAATGGATTTTATTAATCCATTCACAATATCATGGTCTTCCAAGGGTTTCTGTAAGATTATTGGGCAATTCTTCGATCTAGAAAATATTTCATAGATGCTTGGTTTTACAGTTCTCAAATCTGTGAATTTGTATGTGTCTGAAGTGATCAGATGCCTCTTCTTCACAGCAAAAATGTTATAAAATAAATATACAGAGTTGAGGAAAACAAACTTAATCCCATTGTTGCTTTGTAAATATATGTACATAGAATCAACCCCTTATCTCTGAAGTGCTGAAGTTCAAAAAACTGAGTGAATAGAAGATGGTTGTGAGTGGAATAGATCTGCACAAGAAGCTAAGTATGAGGAGAGAGGGGCAAGCAGTAAAAATGAAAGTGAAACCTTTTGAGCAGAATACTCCACAAGTCTTTGGAACTTTTTGTATAGCCTGAGGTTTATTATGTTATTGTTTTCCCTGGAGAAAACCTATAATGGTAGCAGGGCATAAAAGAGACCTAATATGGGAATTTTTTAAATAAAGTTCCTCTACCTGTGGGTAAGACAGGCATGTGTGCAAAATGCAAACACCTCACACTAATGTCATTATTTATTATTCACACATTTACAGAGGTACCTTGGCTCATGAACTTAATCCGTTCCAGGACTCTGGTTGTGACCCAAATTGGTCATGAGCCAAGTTAAATTTCCCCATAAGGTTCAATGTAAATAAGGTTAACCCATTCTGTAACTATTTTTTTTAATCAGAAAAATGTAAAGAAGCAAAGTGACAAACAACAACAAAGATCGTGACGATCTCCCCATCACCACCCCAAGCATGAGCCCGGCCATCTCCCCGTCCCCCCAGCACAACCACAGTCATGTCCATCATCCCTGCACATGCCCGTTATCCTGGCGTGCTGGGGGGGGGGGAGAGTTGGACGCAGGCGCGCTGGTGGGGAGATGGCCGAGATCATGGTTGCGCTTCTGTAGGAAAGACAGGCTCAATCACGGGCACACTCATGTAGGAAAGACGGGCGTGATTTCGGCCATCTCCTCCCCAGCACAATCACAGCCATCTCCCCACTTGGGGGGAGGGGTGGGGAGATGGCCGTGATCGCGGTAGTCACCCAATGCGGAGTTTGCGACCTGAGTCAAAATTTTTATGAAATTTTTGTTTGCAACCCGATTTGGTTGTGAATTGAGGCGTTCATGAGCCAAGGTACCACTGTATATGCTTCCTATAATGGCCAAGATGGCCTCCATTGGCAACACACATAATTATCTATGATGTGTTTCTAGTAGTATAACGAAATTAATAATTTTTATATAACTGTAAAATTATTCTGAAAAGTTTTATTCTAAAAATTAAATTTTCATCTGATGGTAAATATTAAGATTAGACCAGCAAAATTGAGTCTTTAGGTAGAAAACCACGATTTAAATCTAGTCTTATGGACTAGTGATTTAAATCAAATCCACCATGGTTGGGGACTGGGTGTATGGGTTGGATTCTTCATTTAGTTCTCCTTAATCAGAGTGGTATATGATGTAAAGTTTTTCTTGTGAGCTGGGAGGGGCAATGTAAAGTTCCACTTCTGAGGGTAGTCCTTTCTCCCTGCCCTAGGAGGAAGTACTTCTTATAGCCCCTTGAAGAGTGTCATAGGATTACAGCTTGAACAATAATTAATTAATTGTTCAATCATAGTGCCTTATATTCTCTGTCTCCATGCAGTGAATGGGGAATATATTTTATGGCACAGTGTAATAAAGAACTCTGAAATTCAATGTAATGTGAATGATCCCCATCTGTCCCTTGAGCTTGGAGCTATGAAGGAAACAGGATTGTCCCTGATTTTGTATCCAGAGTTGTGGTATTTCTAAAATGTAGAACAGTTATGGCACTTGATATAGCTTAGGGCATTTTCCAGTGATCTTTGCAAGAGATTTCTGTTCAAGTTCTGAAAGGTATTTGAGGAATGAACGAAATAGAATAATAGTGTGATTAAACTTTGAGACAACTAGAATCTTTTAAAGCATGGATTGCCAGCTTGTGTCATATGGGGTGACGCAGATAGGTCAGGCAGAAAAGTTTGTGCACTGAAGATAAAAGCTCATGAAGGCACTATGTTACACATTGATGATAAACTTGTATTGACCTGATTTACACAATCAGAATAAGCCACTGTGACTTATTTAAATCATGGCATCTGAGGGGCATGATTTCAATAATCACTACCTAGGTGTGACTTGTTCTGTTATGCAGACTCAAGCAGTATTGTTTGCTAGAGGTGAAAACAACTCTCCTGTAACCCACGGACAGCTGTAATCTTATACCCACCACCAACTAGCTACACCATCCAGGTTCAGGTGATACACCAAGCCATACCTGGGACATGATTATGTGTACTAGCTTGCTGTGAACTTCTGATGAATTTACATAAAAATAATTTTCATTGTTTCAAAAATATCTTCTGTTAAAGAGTGAAAAAAGACCAAAATACAAAAATAATTACTCTAGAAAATAGTGCCACAATCCAAAGATTCATGCAAAAGGGACCTCTAACAGCATGCTTGTTTTTCTTCCATGGCATCTTATATTCTATTTCAGGGCCTTTTTAATGCTGCCCTGTGTACTGGGGCCAAGTTTGTCAGGGATCATAGGAACTATGTTTGTGTAAAGGAAACATGGGAGGAGAGAATCATAGATAGTTGTTTAAGTAGGAGTAAGAGTGCTTCCCTGCTCACTGGTAGAATATAATTTGTTTTCTGGATTCAGATGAAAGCTTGGGTAATTGGAATTAGATCAATAGTCTGAGTTTTTAAAACTCAGTGGTTACTTGCTTTTCCAAGACTAGTGAGGTATGATAAATAACTGTTTTAATATGGATCTCTCTTTTCTTTTCACAGCTAAGCCAGGTGGACGAGTGAAATGTCAATACATTTCTGCTGTGGATAAAGTCATCTTTGTGGATGATTATGCAGTTGGATGTAGGAAAGATCTCAATGGCATCTTGCTGTTAGACACAGCTTTACAAACACCTGTTTCTAAGCAAGATGATGTGGTTCAGCTTGAATTGCCAGTGACAGAGGTAAGCAATTGAAGTGTTTTTTTTTTTTGTTTCATTGTGTTTCATTTTATAACTAATATTTTACAAATGTTTTTAATAGAACAGCACTGCAAGTGTTTTGATTGTATTATAGCATTGCTACTGCTCCTAAAGAGAAGTGGCTGTAGTTACTCCTCATCATGTCCATGCCCTGGTAATCTCTCAACTGTACTACAGTAATGTATAATTCAAGGAGCTGCCCATAAAGCAGTTTTGAAACTTCATTTAGTCGTGATTGTGGCAGTAGCACTGATTAGCTTCTAGAAACATTTAACATAAATATTCCAATGCTTACTAGTTTGTTTCCAGGCTAATTTCAAGCTGCTCGTTCATTTCTTTTCAAGAGTATATGACCTACAAGTAGAATATTGTTGGAAAAACTTGCTCTCATACATATCTTCCTGATTACTGAGTTCTAATAATGAACCTTTGCAATTTAAGTATGAATTAATTTTTAAATATTGTTTTAAATCCAACTTTTAGATTCTTGTTTCAAAATTGATAATTTTGTCAGACCAAATGGGGGATACAAATCCAAAGGCCTACATTCTGCTACTTAGTTTAATATATGGAAAGTTTATCCATGCCTAGCTGTTTCTAGACTTTTAAAAATCATATTAATCTTTTTGGAACGTGGTTAGGGTGTGGTGACTACATGTGAAAATAAGCATTTGCCTACTTTGCCTGAGTTCAACAAATGTTTGTTGAATGAGGCAAAAGGAAACATTTTTGTAAGTTTCATGCAAAAAGGTTCTCGGTTTTGTTTTTCAGGGTTTTAAAAATCTCTATCTGTGTCATTGTATGCCTACAGATAATTTCAAGTGCATGACACTTTGTTACATGTTGGTGGTCTGTAGGGCAGTGTGGTCTCAAAGTATCCGTGATACTTAGGGCAGTACAAATTAAAATGGCACCTTTTACTTCAGCACAGCCTTTCTCAACTTGGGTTCCCCAGAACCCTAGGTCTCTGCCAAAGGTTGCTGGGGGTCATGAAATATATATTAGTGTGTGTGTGAAATAAACATTGTGTTTTCACAGTCATGCATGTGTTACAGCCTAGGGAGCTTTTCTGATAGCCCTGGTTGCCTAGGAGATGAGAGGGTGCTAGGGTGGGAAATGCACCTGCCTCAGGCTCATGGGGAGTGGTGCAGCAGCTATTCCATGTGCTCAGCATTCAATGAACAGTTAATGACCCTTATTTTGCATCTTCCTCATGGACCCTCTGTGATTTACAGAAAGGTGCTAGCAAGGGGATGGGGTGAGAAATGGGCCGTGGTAAGTAAGCAGTGGAAAGAGGGAGTAGTAGGCCTCTGGTGAAGCCTCCATAGACAGTAACTTACCATTCAACATGATGAATAATTTTTCATGTTCTAAATAGCACCAGTTCAAATCAATTTATAACCTTTATTCATGTTATAAAGGTAGTCCCTGGATTTAGTACTTTAATGCAGGAGTTCCCTGACACACACAAATTATTTCAAGGCTTCCTCCATGGTAAAAAAGTTGAGAAAGGGCTGGCCTAGCAGATGATAGGGTTGTAAATAATTTTGGCTTGGCTAAACTTCTGAATAATTGAAGGCTGGACCTGAATTTGGGTTGAATGTCAAGAACTGAAACTGGTTTACTTAATTTGGAAGGGATTGACTATGTGCAAATTTATTGATATTTCCTTGTTTCTCTAGTCACCTGAAAGCTGTTATTCTCTTCTACTTGGAGCTGGACATTTTGGGTCTTGGGAGATGAGGTAGCAGCTGCCAGTCTGTAGAAGTTGTGGGGAAAATTGGTAAACTTGACCTGAAAATCTTTTTCCTCCTGCCCAGAAAAAGCTGGAGTGGCACTTCAGCCCTACCCTACATAAGACTCAAGTTGGCCAAATTAATTCTGTCTCTTATCTTAGATCTGAAAGAGCCTTGACATATCCCAAACTTAGATACATGTGATTTGACTTTATAACCTTTTATTGAGTGGGGCTTTGGGTGGGTGCAGTTTTACTTGGCAGAATGAAGATGGGGTAAATGCAGAAGGTTCAGACCCTGGTATTTCCATGTAAAGCTGCAAAATGCTCATATCTGAAAACCAGATAATTAGCATAAAGAGAAGTCTGAGCTTGATACTCCAATCAGACCATTGATTTGAGATGCAGTTCTGGTGTGATGGAGACCTATGGGCATGCTTTGCAGAGCAGGAACAGAAGAAAAGCTATGCTGGATCAGACTAAAGGTTCATCTAGTCCAGCACTCTGTACACAGGGTGTCAAACCAGCTGTCCACAGTTCCTTTAAGTGGACATGCACCAACTGCCTATTCCTTGGCAATTGGTGCATGCAGGCAAGCCACCTGTAGTAAAGGAGGTGGCACACAGTGAGCAAGGCTAGGAGCCACTTATAGCCTCATCCCTTATGAGTCTCCATTCCTTTTCTAAAAGTCATCCATATTGGGCAGGCATCACCACTTCACAGGTGGAAGTGATCTTCATTTCCTTATCCTCCTACTCTGTATATTTTGCTAGATGGGATTTTTCCCTTGTCTATTTGGAGCTGTTTTTGTGGAATAGGGACGCTGGAGCATGTGCAAGATATCTAACTCCACCAAAACATACTCTTTTTTGTTTCCCACTTTTCTGGCCTCAGAGAGCAACTAGTGTAACCTTTCTGCACCAGCTGTGAGGGACAGTAGAGTTGGAGCTCTTATTCGCAGCTCTGGGGTTGGATGTGGAAATCAGAATATCCTGTTGCTCCTCACATGCTGTCTAGGGACCATAGAATTGTTCCTTTAAGGCACCTTCATCTGTTTTAGATATTTTTAGCTGCTTTAACTGATTCATTCCATCCTAAGCATTTGGTGTGAATTCAGATAAATAAATAAATCCTCAAAGCTACTCCTATTATTATATCCTTTTCCAGGATTTTTCATTTATGTATTTTGGATTTTTAATCTTTGTGTTGAGGGTGAGAGTTGGGGGTGGTGTAGCCTGAGTTTTTGTCCCCATTTGGTCACACTCTCAACCTAACCTAACAGGGTTGTTGTGAAGATAAAATAAAGCTATGTAAGCTGGCTGGGGCTCCTCACAAAAGGAAGAAATCAAAATATAAATGCAGTATAATAAATAATAACTCTGCACAATAACTAGTGTTCTCAGGGCCAATTAAATAGTTAAAAACTAAGCTATGCTAGAATAATTATACGTATAAAAATAACATGCAAATATTTAAAAGAAAAAATGCAGTGCAGTGCAAAGCACAGGAATAACAAAAGCGCTGTAACAATCTGGAAACCTCTAAAATGCCTGGGATTGTCTTTACCTGATATAGAAAAGATAACATCATTGACACTATGTTGAACCTATTTGGGAAGTTCATCATGTAAGTGGAGTGTCCTAACAGCATGATTTTTCCCAGCATGTTTCTGCTTAATAACTCAACGTTCTTCTTGAGTATCAGCATTATTTCTCTGCAAATGAGTGATTATTGATCATATCAATGGCCAGGTAAGTTTTTGAAAATGCTGGGAAATTGTTTTTTTTCCCCTTTGGAGGGTGCCAGAGGGTATTCCTCTAGCTGGAACTCCTTCCTGATTGGAAGCTTCTAATGAATAACTGGCAGACTGATTCTACTTTTGACATTTTGGGTAGTTGGCAGTTTAGTGATAGTCAGAAATTGTTCATGTTTATTCTGCTAATTATCTTCCTTTTAGATTATTTATCTTCTAATTATTATGACTAGATTCTCATGATGTAATGTTTTTCAGGGGTGCCATGAGCAAATATATAGTTGTTTGTTAGCAGCAAGGAAATTACTTTTGAACAGATTTTAGTTGTCCAGCAAGCCAAAAGAGGAGCCATATATGATCAGATTATTCTAATATATTTTCCATTGGGTGCCATCAGACTTTTAATACACTACAGTGTAAGTGACCTGTGCCTCAGACCTATCTTGATATATTATTTGTAGGATGCAGAATATAATTTCCTCTTTCATCATAGGAATTTTACATGTAACAAGCATCCATAAGGCTTTGCTTAGTCTTGTGCATTTGAAAAAACAAATGTGTGTGTCTAATTTGTTGTTTTGTAAGGCCTGAGTGCTTGTTGCTAGAAACACAGGAAGTAAAATAAATGAATAATGCTGAACTAATGTTCTGATCTTAACTTTTCTGATTTACATATCTTAGGCTCAACAACTGTTATCTGCTTGCATAGAGAAAGTGGATGTGTCAAGCACAGAGGGATATGATTTGTTCCTCGCACAATTGAAAGATGGCTTGAAAAATACCTCACATGAAACAGCAGCAAACCACAAAGTTGCAAAGGTAACATGTTATTTCAAATCTTAATGCTAGATGGATAGCATTTTACTTATTTCTGTTTTATGTTAGAAATGTACTACAGGCTTTCACTGGCAAGTACAATGAATCCATAATTCAGGGTGTGAACTTTGAATAACTTGGGCATCTCAGGAACAGAGAACTTGATGGATATTACCATGTTTTCCAAAATAAATGGATATTAGCATGTTTTAGGCCCCTTCATGTTTATCACTGAAGAGACTCCATGTAAGTGGGTCATGCTTCTGGCCCTGCTGCCTACCTATATGGCTCTGCCCCATAACCATCTTGTGTTAAGTAAATTTTATATTCATCTTTCTCTATCCTATAGCAGTGTTTCCCCTAAAGCTACTGGCCTTGCATTCTTGAAATGCAAAATTAAAAAGGCTTTAACACCAGTTAGTAAAAGGCTTGCTCTTGATGGCCACTAAATAAACACAAGTAGTTAGTCAGCTGCTATGTTTTGCCTTGGTTTTGCTGAAGCATACTTGCCCTGTTTTTGAAAAGCAATTTCATGGATAAAAATTCTCAGTAAAAATTCAGATTTTGATTAATGGACGATGTTAGCCCAGTTCCTGCCTTGCTTCTTGAGTTGTCCTAGATACTGGGACAAGAGAGTATAGCCTTAAACAAGGGCTACACACAGTAGCTTGAACTACGGAAACTGCAAGCAGAGTTCTGCTTATGCAACATGGCCCTCATCCCTCCCTTACTACAGTAGATCTTTATGGCATGAGGGCAGATAAGAATCAGAGAACTGATCAGATACTTTTCCAGCAAAATTTGAAGTAGGATCCATGCCAATTTTAACTTTTAATTGAATTTCGCCTGCTTTTCACAATAGTTCTTCATTTGTCTCATGATGTACAAAACTTTCCAGTCTGAGATGGTTCCCCACTCCCAAGAAATAAGAATGGAATTGTTGATGTTAGATATTCTGAATCACAGGTTTTTAGGATCCCTGTTTAGATTTGATAGATTTGTATGATATGGCATAATTAATACCTAGAAATCTCTCTTGTACTTCAGTTTACTATGGAAGAATGAAAAAGTGACAGGTTTTTGCTAAATGGTAAAATAGCTATACTTTTGGAACATATTTTATATTTTTGTAATTTGTTACTTGTTTTTCTTGATATCATGTCTGCTTCTTCAGTGATACAATTCTATTGTGCTTGAAGATGGATTCTTGACAGTTACTAGTACTGTTTATTTTTAATGTTAAAAGCTGTTTTTTTTCTCCCCGTAGTGGGCAACAGTTACTTTCCATCTTCCTCATCATGTATTGAAGTCTGTTGCCAGTGCCATTGTAAATGAACTCAAGAAGATAAATCAAAATATTGCTGCCTTACCTGTAGCTTCATCTGTAATGGATAGATTATCTTACCTCTTGCCCAGCGCACGGCCTGAACTTGGTGTAGGGCCTGGCCGATCAGTGGATAGGTATGGAAAAGTTCGTTCATCTTTTCAATGGGGGGAGAGTTGCTTCATTTGTGAAGGCATTTTTCAGACACTCTAGGTATGAACAACATTTAGAAAGGATCTGAATTGAAGAATAGTGAAAGATTATTAATGTGAGGCTTGGACTATATAATTGCCATTCACAACATAACTCCTCTAGATAGGCTTTGGGGCATGCCTGATGCACCACGAAGAGCAAATTGGTTAATTGTAGGACAGTTTTCAGAAAAGTACAGCTTGAGGGAATGTACTAAGTTGTAGTATAAATGTGTATAAAAGGGGTCAGACTCTTGAAAAAAAAACTTGTAACCTACTAATCCAAATACAGAAATTAACTATTTATTGCGATCTGTCGAATGAGGTATAGTTCTACTTAGTTCGTACTTCCAAGCAGAGACAATAATACCATGTTTCCCCCAAAATAAGACCAGGTCTTATATTAATTTTTGCTCCAAAAGATGCACTAGGGCTTATTTTCAGGCAATGTCTTATTTTTTTCATGTACAACAATCTACATTTATTCATGAACAAAAATCTACATTTATTCATGTGCAAAAATCTACATTTTTTCAAATACAGTCATGCCATCTCCTTCTGGAACATTGTCATAACTCTTCAAACCCAAAATTGTGTGGCAACGGACGTACTAAATGCATCCGTCTGGCTGACAATCTTAACTGGGGCTTATTTTTGGAGTAGGCCATATATTACTAGCATCTTGAAAAATCATGCTAGGGCATATTTTCCAGTTAGGTCTTATTTTCGGGGAAACAGGGTAGGAGGCTTACTGACCCTTTTCTGGTGCTATGGTACATAACTAGTGAGCTACATGTGGCATGGTAGGTCACAAGTTATTCAGGCTTGCTTTGTGGAATAACTGGTAGAAAATTTAGGCAGAATATTGCTGACTTTAGGTCTATGAAAAGTTACAATGCAGATAGCTATAGGGATTTTCCTTGTCCTTCTGAAGGCAGTCTGATGTAATGTATGTGTGTGTGTTGGGGGGGGGGGCTTCATCTTAAACTGTGCTTTTCAAGAAAGCTTCTAATCCTGAAATCAGATCAGTATGTGACAATCAGAGGGGTAAGATTCATGATGAGAGAGACCACTCAGAAACAGTCATGTGTGGGAAGAGATTGCATTTTTTAGTGTGTTAAGAGTATGGGCGATTATGTAGCATATATAAGTAGAAGGAATCTTGGCAGATCTAGGACTAGGATTACAGATATTATGTAAGTAAGTTCTGGCTATGTATGTAAGGGGGGAATAGAGGATTGCTTTGTTTGTGTGTGTGTGTGTGTGTGTGTGTGTGTGTGTGTGTGTGTGTAGGAGGGCAAGTGTGGATTTGCAAAAATCAGGGAGCCTCTGTACTCTCTTAAACTTTGTATGTCCCTTTCTCTTCTTTCAAGGTCCTTAATGTATAGTGAGGCTAACAGACGGGAAACATTCACCTCATGGCCTCATGTAGGTTATAGGTGGGCACAGCCAGATCCCATGGCTCAAGCTGGATTCTACCATCAGGTAAAATTTTCAGTAGTTTTTATAAGGTTGTGATTCCTGGCAAAATAGTTCTTATAGGTGTACTGTCTGTGGGAGAATGTTTATATATGGTGCTTGTGGAAAATTATTCTCTGGCTTTATTTTGGCTCTTTGCTTTTAGACCTTTTAAAATTGTGATGCTATCTGTAATGTCATAGCTTAGAAGGAGGTTTGTATATTGCCTAGATGCTGAACATATTCATGCCCTCTGCCTTGAACTCCATGCTCATTTCAAGCAAACATAAGAGCCTTACACTTTAGGGCATGGAATGTTTTTCCCTGTCTGCTACTTATTTAAGAGCTAAATTAAAAATATTAAGAAACACTTTTTGTAAAACATTCCTGCATCATTCACCTGGAGGAGGTAAGTCTGTCTGGTCAAAGAAGTCCAGAAAAGTAGCTAATGATGCTTTCCTATATAAAATGCACATGGTTTATTGCATTTTATTATTGGATTATTGCACATGAATTATTGAACATGGATTAGTCCATAGAAGTTTCTGTGTTATGAGGTTTCGGGTTTTATATTTTGTCACAGTGTAGAAGTTGGGTTTTGAAATTTAAAGCACCATGACCCTGTTCAAACCATTCTCTAAAAATCAATCATTCTGAGCCTTGTGATCATGCAACTCTTTTTCTCCTTCTTGTTTTGCATAAGTGAGTGGAAGTTTCCAGTTTTGCTTAAACTAGTTTCCCATTGGGTATGAATTCAAGGAAGTGGATTATATTCTAATGCTAGGTAAAAGGGACATCCAATCATAGTTTGCCTCTGGTTTCTTTTAACTAGGTGGAGTTAGAATAAATCATAGTTGCTCCAGTTGGTATGCAACAAAGGAATAATGTAGTGAATTGCACCTCTTCATGGGCAAAGGGAGATGAGAGAACATTTATAGTTTTAGCTGTGTCTAGAAAATGTATTTCTGACCATGTTTGTCTGTTTTCATGCTAAACTTCACAAATCATCTCAATCATAGTATATGTCCTGCTGAAGCAGGCACAACTCACAAAACAGAAAGACTGGGAAATTGTTCTGTGATGGCTCTTGGTTCAGTGGCTCTTGGTTCAATGACTCTTGGTTCACCAGCACATGCCCTCCTCAGGTTGTCTCCAATGTGTTTAAATTACACAGCAAATAGACATTATGGCTATATCTTACTATTATTGATATTTTTCACTGTATTAGTATTATATTGTATTTTGTATTGATATTATGTATTGTGTTATGTATTAAGTTATTGTATAAAGTTTGTTTGATTTTGTATCATTTACAGTTAAATATTGTATTGCTTAATTGTATCACTTTAATGTGTATTTTTGTATTTTTATGGAATAAGTGCTTTTTGTTTTGTTCAATTGTAAGCCACCCAGAGAACCCCATGGGGCAGCATACAAATTTAATACATGTAATAATGTAATGTAATACAGAAGGTTTTCTGGAGAATGGTTGATGTGGAAGGGTCCTCTGAAGCTGGGAAAATCAGAAAACTGCTGTACTAACAATTTTGGGGTAGAGTTTTCATCATAAATAGTACATTCTCTGTCAGCAGATATAACTGCATTTCAAGTTAGTATGCACAAACCCTTGAAGACACTAAGGGACATTTTTGTTTGCTTCATTTTGTTTTCTGATGAAGTAGCAGGCCCATGTGCAATATTCCAAACTGCTTTTGGAACTTTCATTTTCAGAAAGTATTTGGCATGCTGTATCCCTGATCACATACGACAAATTTTACCATTCTTTGAATCCTGGTCAGTGTGTTGTAGAAAAGTATTTTCTGCATTTACTTGAAAGTAATCCCATTTTGCTCAATGTGACTGCTCCTAGTTTTTCCAGTAAAAGGAAATTCATGTTTGGGAAAAATCAAGCAGGAACACATCAATTGGCAGGAGGAAGCAGAACCAGATGTGGGTAGCATTTGCATTTTTGCATAGATTTCACTTCCTTTGGGGAACGCCATCACTTCCCTCTTTGCCACTCCACTTGAAATTAGGCTGAGACTGCAGGTTTCAGCCTCAGATTTGCAGGACTTCAGCCTTACTTTACTAAATGACCCAAGTAACTAGTTGTAGTGCTTGACAGGTTTTTACAACTTAGCCTTTCCCCTCTTTTTCTCCTGCCCTCCCCCAGCCTGCCTCATCAGGAGATGACAGAGCCATGTGTTTCACATGTAGTGTGTGTTTGGTGTGCTGGGAGCCAACAGATGAACCTTGGTGAGAATATTTGAGACATTACTTTCTCTTCTAAATATAGTGTTTTAAATAAGAATGTTTGATCTACATGTAATTAAAATGAAGATGTTTAGGCCACTCTAATACCTGTCTTTCAGAAGGTTGCCCAAATAAGAGTGCTTCTAAATACTTCCTGAAGATGTTTCCAGATTCAGGAAATAGTGTGTTGATATAATTAGGCAGCACCAATGCAAATTGGAAAATGAGAGCATTGTTTTCTAACAATCAATTTTAAAATTGGATTGAACAATCTTAGTGTTAACATTTCAAGTGAATTTTCTTGATTGTTCACATTTATAGTTACAAATGCATTGTTCTAGGGAACAGGGTAATTTTTATCACTTATTCTTCAGTTATTTCTGTAGTGTAAGTCCTAATTCAAAAACAAACCAAAAATATTGTTCAAACACTATTTCCAGTTACGGGGTTGGATCCAGAATTCAGGAAGAGTCTGAGATCTAATGGCGTTTCCTGCTGGAGGAAGGAAGGGGAAGAGGATTATCACAGATTCCTCCTGGAGTCCTTTGAGCCACCTCCTCTATTGAACCAGGTTTCCCTGAACCCCCTAGAAAGATTTTTAGGAGGTACAAGGGGATGTGAGTGAAATAGTCAAATGCCATCTCCCCCAGCCAGTTTCTCTGGTTATTATTTTTAACCTTTAGCATAAAAAATAAAAATTATCCCTACTGAGTGAATAGCTAATTAGAAAAACTAACCCAGAAAAACTAACCCTAACACTTACCTTTCTAATCCATTAAGGTCTGAGCATGAAAGGCATTCCCCAAACTGTCCATTTGTGAAAGGTGAACACACACAGAATGTGCCCCTCTCGGTCACTCTGGCAACAAGTCCAGCACAGTTTCCCTGTACAGATGGCACAGACAGAATAGTCTGCTTTGGGTCTGGAAGCTGCCCCCACTTTTTAGCTGCTGCAACGAAACGAGGAAAGATCTGTATATGGGATGTTACAAAACTTATGAAGGTATTTAGTCCATTAAGAGTTGGAATATTACTTTTGCTAAATGTGAACTTCTGTATAAATTCATTAATGCTTTTGAATTTGCTTAGGTGCACTTAAAGTTTGAGATCAATGCCTATGATCCAGTAATTGTACAGCAACTTGTGTTGTCTGGTGAGCAGAGCTCAGGGGTTGACTCAAGGAGGCCTACAATAACATGGATAGAAGATTCTTCTAGCTGTTCAGATATACCAAAATTAGAAGGAGACAGGTATGCCAATAAAGTACTGGGTATGCATATAGGTAATGCATAATTATTCATATTCTATTTCAGTATTTGCTATAGTTATTTGCTTGAATGTGAGCATTGATTGTGGTATAGTGAAATGTTAGCTACTGGTATGCTAGTGAGTGTATTGTAAGGATGCAGGGGTGTTTGTTTTTAATCGTGTAAATTTGTGAGGGCAAAGAAGCATACAATGTAGAGAGATAAAGCTATCTCAAAAACATTGTTGTACGATCTCTCAAATCATACTAGCTCTCAAACTGTCCTATTATTTTCAATGGAAAAATGATGTCAAGTTCAAATGTTGAAACTATTTTCCTATCACTATTAACTACCATCACTTTATATAATGTTCTTAATTAGTTTTTTGAAAAACATAATTTCCTCCCATCATATTCCCCTTCTCCTGTTCCACACCAGCTTTGAGAAGATCCTTGCTTGCATCAAGCCAAAGTTCCCTGACTCAGAGTTAACACAGGACTCTGACTTAAGGCAAGCCAGAATCTTTGTTCTGCAACCAGTGTGTAATCAACCAAGGAGAAATGATAGAGGTGAGCGTCCAAAGTGCTTCTCCATTGCTTATGCACTATGGGTTGTAAAGGCTTGGTTGATCTTCTAGATGTGGAACCTTATTTAGAGAATCCTCCAAACTTCAGTTACAGAAGTAAGCCACATGCTCCCTCCTTGTGCTACATGCACATACTCTAGTGACTTTCACTTTCTTGTGTTTTGCTTACTAACAATATATTTTAATATCTGAAGCGTTTAAAGCGTTTAGTGATACGTGCATCATTCACTTAACATTATATTGCTCTCCTCACTTCATCGTCTGCGATATTTTTCTTCCCTTTAGTGATGATTTACTGGAGGATTCAGACAGTGAAGAGCATTCCAGATCAGAATCAGTGACTGGTAGGCACATAGTATTTTTAGTGTACAATGTGGGGTAGAAGATTCCTGACAGTGATTTAATCATATGTAAGCTGGGGTATTATGTGCTGCTTTTGGTTTTCAAAATGTTTTGAATTATATATAATAATTTCTGATCTGTAAAAATTTTGCTGGCAAAACAGGGTTAAGGTTCAAGGAATGGCATGACAGTTTACCATGAGTTACTTGCAGAGCTTGTTGCATTGTGACAGGCACCTTCAAGTCAACGGTGGGTTCTTGGATGAAGTCAGGCAGTATGGGTTTTGATAGTTAGCCAGGCTTGCTTTTGGGCTATGTGAGGATTCTCTAACTCCCACACAATTCCTGAAGCCTGGATTTACACAAAATGGCATGACATGACCGCCCCTGCTGGTAAATTAACCTACATTGAGTATGATTCCAATTTGTCCCCACCCTGCCACAATTCTTTAACAGGGAAGGGGCAGTCCTTAAGGTTTCTGAAAAAGATTCTTCTCTCAGTCCTGACTAACTAGAGACTAATGTTTGCATGATATCTGAAGGCAATGAAAATTTGCATTCATCAGCCCTTGTTTTGTTTTGAGGAGATGGAGACATTCAGACCCCTGGGACCTCTCCTGCTGATACAGACAATTTGTTTTTCCTTTCTCTCTTCACAAATTTGGCCCCTGGAATACCTTACATATACATCTTGCTTTAACAATATAGAGAGTAATGCCACAGTATATTTGAATGATTTTCCTATACAACCTGGTAGACCACCTTCCTCAGTATAAGCCTGTGTGATCATTAAGATCATCAGAGGAGATCTTGCTGGTTGTACTGTGATTTGCACCCTAATACCTTGCAGCAACCCAGAAGCAAGCTTTCTCTATGGTGATACCCACCTTATGGAATGCCCACTGTCAACTTTAGCTTGGTGTCAACTTTAGCTTGTTTTAGATGCCAGTTCAAGATCTGTCTCTTTAATTGTGCTGCCTAGTTTGTGAATTTTAGTGTTTAGAGTAGTTAGTTTTAATACCTTTATAATGATGATGTCTTTCTAAGTTACATGGATATTTGTTAGATGTGATATGCAGTATATTAACCAGTTATATGAGTATTCATATATTTTGAAAAAGTTGTATTTCTGTAAGGCCATCTGTAGTCAGGCAGAGTGTTAAGCCATACTTAGAGTAAGATGATCTGAGGAAACTGGTTTGTCAGGTTTAGATGAATTAGGAGACTGTGCCAAGGAGTGCAAGGTGATGACTGAATCATTGTTTGGGAATACATGTGAACATGCCTGATTATCCCATTCAGATAAAGTAGCAAACCATGGCTTATAATCAGATGAAAGCTTCCATCATGTTTCTGTTGTTTCATTCAGAGACAAATGATGGTTTATTTTACCACACGTTAATAAGCGAGGATAATCTGGTTTGAATCCATAATTTTTGTTAAAGAACTGTAATTTGAAAAAATCACTGTTTGCCATGTTAAACATTGTCGGTGTCTCCCCACAATAAGCTTGAGGTGTTTTCTAATTCATTCAAGTATCAGCAAACCTATATTTGTTATACACATGTGTATTCTGTAAAAGGGTCATTTATTTTAGACATTGCCATTTGCTCTGGGTGACTGTGTAATGGCACAACCTGATGCATATTTGTTCTCTGAGTCCTCCTCAGCCAGCAAGGATATCATCAAATTGACTGCTTCAGTGCTATAAATTTTATTTCTTAAGGAGCAAAATCTATTCATTCTGTTGCCTCATGTAAGGGTGGTACACAAAGAACTTGGGAGGGGGGATAATGGAAGGGCATATAAGTATTGACTCTCAGTACTTCATCTAAGAAGTACAGAGGCAGGCAATAAAATAGTAGCTTTGGGGAGCAATCTTATGCATGTTTAGAAAGAAAAAGTACTCAGTGGTTTAACCTTTGGTGAGATTTGTTTTTTCTAATATAATTTGCTTTATCCTGAAGGACATACATCACAAAAGGAAACCATGGAAGTGAGCCTTGATATAACAGCACTCAGCATTCTTCAGCAGCCTGAGAAACTTCAGTGGGAGATAGTTGCAAATGTACTTGAAGATACAGTGAAAGATTTAGAAGAACTTGGGGCAAATACTTGCTTAACTAACTGTAAGAGTGAAAAGATGAAGGAAAAGCATCTGGAACACCACAACATTCCCTTTCCTTGTTTATTAGCTGGAGGTTTATTAACATACAAGTCACCTGCTACCTCTCCTGTCAGTAGTAATTCTCAGAGGTCACTGGATGATTTAAGCAGGACTCAAGGTGGTAGTGTCTCAGACCAGGGATCAACTGACAATGAATCCTGTACTAATTCAGAGCTAAATTCTCCTCTGGTAAGGAGAACTTCACCTATACTGCTGCTTTACAGCATTAAGGAATCTGATGAAAAAGCAGGAAAAATCTTTTCACAGATGAACAATATCATGAGTAAAAGTTTACATGATGATGGTTTTACAGTTCCACAGATTATAGAAATGGAGCTGGATAGTCAGGAGCAACTGCTGTTGCAAGATCCTCCTGTAACATACATTCAGCAGTTTGCAGATGCAACAGCTAGCCTAACTTCTCCAGACTCAGATAAGTGGAACTCGATGGTTCCCAAACCTGGGACTTTGGTTCAGTGCCTACGACTGCCAAAGTTTACAGAGGAGGAGAACTTTTGTGTAGATTCAATCACTCCTTGTGCAGATGGAGTTCATTTATTAATAGGACTGCGGGCATGCCCTGTTGAATCCCTGAGTGCAATAAATCAAGTAGAGGCCTTGAATAATTTAAATAAATTAAATTCGGCACTATGTAACAGAAGGAAGGGGGAAATAGAATCCAACCTTACTGTAGTGAATGGTGCAAATATCAGTATGATCCAGCACGAGTCACCAGCAGATGTGCAGACGCCTTTAATAATTCAACCAGAGCAGCGAAGTGCTAGCGGTGGTTACCTGGTACTTTACAAAATGAACTATGCCACCAGGATTGTGACTCTAGAAGAGGAACCCATAAAAATTCAGCATATCAAAGACCCCCAGGATACCATTACCTCATTGATTTTGCTCCCACCTGACATATTGGATAATCGAGAAGATGACTGTGAGGAGCCTTCAGAGGAAATACAAATAACTTCCAAGAATGGTGGCGAGAGAGAGAAAAGACCAGAAATTTCTACTCTTGGGCATCTGGTAATAACCACTCAGGGAGGATATGTAAAAATATTAGATCTTTCAAACTTTGAAATTCTGGCCAAAGTGGAACCACCTAAAAAGGAGGGTACTGAGGAACCTGATAAATTTGTCTCAGTAATATACTGCTCAGGCACTGATAGACTCTGTGCATGTACCAAAGGTAAGATTTTTATTCTATGAATGTATAAAGTTGGAATTAAGTACATACTGATCTTATAATAGTACCTTATTATCTAAAATACAGCTATCCATGCTTTTAAAAGACTGTGACATTACAACAAACTAGTTCCCCCCAACCATAATTTGGAAATTATATTATGCTACAGCTGCTCGCCTACTTTCATTTTCAACCTGTTCATCAGGTAGTCTGAAGCCCAAAAGTGGAAGCAAACTGTACAATAGTTTGCCAGTTCAGGCATTATGCTCTGTTAGAGTTAGGATGCTTTTTCCCCCCACTATGACAACTAATGGGTTAGAACAACTTTGTCATGATTTGGCTTCTGAAATGAACTATAGAAAGAATGAGGCAACTTTTAAAAGTTCTCCTTTAGTTGTATGTCTTAAAGTTTTTATATTCCTACATTGTAAAATGTGTCTGAAGCCTACCTGAATTTCCAAGTGATTTCCTTATGCATCAGTTGGGAAGGGGCTGATTACAGTTCTACTGTATCCCTTTTCTTCTTTATTAAAGAAGCTCTTTTCTTGCCCTGCTCAAATTCTTATTTGGTTGTTCTCTTTTTAGAAAGAAAGCATTAATTATTACTTGAATGAGTAATTACGAGGTCAGAATGAGGTCCTTTAAAATGGTGGTGGTACTTTAGAGCTGAGCAAGTGCACAAGTTCATCTACTTATTTATCTGGCCAGGGCGATTATTTATCTGGCCAGGGCGACTTCTTTTATATTGTTATTTATTTTATATTGTTATTTTATATTGTTATTATTGTAATTTTTATTATGTTGTAAGCCGCCCCGAGGCTTCGGCAAATGGGGCGGCATATAAATGTTTTAATAAATAAATAAATAAATAAATAAATAAATATAAATAAATAAATAAATAAATAAATACTTGAAATGCAAAGACTTGCCTGGTCAGTGTCCTGTTAAGAGCTTGCTGTCAAAGCAGGCAACATCCATGGACATTGATAAAGCTAGACTTCAAAAACATAATTTGATTTCAGTTGACAGCTGTCAAATAGTAGATTCTCAGGAATATGCAAAGCTGTGACTACTCACCTCTTCACAGCGAGTTCCTCTGCTTTGAGTATGGACCAGACATTTTTCAGTGTCCTCTATTTTTTCGCCCCTTTCCCAACCCTCATGTTACTCCAAAAGTTTCAGCCCCCCCCCACCCCATGCACAAGAGCATTTAATTTTGATAGCTGACAAAATTAAGAGTTTCCTTTAAAATTTGGGATTTTTTTGACAGGACGGAACAGCTTTTTTTAAAGAGACATGTGCCGATTTCATGGCTGTATTGTAACTGTTTTGCAGCCTTGTTTTTTTTCAAGTCCATGCATGTTCCTTCCTGCACTTTGACAGGACATTGTGACCAGACAAGATTTTAATTTTTGCTAGTTGGAGGTGCATACACACACACCTTCAAACTACTAACAACCCCTGAAAAAATTGCATACATTTCATTTATTTTTCTAATATTGTTTTAAATAAGAATTTTTATAAGCAGGAATATATGAAACATATTTTTCCCCTGTTGACAACCCTGACTTTAATCTACAAATTTCTTTTATGAAATCAGAATTAGAATATCTTACTGAAGCTCATCAAAGCAGTCTATAGAAATGTATATATTGATAGAAATATATTAGTATACTTGGCCCTCCACATTAATGCAGGTTAGGGGCGCAGGATACCCACAAAAGTGGAAAAACTGAAAATGTCTTTAGGCTCCCACCAAACCTATTAAATCTAGTCAACTGCTAGGTCCTGGCCTATGTGGAACTCCAGCCCAGCTTGTCCTATCCCTCCAAGGGAAGAGAGCTGGGTGATACCCACTGCAGCTGGGAGAATCCACAGGAAGGGGCTGGCTCGTGTCCGCAGTTGCCGCCATGCCCCCCTGGGTGGGGGTGAGCAGGTGCCATCATACAGCCATGATTCACACTCAACCCTGCTAAATGCCCTAGCCCTCCAACCAAATTCCCATGTAATTATTGATGGCAAACTCCTGAATAACCAAGTCCACAAAAGTTAAACCCACAGTAGTGATGTTCAACTGTATAGATAATCCTGCGGTGCAATCCTATGCATGTTAATTTATATTGCTAGATAAATATGCGTAGGAGTGTAGCCTTAATTTTTCTGGATGAAGTAAGCTAGTTTTTACTACAGCAGAAAAGCCACCCTGGTAAATTATGTCAATATGGTCTTACAAGTCCATTTTCTTTGTATCTCAGAAATTTAATGACTAGAAGAAGCACTTGCTGTTCTTGTAATGTTTTTCTTTTTTTGAACATTAATATTTGCCAAGTGACCAGGTGTTTGGGTTTTTTTGTTTTTGTTTTTGTTTTTTTGTGAGTTTCTGAGCTAGCTAGGAAGCAGTAAATCCCTGTTGAGTCAATTCTCCATTTTGACTGAATTTCTAATGCATGATAGAGTTAATATTTCCCAAATGCATGTTTGCTTCTCTTATGATAGTCCTGTGGCATACTGGAGAAATCAGTTCATTTGGAAAATATGCATATATTTCCATTGATGACTCCAACATCTATCCCATCCTTGCAAAGTTCTTAAACTTCTACTTGATTTGCTTTATTATTCATGCTATAGTAGCCTGTTGAATGAATACAAAGATTAACACTGTTCTGTTGTATTTGCTTTAATATTTGAGAAAAAGAAAACTTTAGATTGTCCACAGCATAATCCATCTAGAGAATCAATTTCAAATATTTATTCCAGTCTTCATCAAAAAAGTCTCCTCTATGGCTTATATGCAACCAGTAAAACAAGATAGTACCCAAGCACTTTTCCTATACAATTTTTAATTAATTTCAGTTCTACTTACTTTGGGCAATGGCCAGTGTTCTAGAGTTATATGCAGAGTAGATGATCCCTCAGGTAACCTGGTTCCAAGCCATTTATAGTGCTAAGGTTTAATACTGATTGGGTGTCATTTGTATATTGATCATACTTCAATACATATCCTTTAACAACATTTCCAGCAATTCTGTGACAGAACCCTAAAGTGCGATCACCTAGGAGTCCAGCAGTAGTCCCCTAGAGCTCCAGTAATCCTTCTGGATTTGTTCATTCAAGTGAATAAAGAACCATTGCAGTATAGTACCTCCAATTCCTAGTCCAAAAAGCCTATCTAGTTTGCTGTGTGATCTGTGAGAATCAATGGGATCACACCATTCTGACCTTCTCTTGACAAAGGGCATCACACAGGGCAAATAGGCAGTTTCTGTTCCAAACGTAAGCCTGACCTCAGATTTGAAATCAGTTTAGAAAAATCAGTTTCATCCAAGCAGTTACCCACTTGAACAGCCTACCCATTTTCAGGTTAAGATTTTTATGTTTAAAGGATGTTTTGAGATTGATTATACAACTGTTTTTAGGTGGAGAACTTCATTTTCTCCAGATTGGAGGAACTTGTGATGATGTTGATGAAGCTGATATACTTGTGGATGCATCTCTCTCAAAAGTCACAGAGCAGTTAACAGAAGGCACAAAGCCTTTATCCAATCCTTCCAGTCCAGGCATTACAGGTAAATGTCCAATATTGATCAAATGGTTGTCTTTCAAACATGCCTTCAGAGTACATTTTAGAAACCATTAAACAAAATAAATATGCTCTTGCTCTGAATGCATAAACACCAAATGGTTGAAATAAAACTAAATTGGCTTTATTTCATACATATTCCATCATAAAATAGTAGAGTTGGAAAGGGTCAGAAGGCCATCATGTCCAACTTCCAGCTATTGCAGGACACTAAGTTACACCATCCCATTTAGATGATTGTCCGTATACTGCTTTTCTATTATAACTAAAGTAACATTTTTGTATTTTCTTTTTGCAGAACAGTATTTTCAAAAGTCAGGGTTTTTAAAAAGGCAGAATGTATGTAGTTTTAAAATAACTGATATTTTAATAGTGAAGTTTTTTTTCTTGCTGCAGTTTGCTCATTTGTTTTATTTCTAAATGCTGAATTGGAGGCATTCTTTAAAATGTCTAGCAACATAATAGAAACATAGCAACTGATGATATCAGTACTTTTTAAATGTTACAGCTGTGCCAAAGGATCAGTTATGTATTAAAAGTTCAACTGTGTAGCCTGTCTTTTTATTCAGTATAAATTGATTCATTGTTTATCTGTTGAGTTTCCTCTTACTTTCTAATTAAAAATTACAGGAGTTGATCTTTTAGTGGACCAGCCATTTTCCCTTGAAACTTTGACATCCTTAGTGGAGCTTACTCGTTTTGAAACTCTGACACCACGATTTTCAGCTACAGTTCCTCCATGTTGGGTTGAGGTCCAACAAGAACAGCAACAAAGGCGGCATCCACAACATTTGCACCAGCAGCATCATGGGGATGCAGCTCAGCATACTCGAACTTGGAAATTACAAACAGATAGGTGGATATTTGATAGTATCATAGCTTTACAAAAATTCCCCATTTATTTGAATACTTTATCTACCTGATATTGTGATTAAGAGGAGGTGAAAGGCTCCTAATGCTGGGATGGGTTTTGAGTCACACCATATGTGTAGGTTCTAGAATGAACAAAATGTGTGACATGATCAAGCTGTTTCATACCTTTGATTGTAAACCTAAAATACTGAATTACCTCACTAGATGAAAACTTTCTATAAAACAGGGTGAATAGATCCTTTTATATTTGAAAGTGGAATTCATCTTAAATTGCTGCTTTACTTAGTAGCGTAGAATGCAACCTTTTCTTTCTATTGTAGAGTACAAATAAATACGAAAGAGAACTGGAGCAGCCTGTTTCTCAAGGGTGCACATTTAATCATTAATTTTTCTGTCCCTTTGTAGCAACAGCTGGGATGAACATGTCTTTGAACTGGTTTTACCAAAAGCCTGTATGGTTGGACATGTAGACTTCAAATTTGTTTTGAATTCAAACATCACAAACATTCCACAGATTCAAGTGACTTTGTTGAAAAATAAAGCTCCAGGATTAGGGAAAGTCAATGGTAAGCTAAGAGTGGGTGAATTTCTTCTTTAAGTTCTTAATGTTTAGATATTTTAATTTTAACTGCCTTTAAAAATTGTGGTAAATAGATAGAATGGATTGAAACTGTCAAAGTGCTATCTTAAATTGATTTTCCTGAGGAAAAATCAAGAAATTGAATTTCTAATTTATTTGGTTTGTCAGTCATGAAAACACTTTGCGTCTGGATGTACAGTAGAAAGTAATGCTGACTTGATTCAGTTGATACTCTGTTTGAGTAAAGCATGGTGGAACAAAGCCTGGTGGTAAATTGGAGATCAGTGAACATTCATTGCCACCCCAATGGCAAGAGGGTATAATATTTCCAATTGTATGAATACATCTTTTTGCCATGCCTCAAGTGTGGGGAATGTGCTTTGAATAGTATAGTCTGTATTCCGTTATCCAGTCAAATGAATCTAGGAGTCACTGCAAATAACTACAGTGGCATAGCAATTAGCATTTGTCTGGTTTAATGCCCTGCAAATAATTTTCACCAGGGGACCAGACAGTCTGTCACCATAATAGCTGCAGGCATCAGGATTCTGCCTCCATATGCTGTCTCCATAGCAGTGGAAATTACATACATAGTAGTGTATCTCCTTCTTACCCTTTAAAGGGGTGTAAGAGGAATGTTTTGTACATGCACTGATTACTTTAACAGAGATTGAGCTGGCATGAGTGTGTGTGCATGCGAGAGAGAGAGAGAGGATTTCCATGCCAGAGTAAACCACATTGAGTTGTGAGCCTTGTTTGTGTCACTGTGACTTATTGTGACATCAGAACCCAGCATGATGGCTTGTCCCAAGTAGATGCAATACTGGCAAGAGCATTGAAAAGTTTGGCTAGTGCTCGCAATGTTGCCTTCAGTCTTCTTCAACAGTAATTGCTCTCCACCAATAGAGAAATTCCACCTGGAATGTCCTGAAAGTGTTTGCCACTTTTTGTTGTTTGTTTTTTCAAAAGTGACCAATTGTGTTGGTATCCCTTGCCCCACGTCCTTAAACAAGTGCACACATTTTCTTGGTTGCTATGTACAGTCTACAGGTGTACCTTCACATCATCTGTGTAAAATACAGACTCTGCTTCAGCTTCTTCTCAGAGAGTTTGTGTAGTTCACTGTCAATAGGGGCATTGAAGTGAACAAATGTACAAGGAAAGTGACCAGGCAAATAGTACAGACTACATGTAGTGACAGGTGAATCTGTGTACTTGCAAAGGATTGGCTAGGGGTGGGGAGCAACTAAACTCCTACTTGTCCTCTCACCTTACATCATGAACTGACACTTGCCAGTCCCTTCTCACCTACTTCAGCTTATCCCTTGACCCCAAACCTGGGAAACGACTGCTGAATAGGATGGAGCTATTGGGAAAGGTAGGCACAGTTACGGTGGGAGTCTGAGTTACTTGCTGCAGGAGTTTGTGTACTTATGAAATTGTGCTAATGCTGTTTGCTCCTCACCCCATTTTGCAGAAGTGCACATCTGTGAAGGTGAAAAGAGGCATATTTCCATAATTATATTTATACTCTTGCAGTAATTACACTTTTCCAATAACCATGTTCCATTTAGCCTCCATTTTTAGACGAAAGTGTTCAAGTAGCAGAAGGAAATAGGCAAGGTAACTTAGCAAGATGCAATATACTGAGAACATGAAGCTGGCTAGTTGTTTCTTAAGGCATTCATAATAGCACTGATCTGTAATGCTAAAGGAAGTCAATAGTGGAGAGTAAATTTGCATAATTGTTTGCCTACACAGGACAGAAATAAAACCCCAAGCATTTATGTATTTTAACAGCAGTGCTTGTGAACAGAAAAGATGCAGTGTAATGGGGTAGCAGTTGGAGTAGGGTGAGGAGCTAGACAATTTCTCTTGCAGGAGCAAGGATGCTAGGGGGTTGTGCCACTTAGTGCTAAGTGCCTAGAGCAGGCAAGAGGACTAAGGAACCAACAAGCCATGGCTAGCTGCAGAGTATGTATTCATCTTTCAGGAATAACATTGTATACTCTGAAAATAAAAAGATTTGGCAAAAAAAGGAGTAAAATGGACTGGTGAGCAAACAGCCAACCATGGCGAGTTATTTTCAGCATGGTTTCTTGTGATTGGCAAAATGGGCTAGATTGAAATGTGGTAGTTAGTTACTGGAGAAAGGAATAGTGGACACTGCCTCCTGAGTATTTACTGTCATGTAAAGTGCAATGTTGGTGCAGAAGGGATGTGGCATTTTTTTCTCTAGCTGCACAGAGCAACTAAAGGTTTAATATTGGTTCCCAAAAATTTGTTTATTGTGCCCCAAAACTGGAATTATTCTTTAAACCTGAATACTTTTCAAAATACTATAGGTATTACATGTTACAAGATTAGTGGCAGATTTCAAAAATACCCCTTTTGAAATTTTATACCACTTTATACATGTTATGAACAAAATTGTCTTCTGAGGTATATTCAAATGAAACTCAAGAAAGAGTTTTGAAGAGAAATTGCACTAAACTTATTTTTTGCTCCTAATGTGTTTGATTTCTTAGAGGCAGCTGTAGATAGACAGATAACATTTCCTTTGTCACCAGCTCATAATGTTGAAATGGAAAGGAATGGAAAACCAGGTCTGGATGATTTGAATGAAGAAATGCAAAACATGGATGTAGAGGAACCACAATGTGAGTTATGTTTCAGTACAGCATTAGTTTAAAATGCTTTTATTGTCCTTTGTTGGTTGATTCCAATATGTTTGAACTTCGTTTTAACTGACTGTGGGTAGAACAAATGATAGTTCTATGAATTTAGATGTATTTTGACTAGAAGAAAAATGGAACATTTCTTGGACATGAGCTTGTCGATGCACATGAACTTAATGTGAGGCTTTTTCATAACAAGAAATCTTAGTGTGTCTAGGTCTGAAAAAAACAAGTCCTTTGCTAATAATTTGATGTAATTTAATAAAATGGCATATTCATTTGGATGGGTTGGTATTGCCAGCCTTTGCAGTTTTACTTTTTGAAACTTTATTTTGCAGGTCTTCGGCTATGTCCCTTTTTAGAAGATCATAAGGAAGATATTCTGTGTGGGCCTGTATGGCTGGCTACTGGACTTGATCTTTCAGGGCATGCTGGGATGTTGACACTGACTAGTCCAAAGCTCGTTAAAGGTGAATCGTTTTGCTAGTACATGTTTCATTGAAACAAAATGAAACGCTTTAAAATAGTGAGAATTTTTAAAGAAATTCACAGAAATGAACTGGCTTTCTCCAGTTGTCTATTAGAATCCAAAACTAACATACCATTTTCAAGTGTTTACCTAAGAAATTAAATGTGGATTTGTTGCCTACTTTGAAACATTCATGTCAAACGAGTCTTAAATATGTTTGTTTGTTTTCCACATATCTTTTTGCTTCTAGGCATGGCAGGTGGAAAATACCGTTCATTTTTAATTCATGTGAAAGCAGTGCATGACAGAGGGACAGAAGAGATCTGCAATGGTGGAATCTGGCCTGTTGTAAGGATACCATCTCTAAAACCTCAAAACAGCAAGGGTCATTCTCTTGCTTCACTTTTGGCAAAAGTTGCAGCAGGCAAGGTATTTAAATAACATACCCAGAAAAACTTATGTTGCTCCTACTGAATCAGTTGATGAAACCCTTTCTAAAAGAAATGAACTGTCTTTTATGTAATCATAATATGGATTTTAAATTGACACTGGGTTGCTAAGAGTAAAATGTGGAATCATTTGGAATTCAGAAGATACGTCATTTTGGGGATCTGTTTATTTATTTATTGCCCCTCAACTGTTCTTTCATTCTGCATTCCTAAGTAAGTAAGATTATAAAACTACCATGGCCATGTCTGCATATCACACTAAACTGTATTTAACACAAGATGAACAAGCGGATAAAAAGTGCATTGAGCCTTACATGGGGAAGGAAGCTGAATTAAACAGTTTATGCTTCTACATAGCTACTGTTTCTAAATTGCAGTTAGTATTAATTATGATTCAGTAATGTCAACCCAGTTTTGTTGAAGTTAATAATAGTTAAAATTCTGAGTCTGAACAACCCTTGCATAATCCAAATAAAAGGCATGTTCCTGACTGCTTTGGAAGGAAGAGTGGGGAGAATGCAAATCCAGATATCACTGCAGGTCATTTGTTCTTGTTACAATTGTAGTAAATATGAGTATTTTGTGAGTATGATGCTTTATGGACATTGTGTTTAATTTACCCAGTATGACCTGTGCTGCATGCTGGCAGTCATTTTTTTTTCATAAGAAAGAAACTCTGGTTATGCATCATGGCTTGTGTGAACCCAGTGAGGATGGATTTTTGATATGGCTAACAAGCTATCCGCAACCCATGGTCTGTTTTCTGACCCAAAATAAAGAGTATTTCACAAAAATCCCTCTGTGTGTGCCCCTGTAGAGATGGGCTAGCCTCCTAGATCTGTGCAGGCCCTCTAGCTGGCTAGCCCACTTCTCCCAGTGCCATGTCATGGGATCAGGGATCAGGCTGAGTTCTTCTGGTTTGTCTTCCACATTCTTTTCCAGCACCTTCAAACCTTTCAGTTTCTATAGTCTTCCTGAACATCCTGAATGGCCTCCAGATGACTCCTCAACCACCGTCTCTTTGTCCATAGACCTCATTTCCCAGGCTTTTCTGTCCTCATCCAAAGAGTCAATGCCACCATGGCCCTGGGAAGCATACCAAGAATAACTGCCTCTTTCATTCTTAACAGCTTCAAAAATTTTACATAAAATAGCCTTGCTAATGTTGGAACAGAAAATGATGTTGCTTTTATGTTTATTTCCCATTCTAGAGGAACTGAATGTATTTTATTGTGAGCATACAGAGATACAGAGTTTGACTTTTGGAATTAATGCTGTAATTCTTTAGCTTTTTTTTTTAATTTGTAGGACAAGTCATCCAATAAAACAGAAGCCAGCAGTTCATCAAGGAAATCTGACAACCTCCGAGGATGTGACTTGCTTCAAGAAGTCTCTGTAACTATTAGAAGATTTAAAAAAACATCTGTTTCAAAGGAAAGGTAAATTTTATATTAGTGTGTAAGTTCAGAAATATTTAAATTATTCAGACTGCTGAAAGCAAGTACATAGAGTAAGCATAATTAAATTACTTCATTTTTGTAGTAGCTCAAATAATACTGTTCAAGACATGGCGCAGAAGTTCTAAGTCCAGTCCCAACTACATGTTATGTAAGCAGAGAACCTTTTTAGTTGCTGAGTAGACACACTTATTAAAATGGTTTGGTGGAAAAATAAGGCCTTTTTAATGTCAGCTTCTTCCATTTTGGCAATTAACATTTTTCTTGGGAATTGCCTTTTTCCCCCCTCTGTAGAGTTCAGCGGTGTGCTATGCTACAGTTTTCAGAATTCCATGAGAAACTTCTTAACACCCTTTGCAAAAAGGCAGAAGATGGAGCTGTCACAGAACATGCTCAGAGTCTTGTGCTAGATATCTTATGTTGGTTGGCAGAGGTTCAGTCCAATGGACCAAGCAGGTAAAAAATCTTCTGTTTTGCCTTTCATTAGGAAGTGTTCTTAAAATTCAGAGTTATGTTTCAAAAATTGTTTTTGTTTTTTCAGTTCAAAAGAAACAAATGAAAGCTTACTATCTAAAACAAGGATGTGTCTCTTCGATATAGTGCGTGTTTGCTTCTTTGAAGCAGGGCGAAGCATAGCACACAAATGTGCACGGTTTCTAGCTCTTTGCATAAGGTTGGTAATTATATGACCTGTGTTTGTATTAATTAAGCTGATGGTTCTCTTCAATTGAATATGCTAGTTAACATTCTGAGAACCAGCAAATTCTATAGAGAAAATCTATACCTTAGTATGCAGTGCTATACATATTTGCTTAGAATTAATATCCATTGAGTTTGATGGGACTTAATTCCAAGTGTGTGGGTATAGGAATGCAGCCTTTGTGGAAAGTCCTCTTCTTCACTGAAACGTCTTTATTATAAACTGTAGCTTTTGTATGCCTGAAGTGCCTGATCCTGCCCAATCTTAGACGCCAAGCAAGATCTGGCCTGGTTGAAATTTGGATAGGTGACTGAAATGTGAACTGCCCAGAGAACTTTGGCTATGGGCAGTATAGAAATGTAATAATAATAATGAAGAGTATCTGCTCAGCACTAAAGCACGGCAATTTGATGACATGTATTGTGCTTTATTTTTTATAGCAATGGGAAGTTTGAGTCAAGTCAGCAAGGATTTGGCTCGATTCTCTTGAAGGCCTTGCTTGGAAATATAGCTTATTTACCAGCAGCTGCAACAGGAGGTAAGCTTTAAAATTCTATGTTATCTCCATATTCTTTTTGTCATATTTGGACCAAAATCTGCCTACTACTAATTCTGGATGAGACTTATTAAGTAGTGCAAAATAGCAGTACATCTCACTTGTCATGACCTGCAGAATGATGTCTGAAGACTAAAGAGTCAATTGTATCTGTAAGATTATTAAAGCCTACTACAACTTGTATAAAATACTTTATATTATATATATTATATATTATAAAATATGGTTCAACAGCCATTGATCTGTCTCATAAATGTATATATAAATCATATTTTGGTGATCACTTGCACCTCAAAATCTGTTGGTGTTTTTTCTAGGATCTGTGTATTGGTATTTTGTATTGCTGAACTATGTGAAGGATGAAGATTTAGCTGGCTGCAGTACTGCTTGTGCATCCCTGCTAACTGCAGTGTCCAGACAGTTACAGGACCGGTTAACACCCATGGAGGCATTACTTCAAACAAGGTAGTCAAAGAAATGTGAGGGCAGAAAGGGAAATATGTTCTGATTCTGGGTGATACTGCTAGTCTAACATTTATAGCTGCACTACGTTTGAGTATGTGCTCATTTGCTGCTCTTGAGTTATTTTAGTTCTTCCTACTCCAATCAAAAAATAGGAAGAGCCATTTTCAGGATTAGGGCTGCCCCCCCACCCCCAGGAAGAGAAATAGGAGGCAAGCCTACTTGTGATCCTGTAGGAATAGAATAACTGTACTGATTTGTTTCGAGGCTCATTTTAAAGTGCCAGTTATAATGTTTAAAGCTTTACAGGCTTTGAGCAATTTTATATGCCTCAATATCTGTCATTTTCCATATGAACCTGTCACTCAATAAGAGCATCATCTGAAGCCCTTTTAAATGTTCCAGTTATCCCTAAAGCCCATCTAGTTGTGACCTTGAAGAAGACCTTTCTCGAAATGCCAAAATGTTTAGGGAGCTTTTTTGAGGTTCTTCCTCTTGTATTCCCAAGTAGATAGCTTGTTTTTAGAGGGGCCTTTGACCAGTAACTGGTATCTGTGATGTGATGGGGTGGTGGTTGTAGTTTTGTTAGGCTATTGTCATAGAGTTGCTTATTTTGATCCTGGCTGCTTAGATTTTGTTAACTGAAGTTAACTGAAGTTTTATTGTATTAATAGCGATTCTGTTAAACCCTATGAACTATCTTCAGGAAAGGTGGGGTATAAATCTTCTAAATATCTAAAGTAAGAACTGTTTTTAATTTTGACATTCTGCAGATTTAACATGGTAATATGCTTCACTAGTTTTGCTTAGTTTTGCCTTGTCCTGCTGCAGTGCTACCCACTGCTGACCATGTTATACATTACTTCAAAGGGGGTTTCTGACCCTCAGAGACAATCTTTCCTGAACAAAAAGCAGTTGCAGCAGAAAAAGTGGCCAAAAAAAGCTGAGGATTGCATGCAGTTGTTTGGGTCTTAGCCATAATGAGCATATCTTGCATGATTTGAGAGATTTTGACATAGACAAAATTAACTGTCAGGCTCTTTGGTTTTGCCCAGTATGACTTGATTTTTTCCCCTTGATACTCATTCTGCCTCCCAGAAATATTAGACTAATTTTTTATACATGGTTTGCCATATTGCTGATAAATTAAATAAAATTCCTGGAAAATACCATGGAAGACTTCCATGTAGGTACCAGGTGTACCTCTCTGGGAAGTTAATTCCGTAGCCATAGTGCCACAACAAAAAAGGCCACCCACCTGCCTTCCTTTGGCAGGAGCTCCTTCAAAGGCCATTAACTGCTTCTTCCTGAAAACAGCAGCCCTATAGAAGATGGAATCAGTGGAACAGTGTGGAAGAAACAGGTATTTAACAGGACTGGTTTTTGGATGTCCTGTACGAGTAAAACCAGCATTATGTGAACAAAACTGCACTCATGCTCTAGATGTTCCCCCCCCACCTGCATGTCCTTCAAACCTGCTTCAAAGGATACTCAAGCCTCTGGAGCAGATTTGGAGTGGCACAGGGAGACGACCTATAGCTATTAATTGCTTGTCTTATCCCATGAAACAAGTTTGCATTTCACAATGTCAGTAAAGATAGCAATTTGCTATTTTTCCTACAGGTATGGATTGTATAGTTCACCTTTTGATCCAGTGCTGTTCGATTTGGAAATGAGTGGCTCTTCTTGTAAGAATATATATAACAGCAGCATTGGTGTACAGTCAGACGAGATTGATCTATCTGATGTTCTCTCAGGTATGCACACATTTTAGCAGTACTTGCTTCTTGCGACACATGTATTTTCTTGCAATAACCTATAAACAACCTTTCTTAAGCAACTCTGCCATTGAAGGTTGATAACTTGCTTTATTATGTGTGAGAAACATGCCATTTTATTTATTTATTTATTTATTTAAAACATTTCTATGCCGTCCCCATTGCAACAAAGTCTCGGGGCGGCTCACAGCAACAACCAAATTATACAATAAAAATATTAAAACCCGGTGCATCTCGGCTTAAATTTTTTTTTTAAATCCTACAAATAACCAATAAATTAACACTTAAAATAATTTTTAAGTAAAAAGGTCTTAGCCTGGCGCTGACAAACAAATAATGACGGCGCCAGGCGGACCTCTCTGGGGAGCGCATTCCATAGGTGGGGCACCACCGCAGAGAAGGCCCTCCGCCGGGTACTCACCGTTTTAATATTCACAGAGGGTTCCCGGAGAAGGGCATCTGTTGCTGATCTCAAGGGGCGGGAGGGCATATATGGACACAAGCATTCCTTTAGATATTTTACTTAAGATTCAAATGTATACACTTTGACAGCTCACTCCTCATAACTAGTTTTATGATTATTTCTTCAAGTTAGTGGATCGCATCTTGAGTTGCTATCAGTGGGGACTCAGTGGTGCTGAAAGGGGACATAGGGTAGTCAGCTTCCTTAGCATGAACCCTCATCTTAGTCCTTAGCACCATCCCCCACCCTGTTGAGGATGGTTGAAGAACCCTCAAGAAAGCGTTAATGTAATGCTAGCAGCTGCAGAGAGAAGGAAGAAATCAGAGACATTTCACCTAGCCCCTTTCTCCAATGGGATGCCTGAGATAGATCGCAGTCCCTCCACAAAGGAACTTTTCCAAGCTCTGAATCCATCTTTTATACAAAAGCTTGTTTCGATTGCACTTTTAAAAAAGCTTGAATCCCAGAGTGTTCAAGTATGAACAGAAGGTACTTCAACTCATGCAAGGAGGTGGTGTCTTCTGATTTTCATCAATGCTTCCTTCTTTCTGTGGTTTCCTAGTTCTCATGCCACACCATTCTGGAGGGTCTTCCAACCCTCCACAGTGAGATGCAGTGAGAATACAAGTATGGAAAAGTCCCTTTCTAAGCAGAGACATCCACTTGCTGTAGAAGAACAACTCGGTAGCATCCTGCTTTGCCCAGTTGTACTTTGCAGGTTTGAGGAAAACCATAGTTCTGGAATAAGTTTGTCTATGGTTGATGTTTAATCTGCTGTCTGGCATTTTTAAAGTGAGCCTGCTAAACTAGATGTAAACATCTTGGTCAGTGTTCCTGAAATACTGGGCATTATGGTGGGAGGTGCATGGCCCACCTTGAAAATTGTTATTACCAGTCATTATCAAAGGGAATTGAATGATGCTAAGTGTTTTTATTTAGGAAATGGAAAAATCAGTAGCTGTGCAGCAGCTGAAGGTAGTTTTACTTCCCTCACCGGTCTCCTGGAAGTTGAACCTCTGCATTTTACATGTGTTTCAACTAGTGATGGAACCAGAATAGAAAGGGACGATGCAAGTACGTTTACTGGTATATACACTTTATTATTTCTTTCTAAACCAACCAAACTAGAGTGTTAGTCTGATAAAACAGTTCTGTTTGAATAAGGTTCAATTATTCAATTAATGCAATTATTGATTTGAGCACCTAAATCTTTAGTAAAATTAGGGAAAATAAAACCTTTGATCTTAAAATAAGAGTTTAGATTGCTTGTGGAAAAAATGAATTTCTGTTCCATAATTAATATTTTGTTTTCTCTGCTTGCTTCGCAAATAGAATTTTGCAGTACAGTTGCATAAAATGGTAACTCTTGCTATAAAAGGAAAGTCCCTCAGTAACTGGCTATTTTTTAAGCTTGCTTTCATCTCTCATATTAAAACAATTAGAATGCAGTATTTAGAAGAATGCTTCGTTTCTTGCTTGTCTACATACATTTCTTTTGTTTCTTTGTTTCATGCCAGTGAGTACCTTCGGGGTTACCCCAGCAGTTGGTGGCCTCTCCTCTGGGACAGTTGGGGAAGCCTCTACAGCACTGAGTTCAGCGGCCCAGGTAGCTTTGCAGTCTCTCTCTCATGCAATGGCTTCAGCCGAGCAACAGCTCCAGGTGCTTCAAGAGAAACAGCAGCAGCTTTTGAAGCTTCAGCAACAGGTTGGAGGCCATCTCTTTCATGATGTCTCTAAACTTCAAAAGCTGAGAGAGTAGTTACCATAAATACAAAAATATCTCTTTAAAAACAATTCAAATCACTATTAGCAAATGCACATCTTTTATAGCTTAGAAGAAACTTCATGTTTCCTATATAATATATTCCATTCCCTGTTTCAAAGGGTATTTCACATTAACTTACACTTAAATTTTTACATCAGACTGAGGACAAAAGGTGAGGAGATAGAAAATACAGTTGGATTAGTAAAAACATTAAAAGAAATAGCGTGCTCTTCAGTAAGAGCCCTACAACAAGAATTTCATTGACTCTGGAAGGAGAAAAGGATGTAAAGGTTGTGTATTCCTTCTCAAGTTTCTGCTTTTGCAGTCCACATACATTGCATGGTTAAGCCATTTTTAGCTTTGTCCAAAGCACAATTAAACTCAAGGATTTTAAGATCGACCACCACTTTAAGTACATTTTTGTAAGGTTTTTTTAATATCAATACAAGGTATTCCAAATGAGCATGGTGATACATATCTCTGTACACACAAACATTTGTGAAGACACAGGTGTATGTCTGTATCTGGGAATCTCATATATATAATCAGCTGTATGGCTCCCTCTTTCAAGGTACTTGGATTCCTGATATGAGCTATGGTGTGTTAATACTTCAGTGCCAGCTCCTGTGATCCTTCCATCTTTTTTTGATGTGGAGGAGCCATCACAATCAGATGCCTGTGGTGTAAGAATGTTAGACTGTATGCATAATGGAATGGTGTGCACTTGGGGCCTCTCTACATGTATGGTTCATGTGTGAGCCAGGCTCTAGTTGTCTTGGCTTGATTTGGATGTAAACTTCCTTGCATAAATTTCTTTGGGAATAAAATGCCATTGAATGCATTTGGACTTTGAATGTATTTAAGCCATTTGGCCCATCAATTCTAAATGGATCTACTCCAGTTTACATTATTTACACATGAGTCTGTGTCTAACTGAAGTGCTGAGCAGGGTTTAGGTGAGTTTTAAAATGTTAGCGCTTACAAATTTCATTTTTCCCTTGCATCGTTTATCACTGCTACGTTTTGCATCTTTTGTTTGTTTGTTTTTTGTAGAAACCTTTGGTGTGTTTAAATGAAAGCTGAGGCAATTTGCTTTTTTGTTTGTTTTTGTTCTTGCTGCTTGTTGCTAATGCCTTTATTCCTAGTGCCTTATAGGCAGCACTGGCCTACAGTACATATGCTGCTTTTATTTTCCCTGCAGAAAGCAAAGCTGGAAGCAAAACTACATCAGACAACAGCAGCAGCTGCTGCAGCAGCATCAGCAGTTGGTCCTGTTCACAACTCTGTGCCTTCCAACTCAGTAGCAGCCCCAGGGTTCTTCATTCATCCGTCGGATGTCATCCCACCCACTCCTAAAACAACCCCCCTGTTTATGACTCCACCTCTAACGCCACCTAATGAGGCAGTTTCCGCTGTTATCAATGCAGAGCTTGCACAGCTTTTTCCGGGCTCAGTCATTGATCCTCCACCAGTTAACCTTTCTGCACACAACAAAAATGCAAACAAGTCCAGAACGGTAACTAAAAAAAGAGCTTTCATGAAATTCCAATCTAATTAATGTTAATGACAGGAACTACTTTGACTGATTGCTAGTTTGCCTATTTATCTGAGTGTAGACAGTATGTTTTGATAGGCAGTATTGTTACAGTTCCTTGATCTATCCCCAGATCTTTTAAACCTAAATTCCATATAAGAAAGCTAGTGCAAATAGATAGCTCATTAATGCTTTGAAACTTTTCCATTGGTATGCTAATAAACTAATCCTTATATGGTGTAACTGATTTTTTTTTACCTTGAGTTTCCAAAGGCTTCCTCTTTTTACTTTTGCATGTGCAATAGCTGATGACTAATATCAGAAACAAGTGTGATATATTGGTTAATTTTCCCTTCTTTCAGAATCCACTTGGAACTGGCCTTGCTCTTGCACTATCTCATGCTTCACATTTTCTTCAGCCTCCGCCTCATCAGTCCATCATTATAGAGCGAATGCATTCAGGTAAAATTATGGTATCTTAATTTTAATTCAAAATAATAATTGGTCCTTGTAGCCCATATAATGGCCAGGATCCAGAGCTACTTTAGGCATGGCTTAGGTTTTAGGCCTGCCCAATAGGATTCTGGTCTCCTGTGTTGAAAAATACAGTGCTGGGCTTTTCACATTGTTTGCATTTCACTTGGTTTCAAAACAGTTTGTCATGTGGTCTGGAAATTTGGTGTTCCAAAAAGAGAAGCCCAAAGATCCCTTGAAGATGTGGAGCTAGTTGTACAGTTCTTTGGATACTAGCCAGTATTTTTTTGTTTGTGCTGAGCACATGAAGAGATTTTTTGTATGAAAAGCAGTTAAACTAAAACTAATTTAAGAAATAAGAGACCATCCATGGACTATTCGGTTGACATCATTTGGCCTGCTTTTAAACAATGTTTTTACATGATAATTCCACTTAAACAATTATTCAAATCATGATTTGGAGAACTGGGAGTGAATGGAGTGTCACACTTTTCTTCCTAGCCTCCAGTCCTTCTCATCTAGCGTTATCTGTAATATCCCGCTCGGCACACCTCTGCAAACCAGGATCAGATACGCGCTTAAGCCATGGTTTCTGGATTTGGTCTGAAGAGCTAGCATGATTCCTGGTTTACTTATCTTGCTGTCCCAACACACTGTGATTAAAACTAAACAGAAGGGTGTAACTGAAGAAGGCAGTATGTAGAATTAAGCTTCTTCACAGTCTGTTTAACCATAATTGCAAGGATTGTCCTAATTCTAGCAGTGACCTCTGCAGTGGAAGTAACTTTTCTAGTGAAGTTAAAAATCTGGTAACTTTAGAAGTGCACTGGGTTTGTATTTTTGGTTTTAATTATATATTGATCGTGATTGCTCTTCTGCAACCTTTACCTTGAATTCCTTGTACTTTTTAGTAGTTCATGAAGTCTTAACCTTTTTATAGGTGCAAGGAGGTTTGTGACCTTAGATTTTGGAAGACCCATATTATTGACAGATGTGCTGATTCCAACTTGTGGTGATCTAGCTTCCTTGTCAATTGATATTTGGACACTTGGTGAAGAAGTTGATGGAAGAAGACTAGTGGTTGCTACTGATATTAGCACCCATTCTCTCATTCTACATGACTTAATACCACCACCAGTTTGCAGGTTCATGAAGGTAACTTTTTTCTGTTCTCTTCTAATAAATTGGATTTGCTAAATATTACTAAGGTTAGCTATTTTCAATTATTGCATGCTTTTCATATTTTAAAATAATAGCATTAAAGGCTATTATGCCTTTCATTTCAGATCACTGTCATTGGTCGTTATGGAAGTACAAATGCTAGAGCCAAAATTCCTTTAGGATTTTACTATGGCCATACATATATTTTGCCACTAGAAAGTGAGCTGAAGATTATGCATGATCCTCTGCGTGGGGAAGTTGAATCTGCAAACCAGCCAGAAATTGACCAACACTTAGCCATGATGATTGCATTGCAGGAAGACATACAGTGCAGGTAAGATAATGCATTGGAAATTTACGGTCCAGGGTTAATTTTAAAGGTATATTTCTAGCACAGCAGTATAATACAGGATTGCTGAGTGCTACCAGATCTTTTCCTTTACTCTGCTTAAAGCCCTGTGTGAAAAGTTGGAGATTTTGTTTCTGTTACCTCCTACGTGTCCTGCATTGCTAAATTTAAATGCTTCATGTTTTTCCTTTTCCATCATACAGGTATAACCTAGCCTGCCATCGACTTGAAACACTTCTGCAAAGCATTGACCTTCCTCCTTTGAACAGTGCTAACAACGCGCAGTATTTTTTACGGAAACCAGATAAAGCAGTAGAGGAAGATAGTCGCGTATTTTCTGCTTATCAAGACTGCATTCAGCTACAGCTACAGCTGAATTTGGCTCACCATGCTGTCCAGAGACTTAAAGTAGCTCTAGGAGCAAGCAGAAAGATTCTCAAGGAGCAAAGTGATCCCAAAGAGCTGATTCAGATGTCCTCCACAGAGCAGTTGCGCACAATTATCCGTTACCTGTTAGACACTTTACTTAGTTTACTGCACTCTTCCAATGGTTAGTAGCATAATTAGTTTTATTGATAAGTCTGGAATGATCCATTTGCTTGCTATCTCAGTGCCAATACCAAAAGTGTATGCTACTTTTAGTGTCATTAATAGTCTAGAAGCTGCACAGGGTACTGTGAATGAGTATGAATGAAATGAATAAGACCAAAGTAAAAAGTGACTAGGACTTTATAAAGTAGCAGAGGAGAGCAAGCTGAAGAGTCAGGTAAGGCCTATTCTGGACCCTTCAGCAGTTATACATTTTAATTTGCTGGTCTCATAGGAACTTCAGTATTGGTTCACTTGCAGCATTTGGAACTCCTCCACAACACCAAATTCTCTTTGCTGAGTTCTGTAAGTTGCCACTAGGCTGGCACAGGTGGTTTCTAGCATATCTGCATTCTCCCTGGAGAGTTGATACCTCTCACACTTGTGTGTTTGTTCTCATGCATGCAATAAAATTCCACGATAATTGTACTAAAAGCAAAGTAAAATAAGAGGAAGAAATCCTAGAAAGGTGGTTACGGTTAGCTTCAGTTTTTAGGGGCTGAATCAAGGTCAGGCAATTTATCACAAGGAAGTTACATGGGAGTACTTCCGTCTTAGAAACTAGCCATCACTCAATATGCTAAGCAGATTTTCCAGATACAACCCCAGATAAGTTGAAAACATGTAGACTTGCTGTGTTTATCACTTCAAGGACTAGATTTGATAATTAAGAGAAGGGTAACTGTTTAATGTCAATACACTGAGACATTGTGAAAGGCGGGATATAAAAGCTATAAATAAATAATCCAGAGTGCATCAGGTTGTTCACAGCACCATGGTACCTGGACCACCATTTAATTATGATTATGCAACAATGAGGGTTTGACTGGGAAAAGGGCTAAATTTAATTGAGGACTAGAGTCCTTACTACCCATTAGCCTGGATGTCAAAAGACAGCCAGTTGCCTGGACAACTTGGCAAAGGATTCTGTCAAAGGAAACACATGTCCTTTTGTGTGCCACAGCTCATGGAAGGAAGTCCAAATAGGTTCAGATTATGCAAAGAGCAGCAAGATGGTATCTTATGTATGGAATGAAAGGAGTGGATAAGAAAGTATCTTAAACCTTCCTATCTAGGAGGGTAATGGCATCTTTCTGAGATGTCTACAAGGATGCTGGTAAGGTACCACCCAAGGAATCCCTACTAATTCTCCTGGTCACTTCCTGTACTGTTGAGTAGACTCCAGCTGTAAGTGAAGAATTGGATCTGATGGGCTCCTCTCCTCCCTTCACACTTAGACTAAATAATACAGGATCAATTTATGTGCATCAGTAGTAACTGGGTTTGGTTGAAAGGTGCTTCCAAGAGTGTTTAAACCCTTAGTTCAAGCATTGGCCTCCATTCCTACTTACTTTGAGGCACTGCTGCTTTTTATGTCCCTGTTTCTGGACCACTGGAAAGGAACAGATTGGGAAAACCTCCTTTTCTAGGAATCTGTTCATATTTAATTTTTGAAAGCATTTTGGGGTCATTCTATTTAGGATACTCTTGTTCCTAGTATGTGTTGGGGAATAGCTATTAGGCTGTGGTGAATTGTCACTAATAACCAGCTCTAGGAAAAATAGAGGTGACTTACAGGTGAGTATGTTTTCCAACTCTGTCAGTCGTTAGAGAATATATGTAGTGTCTAAACCATTGTCTTTCAGAGGAAAGTTCCCCATCTGGTATAAAGAGGCATCAGGGTGGATTATGTGTCCCTTGAGTTCAGTCCCTGCCTTTGCCTAGTACTGAGCTAATCTTTTGCTTTACATCATAGCCTTTAGGGATTAATTTTATAATTTTCAGGTAAATTCTCAGTTGATCTTACTTGAATAACAAACTTCCAGGAGGAAAGTTTTCTTTACAAATATTTGTGTGCTTTGACACATCAAACAAACCAATCCTCAGTTGAGTTAGAACGTCAGAACTAGAGCAGATCAAAGATCCATCTAGCCCAGCTTTCCCCAACCTGGTGGCCTTCAGAGGATTTTGGACCACACCTCTCAGAATTCTCATCCAACAAGGCCATTGACTAGGAATTCTGGGTGTTGCAGTCCAAACATGTTTTGAAGGCACAAGGTTGGGGAAAAGTTGATAGTCCAGCTGTTCACACAATGCCCAACCATTTGCCCCCAGGAAACCCAGAAACAGAACATCAGTCCCAACCATGTATAGTTTTATACACTTCAGTTTTTTGTGAATGCATAGACTGCTTGATAGCATTTTAACTTTGGATTTGTATTTCATTGAAGGGCATTCTGTTCCTGTGGTTCTGCAAAGTACATTTCATGCTCAAGCTTGTGAAGAATTATTCAAGCACTTGTGCATCAGTGGAACCCCTAAGATACGCTTACATACAGGCCTTCTACTTGTTCAGCTGTGTGGAGGTGAAAGGTGGTGGGGCCAGTTTCTTTCAAATGTTCTGCAGGAATTATATAATTCAGAGCAACTTCTCATTTTCCCACAGGACAGGTACTTTTAAGACACATTTTCACTATTTCTTCATGTGTAATTATGTTCATTTATCACTAGAACTTGGGCAGAATAGGCAAGAAGTTTGTAGGGTTCTAGAATCTTCCAGTCTTGTTGTCTCTGTTATTAGGGTTAAGACCACCTCCTGGCCATTATAGGGATATTCATTTTAGATTGTGAATTTGCTTGCAGATTTATTTGCTTTAGGATGTTTTCATCTTCCTCTTCATGATTCTGAAACTTTGCTCCTCTGATGAGGCAATAAGATAGTGGCAATGTGATTTAGTTTTCCACTCCTGAGGAGAAAGAAGAACCAGCTGGTTTAAGTCCTTGGGTTCAGTTGTCTTTTTCTTTCTACTTCATCCATGTAGCTTTGTCAAATTGAGGTATTGCTGCCTTGGTTTTGAAATAAGAATCATATCTAACAATTTTTTTAAAAAAAATGTTGTTATAATGAGGATCATCATGTTGCTTCTAGGGTCTTCATGTTGCTTTCTTGTATTGGCCAAAGATCACTCAGCAACACTGGTGTCTTGGAAAGTTTGCTGAATCTCTTAGATAACTTGTTGTCCCCTCTTCAGCCTCAGCTCCCTGCCCACAGATGTACAGAAGGTAATGTAAATTTCTACAGATGTCATAAAATAGATGTTCTTATGAAATATGGAACTTAAAGACTAGATCTGACTGCTGTTCTATTTTTGCACAGCAAATGAACATTAATCCACATAAACAGCTGTGCTTTGTCATGGGGTATTTTATTGTGGGGGGAGTATTTTATGTAAAATATTTTTGTACTGCCATTTAGGGCCTTTCCAAGACCAGTTCACAATTACAAGCATAAAAACATTTTAAAATACAGAAGAATGCAATACAATAGATAAAATAGCACCTGATAGAAAGATGAATGAGCAGTAATTCAGTTAAAAGCAAACTTAAGATGGCTTAAGCCTTGAATATAAGAATACCTTAACAGTGAAGTCCAGCCATTCATTCATTTGGTGACCTAAGCTCTATTCCTCTCAAAAATGAAATGAACTAGCCAAATCTTTGTACCTTGTTTAGAATCAACTGGTGTTTAACAGAACTTTAGACAGCAGTAATAATATGGGATAGAGGTTTAAATTTCAGCAGTGCCTTTCTGATTCTTCATTATATTTTGGTTTAGATAGCTTTTCTAGTGTATTATAGCTTGATCTGAATGTAGAGGTCTGTGTGTGTGCATAATGTTCTTTGGTATATGTATGAGGAGAGAAGTTGAGTAGCACTTTCCTCCTCTGTACATGCCCTCATTTGAAGCTGATCCCCTGAACTTTGTGGGTGACCTGGAGGGAGGATGAGAAGAGCATAGGAAGTTGCAGGAGAAGGGAGACTGAAAAGTCCCTGTGTATCCATGGAACTTTGTACAACACTGCTTGAAGTCCTGGCCCCAACGCAGAAATACTCAATTTGGCTTTCATAAGATTTTTCTATTTAGTGGGATGCAAACCATATCCAGATACTACAAGGGTTACAACGGAGCTCTTGAGTATCTGTTTTGTTTTTTGTTTTGTTTTGTTTTTGAGTAGGTTATAAAATTGCAAGCTCCATTAAGCAGGTATTGTACCCTTAAAGGTAACTTTAAAAAAATGCATAAAATAAAACCTCACAATGGAATTCTATCTCCTGTTCCTTTGCCCTTAATGAGATGCATTGTAGGAGGAAGAGGGATCTCTGGAGAAGATTTTTTCCTCTGGAATATATATATACATAGATAGATAGATAGATAGATAGATAGATTATATATATAATCTAAACTGATATTTAATCAAGCTGCCTTAATTTTAAGGTGTTCTGGACATTCCTATGATTAGCTGGGTTGTAATGCTGGTGTCCAGGCTTTTAGACTACGTTGCAACTGTGGAAGACGAAGCGGCTACATCTAAGAAGCCTTTGAATGGAAAAGAGAGGGAAAGATTCTTGACAGGTACAATATAGAATAATTAAAATGGCACAGCTTGCTTGTTAATTATCTTGGATCAGTTACTGAAAATATTCAGTTTATTAAAGGCAAAGGTTGCATTCACACAGAAAAATTCAGATAGAGTTAATGTGAATGAGTTGTGGGCTACTGCATGTAGGTTGATTTTTGCTGTATTCCTGCCTACTACCAAGACCACTAAACATCCAGAAGTGAAAAGCTTATTCTCTTGCACAAACTGGGAATTCTAGCCTATCATTCTAATGCTAACTCCTGTTTGTAAACCAAGAAAAAGCCTAGTTTGCAATTCTGCCTTATGGAGGGAACAACTAGCCAGGATCACTGGTCCAGACACCATGCAGTACTTTCCATTTCTGGTCAGTTTAGCAGTCATATTGGTGAGAAAGAGCAAAGAAGGAGCAAATGGGCTGCACACAGCAACAGTGTGTTTTTGAGAAGCTAGTATTCTCCAGGTAATGTGTTTGCAGTTTGTGTTGTAGAATAATTTATTTTAGAGCAGGTTTGGAAATAGAAATACTTAAAGATTACAACAAGAATCCCCATAGGACATAATGAAACTCTTCCCACCCACTTTCTTGTCAGCCTCTTCACTGTTTCCAGGTAATACAGACTGCACTATGGCATATGCAGCTGTTTATTCCAATGGGCATGCCACTTCCTATGTGTATATCATGTGGACTCACTCCTTCCTTGGGCTGTGCATGCAGATTACTTGCACCTAAGGCAGTTTTCCCATTTGAAGTAATGACTGTGTGCATTGCGTGAGGATCAGCAGTGACAGTAAGAATAGTGCTTTATGTGCTGTGAAGAGCCCTCCTGCTTGCTCAAGGAGAGTCATGGGTTTTTAGGAGCTGATTGAGTATGTTGCCAACATGGGTTAATTTTAAAGATTGCATAAATTTTTATAGTCACATAATAGGTCTGCATAAGGTTTAAGAATATGAGCATTGAAGATTATCCTTTCTTTGTAAGAAATGCCTAAGCATTATTTAGCTTGTATGTTGAAGTTATGTCATGGTTAAAGTCAGTCTTTTTTCTCCTAGGCAATCAGTGGAGTTTCATTAACAATAATCTTCATACACAAAGCCTCAATAGGTCTTCAAAAGGCAACAGTAGCTTAGATAGATTGTATTCCAGAAAGATCAGAAAACAGCTTGTTCATCACAAACAGGTAATTTATAGTTCATAGTGACAGCCTTAATTGTATAGATTCCATGTTTATGATTTTTAGGTGCAAATTGTTTTTTACAAGGAACAAGTAGCCAAAGTGCAATAAGGTAAAGGGACAAGTTGGAGGAAATTCCAGGTGCCTGGCTTTTCCACAGCAATCATGAACCTAACTGAAAGTTATATAAGTGTGGCAGATAATGACAATACAATAATTGCAGACAAGGGACCTGAGGAGATCCTATGCGTGTCCTGAGGGATGGAATAGCACATTTCCACCACCTGTGTCTAAAAGGGAAGCTCACATGAGTCTGAAACTTTGGTGGGAGGAACATGGCAAAAAATATTGAGGAACTACTGAGTTACATGTGACAGTAATCTAAATCTTAAATATTGCCCTATCCAGTCTTCTCAAAGACTTGGCATTGAGGGCAGGCATATGGCAAATATCTGCTGCTATTCTGTCTGGGAAGGCTCACCAGTTTTTGCAACTTCAAAGCTGCCATTTAAACTGGTTTTACAATACAGCTGTTTGGCAGCCTGTTAAAGTTTTATAAACATAAAAAAAACTTTAACTTGACCATCATATGAAAGTGGATATCTATTTGCATCTTCTTGCTTACATTTTCATATACGTCTGTTAACATTTTCTTTTAGCAACTTAACTTATTAAAAGCAAAACAGAAGGCTTTGGTGGAACAGATGGAAAAAGAGAAAATACAAAGCAACAAAGGATCATCCTATAAACTTTTAGTAGAACAGGCAAAACTAAAACAGGCCACGTCAAAGGTATGATGTTCTGCAATTATACTTATTGTCTTGTGCAGAAAAAACTGATTCTGCAAATTCAAATATGTTCTGGGTTCATTTTTTTTTTACAAAAATGATTTCATTATGCCTCCTAAGGCCTAATTTGCTAATTCCATCACCTGATGTATAACTGATTTTGGAACTGCTTCTCAGTGATTTCTAATATAGGCACCTGTTAGTTCCTCATTATAAAAAAAGTACCTTGGAGACTTATCTAGTGTGGTGTTGTATTGTGATAAACATTCCACAGCACAATTTATGAATCTACTTATATAATTTTCTAGAGAGAAAAGATATAACAGTGATGCAGTTTTGACAATTGTCTTCGCTGTCTCCTTTTTTAAATCATGAGAAGTAAATTATGGCCAGGGTTCAAACAAGGTCCACACTGTTTTTTGGGGTCAAAAGGGATTTAGAATTGTACTTCTTAAGTAACAGTCTCCTCCTTCAAAATTTGCATAGCAAGCTGCTTTTGAAACTGATGGGGATTTTCCAAAGCAGTTTATGATATGACATGAAAATATGCTGTTGAAAGAGGAAAAAAGTTTACAAACTCTCACTAGGCATTTCTAAAGCTCTCCAAAGTGCCTGAAGTGAATTCCAGCTTCAGTATTAGCTTGTTTCCCAATTAAGGCTACATTAAGAAATTTTGGATATTTAGGAAATTTTACTGTTATCTTCTTTGTCATGTTAACTAAGATTTAAGGTATCTGAGGAAGCAGACATTTGAAAGTAATGCAGTTTTCCCCACCATGCATTTCTGCTCCCTTCCATCTAAAATTTTATATATGAAAAATTTGCTATTATCTCTTCATTGATTCTCTTAGACAAGCTGGATAGCTCAGTTACAAATTTGTCTAAATGATCATGTAGTACACGCAAGTGACAGACAAATGATTTCTACTCTCACAATGCTTTCTTCAGATCTAGGGTATAATTTATGTTGTTGATTCTTTGTACATTGAAGATGTGTTTGGGAAGTCTATTTTGAAGAATTGGTGGATACCTTTAAATTTTATATTGAAAGGGAAATTGAGGGGAAGGTTCTTATGCTAAGGAGTCCCTCAATATTTGGAAGAGTTGTATTCTCTATTTTTAAATATAGTGCAAGGTTTGTAGGTTTGTTGCAGAGTCAGTTGGCGCTAGAGCTAGAACAATATATTGATCGGATTCACTCACAAGGGCAGCAAGACGTGAGCTTATTAACTCATCATTTGCTGTGGTGCATGCTGTCATTTTGAATAACATCTGATCAGCTTGACTGGAGTTTGCTTCATGACATCTGAACCCAGACACTATAATTTGATTTTGAGTTAAGCAAGCCACAGTTAACCTACAATTAGATTGCCTTCAACTGTTTCACTATTTTAAATAAATCAAGCTATTCATATGTTAGTCATAAAACATAGCCATGTTAGGCTACCAGCACATCTATCTAGAAGCTCTTTTGTGGTAGCATACATCAGCTAGTGAAGTATTACTTGGTAAATTCCTTACAATGGATTTTCAATGGATGAGCACTAGGATAGATAATGAACAAACTGATATCTGTGAGTTTGAAACAGAACTACATTAGGATGCAAATGAATAAAAGTTGATCTATAATTTGACAAAAGACAGTGGATGATGCAGAAGATCACACACAATTATATTCTTTCATGTTTATATAGAAAAATTAGAAAGTTTGGGTATCTTAATCTTAATGTATTTGATCCCGGAGCCTCCTCTTTAAGTTCTATTGAACTATTGAAGTTAAGGAATAGAGGATACAGAAATGGCTGTTAGCTTGCTGATGTTAAAATCACAATCATATCTCATTGGGAAAAAAAATCTGTTAGTTTGCCGGTGGTGTCCAATTGAATCTTATTAATGATGGGATATGGTAATCATGTCTACAGTAACTGTGTGCAACATTACAATACTGTGTGCAGGTGAGAGAGGAAGGATTCACTGAAAATTGCTTTGTGGAAAACAATTCCTTTTAGAATGATGTTGAAGATAAAATTAAAACTTGTTCCCACTTTATGATTATTTACAGTACAATCCTTTGCATGCTTACTTACAAGTAAGTCCCATTGAAGGACTGATTCCTCAATAAATATATCTATAGGAATTGCAGTCTTGGAGATTTCTCAAATATATGAAGGACCATATTTTCTTTATTTTTGATTGAAGGATTATGGTTGTGGTATTAGAAAGATTTTTGTAGTTTTAGTTATCTAGCTATTTGTATTTCATTATTCATTAACATTCTGTGAAGACATTAGTTGAATAGTGACGGACATGTTCTATGTTTTTGACTTAAACAGCACTTTAAGGATCTGATTCGTTTGCGCCGAACTGCAGAGTGGCCCCGTTCGACACTAGACACAGAAGTTTCAGCAACAAAAGAAACTCCAGAAATTGAACCACTTCCATTTACATTGGCACATGAGCGCTGTATCTCAGTCGTGCAGAAGTTGGCACTCTTTTTGTTGTCAATGGATTTTACTTGTCATGCAGATCTGCTGCTGTTTGTATGCAAGGTACAGACTGTATATTACATGATTATTTGTGGAATTAGAGAAAGATCAGTGTATTAAATCTTGAAGCCTGCCTTTCAGCATGCCAGATTTGATTAGCAAATTAGCAGTTATCATGGCATTCCTGGCATTTTCTGATCAAGCCAAAATACCTAAATGAGGACTAGTGTGACCTAGTGGATGTGTGTTGGAAGACCAGGTTTGGCTACCCATTGGCCACGAAGCTCAAAGGGTGACATAGACCAGTCACAATTTCTCATTTTAACTGTGTTTCAGGAGTATTGCTGGGATAAAATTATGTAACCCAAAGTGCTACCTTGAGCTCCTCAGAGATAGACCCAAATGCAAATATGATCTAACAAACTAAGACCTTAAAAGTTAACCTTTTTTTGCCCTAAAGGTCTTATTGTAGAGGGATTGCAAGATGTTCCAAATTGAAAATCTATGATTTAAAATAATTTTCTGCTCATTGTCTACATGTCAGAAGGAAGATACCTCAGAGGCACAAATACTTTTTACACCCTGATCAAATACTTAAGTCATCATCCTTTTTCCTAACTTCCATCTATATCAGTTTTCCCTAATCCTGTGCTTTCCAGATCTGTTGGACTACAAGTCCTATAATCCCCAGCCAGCATGGTGAAGGGTCACACTGACTTGTTTGTAATGTTGGGTTTTGCCTTAGAGGAACACACATCTGTTTGCATAAGTTAAAACACTCGTAAGTTAAAACTGTCCCTAATGGTTAGGGAACTTCTGGGCCATTGGTAAAACTTTCCTGAAATGTGAATATTCATGAAGCTGCTGCATAGATTTCCACATAATATGAGAAATTCTTTATTCACCCTGTATGAGGCCAACATACTTTAATTCGAGGCTCAACTTCTGACTGTTTTTGTGAAATTGTTACATGTTAAACATTTTAATGAAGTTTAACAAGGAGAAATAGGCATATGGCTTTTAATTTCTGTAATTGCATTCCAGGTTCTTGCTAGAATTGCCAATGCCACAAGACCTACAATCCATTTGTGTGAAATTGTGAATGAAGCTCAGCTGGAAAGGTTGCTGTTGCTTCTGGTTGGGACAGACTTTAACAGAGGTGATATCTCCTGGGGAGGTGCTTGGGCTCAGTATTCTCTGACGTGTATGCTGCAGGATATTCTAGCAGGTTTGTTAATCCTGATACTCATTTAAGCAAAATGCTAGTTGTACTTAATGAAGAGTAGCCAAGAAGGGGAATCTGGGAGCTATCATACTAAGTCTATGGGTGCATTTAGAGAGGATAACATAGGCCACAACTGCATGGATTAGCCATTTTCCAGCAATTTTACATTTAAGTGGGCAGGTATGCTCATGCTGTAGTTCCTAGGTGCCTGAGTAAAATGTAACCACCCTGTCTACTGGGTACAACTAGTGGCAGGTCAGATGGCGTGAAATGGTGCTAAGACAATCATTGGAGGGGACATCCTTATTGCAAGCCAGGGATGAATTTTGAAAACAATATTCCTTGCTCCTGGATCAAACATGCTCTTGTCGGTCAAGAAGTGTGATACTGTTAAGCTATCTTCCTTCATTTCACTTCTGTGAAAAACAAGGTGACTCCTTGAGAGTAGGATATGATCTTGGAGTAATTTAGTCTGGTCATAAATAATTGATATAATTATTGCTTACCAATGACATATTTATAAATGTCCATGTGGGACTGAATGCTGTAAAGCTTACACCAGTCTTGTCACTGATCATTTTGATAACTCATCTGCCCTGTAATCTTCAGGAGAACTGTTGGCTCCAGTAGCTGCTGAAGCCATGGAGGAAGCTGCAATGGGAGAAGAGGCAGGGGCTTCTGCTGCAGACTCTGATGATGCACTTCAGCAGTCTGCAGTCCAGTTAGTGGAAACTATTGATGAGCCCTTGACACATGACCTTACAGGTAAATATGGTTACTTTACAAATTGGTTTGATAATTTTTCCAAACTATTGTCTAACCTTTGACATCTTACTTAAGTGAATGTACCTCCATTTCAGCAACTGTTCTAAAAAATGCTAAAGGCATTGGCTCATATCCTAAGTTAACTTCCAGAAGAGCTCAGAAATGAGTTTTCCATCTGTTCCACCTCCCTGTAGCCAGTTGTGATCTGCAGAAAGGCTCTCAAGTGTTCCTGAATAAAATGATCTACTGTAGAAGAGTGGGATCATCCCAAGCTAATTTGGGGTGATTCTCCCAACCTGAGTAGCATTGTGTTCTTTTCTACATTGATTGAGAGTGGCTCTCTTGACTCTGGAGAAGTTTTTGGGCTGCAGGAGGAAGGAAAAGGCTGGAAACTTTCCTTCTGTGAGCTTTGTTAAATTGACTTACCTTAGAATCTGAGTCTCTACATACCCTTTTACTTTTCCCTCTGATTAGGTGTATTTGCCTGTGACTTAATTGATAGGGCTTCTTTCATTGAATAAGACAGTTATAAGTCATTTTTGCTTTTCTTTGAAGGCGGTCCCTGATGTGAACTCTGCATGTTAGAAAACTTGCAGCATTTTATAATCTAGTGCAAAAAATGTTTTACTCTTCTGTTTCATTCGTGCAGAATTAAACATTTCATCCACAACAATTCAATGCAGCATAGGTTGTTGCTCCTCCCCATCTCCAGCATAAAACACAAGCTCAGAGGTTTTGTTTTTACTTAAAAGGAGACAGGAAATATGGAGAGGTTTACCTAGTTTTCATTTCTTGTAACAGCCTGGTTCATTGAGTGCATATGCATGCAGACTGGCAGTACATGTTGGAAGGAAGTCAGGGTTTATTTATGCCTTGTAGATGTTTTTCTTTGTGTTAGTGCTATACCTGTGTGAACTGGATTGGCCCTTCTGCTGTATGCCTTTTAAAATACCCTTGTCACCAGCTTTTGCTAGTCCTGTCTATTATGAACCCTTTGCAGTACTTGGCAGTGTTAAGCTGTTTGAATCACCTAAAGGTACTCCACCTCTGTCATCTTTGGAAAAAGATAAAGACATTGATCTTGAGTTACTACAAGACCTGATGGAAGTTGACATTGATCCTTTAGATATTGATTTGGAAAAAGATCCTCTTGCAGCAAAAGTCTTCAAGGTATGGCCTACCCATGATTTCTTTAAGTAATACAGCAGAGCTTTTTTCAGATTTATATTAGCTGTCTTGTTTGCATGATATAGAATGCTGCATTTTACATATAGAAAACTTGAGTCAAATGATCACACATTGCTCATGCTTTTGCTCCAAATTTACCACCACAGAAATATTTTGTTAATAGAACAAATAGATAGATAGAAAATTCCTCATGAGGTGATCTAGAGATCTGTTTTGCTTGATAGACTCAGATATTTTGACAAATGCTCAGAATAATCAAGTGCCAGGAATGCAAAGTTAATCCATACAACTTTGTATTTTTTCCCATTTCTATTTGGGTAACAGAATAGAGGTTGGAGTTGTGTAATATAGATGTAAAATTTCTGATTCCTAACAATAGTTAACAGTCTGGTGTATTTCCTCACACTTTCCCCTTTGCTCCCACATATATGTCCTTCTCTTTTTACAGCTTTACTTTAACTATGATTTATCCTCTGAATTGGCCCCAAGTAGGATTAAGGTTAGTCAGAGTCTCCTGTAAAGAGTTCTGCAAACACATTTCAAAGCCTGTTTTTTCAGTCAATCTTGGTCAATACTATATATTTTTCTGTTAGTTGCCCCCTAACCTAAATTCTTTAGATTAATGAGCAAATAAAATATTTTACAAAACAATTTCATATACAAGTAAACACAACACAGAAATACTGTAGCTTTATTTAATGCTTAGGCAACCCTTGCTCCTGGGATCATACAATACAACACACCATGTATCTTCAGGCACCATGCAGAAATAGTGCCAGGCACAACTTGATAGGCCCTGTGGGTAAATTAATCCTCAGTGGGCCATTGTATTGTAAGAATCAGGCTGTTGTTGTTGCAATGTATTGTAACTTCTAAAGTACATTTATAATTCTACTTAAAATGTGACTGTGGTAAAAGTGTAAAGCTATGGAGGACCTTAGACTAACATTTCTTTTTCATTTGATAAAGCCTATAAGCAGCACCTGGTATGACTACTGGGGTGCTGACTATGGTACATACAATTACAACCCTTACATTGGAGGTGTTGGAATCTCTGTGGCAAAGCCGCCAGTTACAACAGAGAAGAATGGATCACAAACTGTGAGCGTTTCAGTTTCTCAGGGTAAGTTGTAGTTGTATTCCTATCTTGAGGACTATGTATTTTGGCTTGCTTGAGAAATTACTGTCAACTATGGCAATGTGACAGTTTTCTATTGAAGGAGGCATTTGTTCTGTAGCACAGAAAACAAAAACAATTGAGCTTTGTGTAAATGTTTGTTCTAGTATTGGCTTGTACCCTCTCTGTGAACTCCAAAAAGCTATTTTAGGCTTATCAATGTCATTGAGCAAACTGCTTTTGAAACTTACTTTGAACTTCAAAAGTGGTGTGGCCTATTTGTGGGATGGAGATGGTAGTTCAGGAACTCAAGTCCAGAGACCTGCTGTGGATGAACTGAACTAGTCATTTTATTTTCTGGATAATGGCCAAGTTTTTTTCCCCATAAAAAGTCCAACTGGATTGGTGTCCAACCCAAAAAATGGTTGTCTCTAAACTAAATCTTGTTACTGAAGTGAACACTATAAACTAAGGGCACAGTATGTTGTCTCACTTCATTTGCCTAACTCACTGCCTGCTCCCAAATCTGTTTTTACAATCCATTCTGAATTCTAACAGTTGTTTTAGTATTACTTTATCATAAGGGACTAAGTCTGAACAATGTTTATGATTATGAATTAAGAGTTTATAAAATAATTGCTGTTAGATTACACATTCAATGTAATTGACACATGGACTTCATGCTGCTTTCCAAAGCTTTAGATGCCCGTTTGGAAGTTGGACTTGAACAACAAGCTGAACTGATGCTGAAAATGATGTCTACTCTGGAAGCAGATTCCATTCTACAAGCATTGACCAACACATCTCCCACATGTAATTTTGCACAGTTTAAACTAAACATTGCTTGAATGCTATGCTAATCTTGCTAACCAAGACGCTGTGAAGGTCACACCTTGAAACAAGGTCATGTGCATAGTATATGAACTGCACATAGTATATGAGCAAGCATGCTTGAGCCTACCTCACCTATCCTCTTTTGCCTATTCCACTCACATCTTAGATGCATTTGGCAAGGCTGCATGTTTTTCACCTTAGTATTCTCATGTTATGGAACTTCTTGTCTCAGGAAGATCCAGTTATCTTGTCATCAGGTCTTTAAAATGTTTGTATTTTAGTATGTATTCCATTTGCCATTAATTTTTAAAGTACTTTCTAGTTACCTAGAAGTAAAAGTGTGCACACAGAGATAAGTCAAAAGGCAAAACAAATATGTGCTACTCCCGGAAGAGTTCTGTTTCATAGCAGTAAAATTAAGAACCCAAGTATGGGTTGTATTCAATTCTTCCCAATTGCTAGTGGGATGCTTAAACAGAAATGTTTGTTTTTGGAATGAGGGCAGACGAGTGGATTTCCCAGAAAGGAGCTCTGCTGACTTGCCTTGTTCTAGAAATGAAGGTGTGTACAAGGTCTGTATGGTATTGGTTTTCTTGCCTGAAATCAACATGTCCTTCATGTGCAGTAAGTGCAAGCTGGTTGTCCTGTTGGAAGAAAAAGTGAGAATACTAAACTGCCCACCATCAAGGGAATAAGAGAAGTTGTTGAGTCCTAAAACAGTTGTGGAACTCAGTCAAAGTGAAGTATAGGAGCTCGAAGCATGGGACTAGGCCTCAGTCTGGGTTCTAGTTCCCACTCAGCCAAAGAGCCAACTGGGTGACTGAGCTTTCAGACTCTCAGTCCAACCTACCTCACATGGTTGATGTTGTGAAGAAAAGATTGAGAGAATGAGACTTATGTAAGCCAGCTTGAGTTCCTTGAAAGAAAAAAAAAGGTGGGATATAATTATAGTAAATACATAAATAAAAGTGCAACAGCATTCTGAGACAGAAGAGGAAAAACCTGTGGCAAGCAAAAATGACGTAAAGGAAACTCGCTGGAAAAGGGTGCCAGATAGGAGAAGAAGAACTAGAAGACACACTGCACCAGTGGCAACAGCTTAATTATAGAACTACTTTTAGATACATATGGATGAGATTGAAGAGTAGCCTGGAGAGGAAAAACTACAGGGCATCCCATGGAACAGCAAGAAGCTTGAAGGTAAGTCAAACAGAGACAATGAAACCAAGACCTAACAACAACAAGAAATAAAGAGTGATAGCTGCAGAAAGTTCCCTGTTGCATGGGATAGAAATGAATTTATGTTACAAAGTCCAATGGATTTGCCATGGCTGCTGTCTCTGGATGATGGATAAGAGATATGACTGAAGGGTTGCCAGTGCTCATAAAGCCCACTATCATGTACCCCTTCCATTACATCAATATGGGATGAGGGAAGAAATGATACTGCCAAGCAGAGCTTTGAAGAAATCATGTTAGACAAGCAAGCAAGCTCAACAAATTTGGTACCCAGACAGTTTTCTTATCGATCCGTTCTCATCTAACTTTCTAGTACTTGGAAAAGAAATAGGGAAAGAAAAATGCCTATTGTGAATGCATAGCTATGAAGGTGATGGCAGTGTGAGAAAATTGAATTCTGGAACCACAGGATACACTTTTCTGTAAGGTGGACTGCAGGCAAGGGATGGGTTGCACCTTACAAGGATTGGGAAGAATGTTTAGCCACAGCATGAAGAAATTAATCAGGAGAGTTTTCAGCTGAATCCTGCAGATACATATCTCTGCACAGAAATACAAACAGTAAACCCATCAAGAGCATCTGGATTAAAATAAGTGGAGCAAAGGCTAAAACGAATGTGGTTGCCAGAGTCTACGACTGACTACTAAGTAAAGAAGAAATCAAGGATGAAAATTTTGGAAAGCAAATTGCCTGTGTTTTGAGGTGGCATAATTTAGTGATAAAGCAGGACTTTCGTTTCCCTGATAAGAGACAAATTCTGCCAAATGTGACTTTTCCAATAAATTCCTGACTTGTGTTGTTGATGACTTTCTCCCACAGAAAGTGGTGGAAGGAGTTAGAGGATAAAGTATTCTTGACTTGATTTTAACTAACAGGAATGTCCTTCTGGATAAACGGCTGGTTAATAGAACTCTGGGGGGAAGTGGCCTTGAATTCATAATAGAATTCTTGATTCTAAAAGAAGCAAAAGCTGAGTAAAGCAAGATGTGTATATTGGTTTTTAGGAAAACCTATTTTAATAAATTTAAATAAGTTAAATTGCCATGCTTACCATGGCAAGCAACTCTAATGAGAAGAGGAATCACAAAGAATTCCAACAAGGGAAAAAAAATGAAGACAACAGAAGAAGCCAGTGTGACTTCACAAGAAGTTTAGAGATAACCTGAAAATAAAAAAGATGTATAGGAAGTGAAAGAAAGGTCAGGCTACAAGGGAAGAGTACCAAGGGAAATGGTGGTTCAACTACTCATTGAGGATGGCAAATTGATAATAAATAATAAAAGGCAGAAGTGCTCAGTTCCTGTTTTGGTTCAGTCTTCTCCCAAAAGGTCTATGATCTTCTGGCAATCCTGAAGTTTGAGCTGAAGGGGCAGGATTGCAGCTTGAGATTAATAGGCAAATGATCAAGGAACATTACTTTAAATGAGTTCAAATCTCAAGGCCCCAAACTGCATCCAAGAGTAATAGATGAACTGAATCAAGACAAGACAGAAGTGCTGTTGGTTAATGATCTATCTGACAGGTTATAGATGGCCATTGTCCTGTCTTGGATGGGGTCTCACTCCCCCTGAAGGACAGGGTCTGCAACTTGGGAGTGCTCCTGGACCCAAAACTCTCACTGGAAGTCTCAGGTAGATTCAGTAGCCAGGAGTGCCTTTTTCCAGCTGCTGCAAATATGACAACAACGATCTTATCTGGAGAGACAGAGCCTGACCACAGTTACTCATGCACTGGTAACAAGTAGTGCTAATGGTGGGTTCCACTGGCTCAGCAGAAACAGCACGAGTGCAGCAGTGGTCTAGAACACCACCTACAAGCTTCTTGTGATAAAATACTGTGCTAGTTACTGAACAGGTATGGTCAATGGCAGATTTAGAATATCAACACCTGTTTAAGGTTACTTTATTCAGTTTCAATGCTAGAGAACTGATCTGCATCTGCTAAAAAAATAAAGCTATGTGTTCACTGACAAAGATAAAAGATATGATTATCATTTGTAATTGAAAAATATTTTGGCTTGTTTTTTCAGTAACTCAGTCTCCTAGTGGAACAGATGATTCATTGCTACGGGGGTTGCATGTACCAAATCAGAACAACCAGTTTATTATCCAGCTGTCCTCCATACCAATGTTAAGTGTATGCTTCAACAAACTGTTTTCCATGCTACAAGTTCATCATGTTCAGGTATGTACTAGAAGTTAATCGACAGCTTTTGTCACATTGTTCTTTGAGAATGAGAGGTGGAACTTCTTTATTGAGCCAAATTTCACTTTGCTGCTGTTATGGCTTTGGTTTTTAGTCCTAATCAAAAGTACTTAAGTTGCACAAATGCAAAATAGGTAGTGAGTTAACACAGAAGAAGACTGTGATATATTTCCAAATCCTTATAGCTAGGTGTAGATCAGCAAGGGTTTCCAGTTCCGAATGGTTTAACAACAGCAAAAAACCTTACTTTCTTCCTAAGTTGCTGCTGAAATCAAGACAGCTTAAGGGAAACAGGAGTTGATTTGTTCTTGAAAGGATTTGTATGTAAGCTCTAGCTTTGGCGCTAAAAGCTCTAGCTTTTGGCGCTTTGGCGATTTCTGAGAAGAATACATTCCTCAGGACACCTAGTTCCTCAATTCTGTAGTGACCTTTTGGAGTCAAATTCGCATGTCTCCAATTTGTGTATCTCAGAGTTCTAGTGAAGTACATCTCACAAACCTGAATTGTGCCCATCCTATTTTACAATTACTCATTTTTTTTACAATTACTTCTAATTAAACCAAATAAAACAGTATAGCTCTACAACGTAATTCCTATTCAGTAAAGAGTCGTGCTTAGGCTTGCTGGGTTTGTATGATTACAATACTGACAGCCATACAGCTGGATTCAGATTTAAAGCAGTAGGACTTACTAATCATGACTGACTTAACCTATAGAAGAATGGCTTGCTGGGGCATGCTGGGACTTATAAGACTTTTTTCTGTCTAAACACTCTGAGGACAGAACGATAGAAAATAGTAATATAATATTAGCCATAACTTAGCTTTATACTTTTGAAATTATGCTTTTCATGAAAGTATGCTTTTTCCTGTAGATTTAAATGTATGTGCTGCCTTTGCAGATACTGGGATGGTTGTAAATACCACTGACAACTATCCTATTTAAAATATATTTAGGTGGGTTTCAAAACTTAAAACCACAACTATCTAGCCCCCTCCCCAGCTCAAGTATAAAGTAGCTTCATAAATTTCTAGGCTAGAATTTAAAAAAATTATAAAGAGATGAGTAGTGTTTGTGACTGGCCCATCATTCCAAAGCCAACTCAGAACAATGGGAGTTGCCTGTTTAATTAATATCCTATCTCACCTCTAAGAAGCCACATTTTCTCCCTGCTCCTTGGTATCTGCATGGCTTCCCTGTATGATAGGTTGGACTGTGAGAGTACCTTGTCCAAGTGAATTTTATGGTTCATTGATAACTTAAGTCTGGTTTTCTGAGTCATAATCTGATGCTGCAACCACTATACCACGCAACCTTTTAAAATTTAACATTAGCATTTTCCATCAGCTAGCAGAAACTGGTTGAGTTAGTTATGATAAGGCTATGTTCCTGCAGATGTTCTTACTACTGTGTTGTTGAAATACTCAGCAAGGCCTGACTTGAAGGTCTTAATGGACTGAGGAGAGAAAGAAGGGGTGTGTGGGTGGGGATGGTCATGCTTGGAGCTGTCCTTGAAGATGGTCTGGCAATTGCAGCTGGTACAAAATTGGGCCGCTTGGTTGGTGACTGGCACTCCTAGAACGGCCCATGTAACACTGGTTTTGAAAGAATTGCACTGGTTACCAGTTGTGGCACAGGCCCAATTCAGGGTGCTTGTTTTAACATATAAAGCCCTAAATGGCTTGGGGCCTGGTTATCTGAAGGACTGTCTACCCCTGTATATACCTACCCACCCCTTCAGATCAGCCCAGGAGACCCTTCTACGAGAGCCATCCCTCAGGGAAATGAGAGGGGTAGCAAAGAGGCAAAGGGCCTTTTTCTACTGCTACCCCCCATCTCTGGAACTCCCTCCCTAGGGAAATTTGCCTAGGGCCATCTTTGCTTTCTTTTCGGAGCCGGGCAAAGATGTACCTTTATTTTTATTTTTTTTTTAGTAACTAAGCCCTCTGTACTGATGAACCTTTATAATGTTGATTTTTGTACTGTTTTAATGTTGTGTGTTTTTATGCTTTTAACTTTTAATGTTTTTATTCTGTGAGTCACCTAGGGAGGCTATTTGGGCTGTTATAGGCTGCATATAAATATGTGGATAAATAAATAAATACTTGAATGCCTCTTTGGTTTCATTGTTGTCATCTTTCTTGTTCTGCTATGGGTTTTGGTATAACAGCCAAAGAGTGAAGCTTCCTTAAAGTAGAAAAGTTATTTTTAAAGTATGACTGGCTTTCCAGAAACTTGCTTTGATTCCACTAAAAGTAAACATTACTCTGGATGCCATATTTACTGCTTTTGCAGGAATGTGGCAGTTGTTCTGCCTTAAGCATAAGCTGAGGGTGTAATCTTATGAAAGTTTAGACAGGAAAAAAACTAAACAGCTCTCAACTGTGCTGGCTGGGATTGTATAGGATTACACCCCAGCTTGGCTCACATACAAACAAAATAGCACAAAGTATAATAAATGCAGACTACAATAAGTGAGAGATTATAATGTTGGTGATATCTACATTCATTATACTTCCCCTAGATTTCAATTCCGTAGATGCCTTGTTCTAAGTATGCCTTTAATTAAAGTTGCATGTTGTTATTCTCCAGCTTGAGTCCCTTCTACAGTTATGGCTCACATTAAGCCTGAATTCTGGGTCCAGTGGGACTAAAGACAACTGTACCGACATTTTCTTGTATAATGCCAACCGGACACCTGTTATTCCTTTAAATCAAGGTGGGCTGCATCAGTTTTTGTGTATATAATTTAGGGCAACATTTTAAAGGATATCAAACCTAGTACTTTGTGAAATTCTCTCCTTACATTTCTTGACTGTGTTCACATGTAATGACTACTGATTGTCATATACAAGTGGGAGTGAAGAGGTGCCCTGCCTGCAGTGCACTCACCGCTTCTACTTTTATTCCAAAAACTATAATCCTTCATAGATTGTGGTGTGTGACATATGAACCCATTTGTTGCTGGATTAGCCAGTGTGTTGTATAGCCCCAACCAACCTTATGTTTGCATGTGACATCCTATCACTTTTGAAATGGTTGAGTTGTCCAGCCAGTTTCTAGTGTATTCTGGATTAGTTCAATGCAAAATAGTATGGTAGATTAAAGTGCTATTTCTAGTTTATTTCCAGTGCTAATTCACTATATGGAAGGAAAAGGCAGAAGAGTTGTGCCTTGAACCATTTATATTTAAAGGTCCTACTTCTCCCTTTTCCTTTCTGCCTCACCAACATTGGAGTCCAGCTTTTCAGAGCTGCTAAAAGCCTGAGGTAAGATATAACAAGTGGGACTTGTTAATATAGGTTTTTAGTGATTCTGCATTAAATTGTCCTTTTAGTCCAGAACTTCATATACTTTTAAGATAAAACAGGGATCATAATATTTAGAAAAGAGTACAGACAAAATTTGGGGAAACCCAATTGTGAAACCCCTTTGTCAATGAAGTCAGATTAACCTTATTGCTTTTTTAATTTCATAATTCTACTCTCTGACAGGGATTTAACATTAATCCCTGTTTTTATTAAACAATTTTCAGCATTTGTATAGTTTGGTTATTTATAAACTTTTCTGTTTCTATTTGTACATTACCTTGAGCACATTTTGATCAGAGGAGCAATCCAAATACATTCTAAGTACAAAGATAAATTCATGTCACACTCTAGTCACACTCTAATGACATGAATTGCATCATTGAGAAGGGACTCCAGACTCTTAGGTGAACATGAACAAAATCTTAGGGCACACTCCTATGCATGTTTTGACAGAAAACCGTCTTCAGAAATTTTTTCCTTCTAAACATGCATAGGATCTCACTCTTAGTCTACTTGAGTATTGGTGAGTATTTTCTTTTTTCCCTAGTGAAAACAGTAGATGGGCTTTGCCTTAATCTTCTCCAGTGAGCTGTCTTCTAGCCAAATATCAGTGACTCCTTGCTTCCTCAGATTTTTTTTTTTCACACAAGCATGCCTGGTCTTTTGGTTCAACTTTCAGTCTACATAAGCTTAGTGTTGTTGCTGCGCAATTTCTCTACTGTATGTTTGCAAAATTGACAAGAGAGATACATAAAGGCCTTCTGTTAAAACGAGCCAAAAGGCTGCTTCTGTTATTGCTACTATGTGTTTTTTCCTTAAAAGCAAGGTAGCAATTGCTGCTTCATATGTTACCAAGTTCCTACATGAAAATCTCTTCTTCATTGGAACTTGCATGATTTATGAGGGTAGAGTATAATGTAACATGTTGCCAATGTATAGGCAACGTGCAAAGTGGCACCAAGTAGCACAAAGTGTGTCTCAGGTTTCCTCCTGTCCATATTGAAGCCAGATTTAAAACAGACAAACAAGTTGGATCAAGGCACAGTCATATTTAGACCAATTGAAATCAATGGACTTAAATTAATCATGTCTAATTTATGTGCTATTAATTTCAGTTGGTCTGCTCAAAGTTTGGCTTGATCTGGATCCAGCCTGATTGTTTTAGTTTTTGTCACAAGGGAAAGGGTGAAGCCAGGCCATGGTATGCCTGTGTTCTTGAGGAGCTTTGTGTTCATTTTTGTCCTTGAATGTTAATGAACCTGTGATTATTTTCTCTCACACAGCACATAGCAACTTAATCTCCTGTTGTTATATATGTTAATACTATTGTTCATTCAGTATATTCCCCAGCTTGAGATATTCTGAGATTTGGATTTCTGACATAGTAATATTTTCCAGCCTTTTCCTTTCTAGTTATTTTAGTAAATATCTGATATCTGCAGTAATAAAAAAAATACAGTTTACTGTGAAGATAAGCTATCTTTTGAACTTCTGTGTTTGTTACAGCATCAGTAACTAGCTTCCTGACAGTCCTGGCATGGTATCCCAATACCTTACTGCGAACATGGTGCCTTGTACTTCATAGTCTAACCCTCATGACGAACATGCAATTCAACTGTAAGTCACTTGGGAATGTGGCACTTTAAAAATCTGAGTTTAAAGTGTAATAGTTGCTTACTTTTACAAAAGATTTAATTATTAAAATTACTTTGAATAAAAACTATATACATCTTAGAACTTCTGTTATAAGTACATGTGCTAAAATGTAAAACCAATTTACAGGCCACCTTCATTATCTATCTGTTCAGTGTGTCTCAGCATAACTTATATAGTTAATGTAAAATAAACCCAGATTTTCTGGAAAGTTCATGTTAAATATAGAAATATTTAAAGAGTTAAGGTTTCAATTGTAAAACAAAATGATGTGTTCTTTGTTCCTTCTGGAAAGGAAATATGAAAGATCTTCCATATTTTTACTGTTTAAGAGGACAAGAGAGGTACATATGAACAGCTAGGATAAGGAATCAACAAAGAACTTAAGGTTGACAGCTTCTTTTCTTTGTTAATGAACTTAATTATCCAAGTAAATACCTAGAAGGTAACAGAACTTCATGCCAAATAGCCTGAGAATGATACTTAAGCCTTGATAGCAGGGAATTTGTTTTTCTTTCTTTTTTTCTTGGTCCCAGCTTGAATATATGTAGGGATTTTGCTTCAACCTCATCTCATTTATTGGTGAATAAGGGTTGTACTCTGAAAGCTACAGGTGATACCAGTTCTCAAGAAAGTAGAGAAAAAGTGTAGGTCCAGTGGTAACTTTCCAAGTTCCCTTGACTTCACATGCAAAAGCTACCTCCATCAACTTAATAACCTTTTATAAAAGCAACAGAACAGAGTCCCTGTTATCAACATCACACAGTGATATTTAGAAGCTTTTGCTGACACTGTCCAAGGAACTGTAAATGAATTTAATTAGAAAGAAAAAGTGTATATTAAAATAAAATAACACACATTTAACCTGAAACTCATCAATATAAGATGAAATAGGAAAAATTGAAGCACTTTCACATATTATACCATGGGTTGGAACTTCATATAGTGATTATACAAGTCATGCCTGACACATGCTGCAGCTCATAACAAGCCACCATTTCTTCCTTAGATAGTGCAAACCAGGTATTCATGGCTTAGTTGCACACAACACAAGGGTTATTAATAAGCCATGATGGCTTTTTACCCCTTTCAACATGATCCAGATGCATGCCAACTTATTTTCCTAATTACACAACTTGTATCATGTGGCAGTAGTGAGAGTGGTTCTAAAATGAGGTGGGAATGGTTCTGAGTGATTAGTTAACTACCCAGTCCCCCACCCTTGCTGGATTTGCATGTGAAAACAAGCTGCAGTACACAAGGTTGGTTAATAAGCACTAAGGCTTAATAACCACCACAGTGTGTGTGAACCCATCAGTGTCTACTTTAAGTAGTACTAACATTGTCTTTAACTGTATATTTCGGCTTGTCGCATATGATGGTACAAAATGCAGCCTTTTCTGTTGTGTATATAAAAGTATAAGTATTTCAGAATGTTACTTTTAGAAATGACCTGTCTTTCAGCTGGTCCCAGCAGTGCCATTACATCTCAGGAAAGTACTGCTCAGCTGCTGGTGTCAGATCCCAACCTTATTCATGTTTTAGTGAAGTTTCTTTCTGGAACCAATCCTCATGGAACAAATCAACATAGTCCACAGGTAATGGCTGTTAGCAAGTATGCCACATATTCAGCTCATTCAAGATGGTAAAAGGCTAATTTCTGAAATATTACCCAATTTTAGTACTGTTTTCTGTAAGTATTCTCTTCATTTTTGTCTCTATCTTAATAAAGATGAATCCTGTTACATACACCAGCTTTATAAATGAGCATTAGCAATTTGCCTGCCAGAATACATGTGAATCATATTAAGATAGCTTAAGTAGTGGGTCTACTTTATTGGAAGGTATTATAGCATTTATCTAGGTAGCTAAGTGAGTGGTTAGCTATAAAGCCTTGTGGTATACCCAAGTGATCTTACTCCTGCTCCCCCAGCTGATTATTGCACGAAGAATTGGGTTAAATTTTATAAAAGTGATATGGGTTGTCATTAAATTTGACTCCAGTGCCTCAATCCAAAATATGCATATCTAGATCTCTGTTCCATTAAGATTCAGACATTTTTAAATTGGGTAATAGAGGCATTGAAATGCTTCAGAAAAATGGCATTCTTCAGAAATTAATGCAAATTTCTGTTTGAACTTTCTTTTCCAGGTTGGCCCAACAGCCACCCAAGCTATGCAAGAGTTTCTTACTCGTTTACAAGTGCACCTTTCTTCAGCATGCCCTCAGATGTTCAGTGAATTTTTATTAAAGTTAATACATATTCTTTCAACTGAGAGGTAATGTTTTATTATCAAGAATTTTACTTTAATCTTAGTTCTTAAGGTTTGGAAATTGGTTTGAAATCTACATTTATAAAAAGAAGAGTTTCATAGTTTGTTCTTACATTTTGTCAAATTTGCTTATCCATATTCAAAATGCAGTAAAAGTGCTATGAGTCTTTTCGATTCTTTGTCCTCATCACACCCAAGATTTAACCTGTTTTCAAATATGCTTTCAAAAATATTAGGCATCATGATACCTATGATATGATGTGCTTTTTATGTTTTTATTATATTTTAAATTTTAACATATGTACAATGCCATGGTACACATGGTGTCCACAAGGGTGAAGGGTGGTTTTAAAATGTTTAGATAATCTCTAAATTGCATAAAACAAACTGCCACATAACTAGGAGTTGCTGTGCTCAGGTTTACAATCTAAGTTATTAAAGATGCAAAATAAGAGGTATGTGATATGCTTAGAAAATGCCACTGACAAAAGTCAAATTTTTTTTTGACCATCTAAGTAGAAACCCATGGAAGGACTTGGTGGACTTCAGAAGGCAAAGATTTCTCATAATAGTGGGCAACAAGAGAAAGCAGACAGGAAAAGGAAATGCAGTGTTATGTTTATAGTACCATAGAAATGGCAAGAATGCAAAGAACTTGAGTAGAGAGAAGATCAGATCATTACAGTCAAGATGCAGTCCTATGGACTACAGGGCAAATGCCCATAATCTTCCTAAAGTGGAGCTTTACACATATCCAGTGTAAGGAACAAAGCACAGCAGTGGAGGTCTTTACCAATGCCATGCATGTGGGCCTGCATTTTATCTAGATGGCTCTTTTCAGCCCTCTAGAGTTAACTCTGGAATAGAGGAATGGAATGAGCCTGGAGCACTAAAACTTTTTCCCACTCTTCAGAATACACTGTCAGTGAATGGGGTAGCTGGCACAGTTCCTTCTGCACTGGTGGCAAGGGGGCAGGGCAGGGGCTCAGCCTTCTGAGTTCTAGATGATATTAGGAGGTTATAGAATTGTACCTGCAGAGACTAAAGATGCTTAGAAGTTAACTTGAAGTAGTTTATTGAAAATTGGAAATGAAAAAGGAAGTCAATGTAGAGAGCAGAAAAAAGGAGTGTCATTTTAGCATTAAATGAGACTGATTAGCATAACTTGTTTTTATAGAGTTTTATATTGTATAATTTTCTATTTTTAATCTTTTATTTTTGAGAGGGTTTTAACTTTAAAGGTGATCTAAAAATGATTTTAAATGAAATAAGAAAAGTTCAAGTGAGAGCACACAGACTTGAGAAAAGGGTCCAGTATTCCCCTCCTGCCCCAATTTCCTTTAAATGCTGCTGTTTTTTTAGGGATTCAGCAGCAACCATTTTCTGATGAGGAAGACTCCTGCAGCTTTGGGCCTGTTCGCAGTCAGTGGCTGCTATATGCAAGACACTTTTGTTTTAACAATGTCAGACCATTGCAGTCAGAGGTTGTCAGCATGCTGTGTGAACACTGACTAAAGGGTTGCTTAGGGTCTAAACACTCCTGTGACTAGTCCAACAGCAAACTGAGTTAACTCATGATTTGCTGCCATGGTAACCAGGTTCATATCTAATATTATCCAGAGACAAGAAAAAGCAGGCACATTGGGAGATGTTCTGTTTTATCAGAGTTCATTATTCTGAGAAGAGATGTTATTCAGGAGGAAATAGCAAAGAGCATCAGAAATCCTAATGAAAGGAATAGTTTAACCAGACAGAACAAAGCTAAGGCTTATCAGCATGGGAGTTATTTTGAAAGATAATAAACGAAACAGCTAAGAGTAGTAATATATGTATATAGAATGGTGGCATCAAAGATAGAAGCATGGGGAATGCCAGCAGATACTGGTCAGGCAACAAAGAGCTGAATCTTAAAGGGAGCAAAGCAAGAAGGTACAGATTGATTCTGGATTCATGCTGTTTCCTTCAAGAGGAAAAGTTAGAATGAATTGCAGGTATTGCTAAATTGCAATTATTATTTGTGTGTCTACTAAAAAATTATATATTGTTATGTAATTACAAGCTCTGAAAAAATACAAGTAATAAAACAAGCAAATTAGCAAAGTAGTATAAGTGAACATGAAATTATTATTTCACATGACTGTTCAGTGTGTGCAAGTAATATTTTTTTAATAAATTGAAATAATCCTCCTCTTAATTTTCTTCACTTCTAGGGGTGCTTTCCAAACTGGCCAGGGGCCTCTGGATGCACAAGTAAAGCTTCTGGAATTTACACTTGAACAAAATTTTGAAGTTGTTTCAGTGAGCACCATTTCTGCTGTTATTGAATCAATTACATTTCTGGTGCACCATTACATTACATGTGCTGACAAAGTGATGTCTCGCAGTGGGTCTGACAATTCAGTGGGCGCTCGAGCATGTTTTGGAGGTCTTTTTGCTAATATTATCCGGCCAGGAGATGCCAAAGCAGTCTGTGGAGAGATGACAAGGGATCAGCTCATGTTTGATTTGCTCAAGTTGGTCAACATCTTGGTTCAGCTGCCACTTTCAAGCAACAGAGAATATAGTGCTCGGGCTCAAATTGCCAGTAGCACTACTGATAGCGTTTCTGATGAAGAAAAGGTTTCTGGTGGAAAAGATAACAATGGAAACAGTGGCAATACTCAAGGCTCAACTGCTTATGTGGCTGACCTAGTCTTAGCTAACCAGCAGATTATGAGTCAGATTCTGTCTGCTTTGGGCCAATGTAACAGCAGTGCTATGGCAATGATAATTGGTAGGTATTTTAACTGTGAATTTAATTATCTTTCTGTGACTTGAATGTTCTGCTTGCCTCCACAAAATTCAGAACTTTCATACAGTTCTTAAACAGTCTCCTTACTGGTTTATTACCAAACTTGAATGTGTAGGCATGGAGATGTTTAACTGCTGGGATTTAGGGGTTTTATTTACTATTTCTAGTCTTTAACTGCTCTTTCTCTAATCAAAAAGTTTCCAGGTTAGTGTTCAAAGGCATGAAGAAACTATCCTCATAAAACAATATAAGCATAATATACTAGCTTGATGAATAATCAACTGCCACTTAAATCCAGATTAAAAGTGAAAATAGAAGAAAATTGTGTCTAAAATGTGCAGACAAATTGGAAGATTAATCTGGCACTGGAGCGATTGTAGTATCAACACCAGTTGAACCTCTTTGGGAACAGTATTTTAGAACTAGGTTGCCAATACAGAAAGACTTTTATTGAGTGCACGACTGCTAAAGTGGGTCTTCACAGAAAGGCCTATTTATATTGAACCTTCCCCAGGATTTATATCCAGATATGAAGAGTACTTCTTTCCTAGCTTTTAAAATAACAATCTGAAGCCAACAGAATTGCTTCCAAATATGAGTGCTTCTATAATACATGAATCTTATTCTCTTAGGGGTTTGTCAGATTCATCATTTGTATACTGTTGGGGCAATAGAAGGGTCCAAGATGATGGATTTCTAGTGTGAACAGGGGTGCTGGGGGGTGGGGGACAACTTTAGCTGTTCACGTGCCACAGAAACTTAAAGAGTTTGGACGCATTTGAAAGATTAAGAGCCAAGTTTATATTCTGTATTCTTGCTATCTTTCGTATCAGCCAAACATATATGAATTGTCTTTCATGCTGTCTCTTCTCCAGTAGAATAACTTGAGCATATTATAGTTTTCTATTTTTCAGAAGTTGAAAGGGCATCCAGGATTAAACAGCAAGTTGGGGGTGTATCAAAAGCATTCTATATACTTAGTGGTTTTCACTTCATTCCCTTTAATTTTTAAAAAATTTCTCCCAGGTGCAAGTGGTTTACATCTTACAAAACATGAGAATTTTCATGGTGGATTGGATGCCATATCTGTTGGAGATGGCTTATTTACTATACTAACAACACTCAGTAAAAAAGCCACTACAGTGCAGGTGATGCTTCAGCCTATTCTTACCTACATGGCCTGTGGGTATATGGGAAGACAAGTAAGTGTTTAGAAGAACACTTTATAATTGATTTTTTTAAATTAATTTGATCTGTCACTGCTAAAGATATATGGAAGTTCTTTGTGTCTGCAACTGTAAAATAATGTGTGTGACTCTAGAGGTCTGTTGACACCTATACCTAGGCTCCAGGGCATTGTGCATATAAGCCCCTTTCCTTCTGCTATTGCATAAGCTGTTCTCTACAGCAGGCTGTAGCAAGGCAAGATGTGTCACTAGCTGGCATCTAGTGTTTCCAACATTCACATCTGATCAGTTTTGACCTACAGGCTACCTATAATTTCTGCAGGGACAGGGGACCAAGTTTTATGGTCTACTCCCAAAAGCTGATGAATCCAGATAGATTTCTGGGGATTCTACTGTGAGCTTCACTCATGATCCTGTTTGGGCCATAGTCTGCTTAGAAGGAAGAGAAAAAATGGCTATCAGTATGATTGCTCCCATATATCCTCAACTCAGTCATATAACCATGTCATCTGCTAGATATTCCAAGTTGTTGAGGGCAATGAAATGACTGTGTTGATTATTAGAGTGCACATGATGAAAGATCACAATGAACTCTACTGAACACAGGTAAAATTGTACAGTTCACAAACACCTCAGTTCACGACCAAATCAGGTCACAAACAGAAATTTTGGCAAAATTTTGCATCCGTTCCGTTTGCGAACTCCACATCGGGTGACGACCACAATCACAGCCATGTTCCCGCACAAACACGATCACGGCCATCTTCCCCACACGAACACTCCAAACAACAACCTTCTCCCCACCCACCATGAGGGGAGCCATGAGGGCGTGCTCACCTCCGGCTTCCGAGCTGGAGGTTGCAGGTGCTCACCTGGCTCCAGGAGGAGGAGTGGGAGGCCAGAGAGGCAAGTGTGGGGCGGCTCCCCCAGCCAGGAGAGGGCCACAAAGAAGGAGGTAAGGGCTGCTTTCCGTGGGCTGAGGCGAGGGACGGGGCTGCAGCTGGCTGAGCTAGGTGCCTCCCGCCTCTCCCCACTGCAGGGGGGAGAAGCATGGCAGCTGCTTGGCAGCGTCGATTTGCCCTGAGAAGGCCGTGGTGGAGGTGAGGGAGCCACAGTCCCGCTCCTTTTCTGCCTCTGTCCATTTGTCCCTGGGCTCAGCGAGGCTTGGCCCGCAGCTTGGGGACATGGCTGATATTTTTGTGGTTTAAAAAAAAAAAATCGTATTTATTTAAAACTTTTATATGCTGTCCTTTACGTATAACAAAGTTATGGTTCAGAAAGGGTCAACCTTATTTGCATTGAATTTTATGGGGAAATTTGACTTGGTTCACGACAAAAATCAGTTCGCAACCATGTTCGTAGGGGTCAAAACAGATTAACCTAATTTACATTGAACCTTATGGGGAAATTTGACTTGGTTTGCGACCAATTCAGGTCTCTACCATAGTTGTGGAACGGGTTACGTTTGTGAACCAAGGTACCACTGTATTTGTAATCTTATTCTGGGGTAGCAATGGTGATGCTGAACTCTTACTGCTTCTGCACCATTATATTTGTTTTGTGTTATCCAGCAGAGCTCTTTTGGATGGTTAAAAGCTGCTTGTGGGTAGGCTGTAGAATACAGTAGTGAGTCCTCACAGACATGCTGTGAGCAATTTCCTGGATATATGTCCCTGCTAGTTCTGTCAGACCTTTTGGTAGCTTTCTGAGACCAATTTAAAGTGCTAGTTTGGATCATTAATGCATCAAATGGTTTGGGACCAAATTGCTTGAAGGACTTGCTTTCATCCATAGCAGTCTGCCTGCATTTTAGAAAAAGAGATTTTTCTCACTTGCCCATCATTGATGACAATTAGATGGGCATGTGCACAAGAGGGGGCCATTTCAGCCATGGCCCCCCACCTCTGGAATAGGTTACAATTGAGGATCCATTAGACCCCAGAAACTTATTAGGAAGGCTTTAAAAACCTACTTGTTTACTCTGGTTTTCCCCTGATTATTGCTTCATCTTAGTTTGTTATGACATTACATCACTGTATTGTTGTAAGCCATCCTATAAATATTATAAATAAATATTTTACAGCACAGTGTTTTAGCCATTTCATGGGATAGACCATGGCCTAGCAGTATGTCATCTTCAGAAAGGAAGTTGCAGAGAAAGCATATTGCCCGTGTATGTCTCAAAAATTGTAGCAGATCCATACTTGCCTAAGGGAACAATTAAATTGAGAAATAATATTTATTTGTTTGTTTGTGTGTTTGTTTATTTGCTGTGCTGTTGCTTAGAGGCTCTCTGGACACTTACAATAAAAACCATGGACAACCAAGATAGAACCATAAAATAAGAATTAAAACTATAAAATCAAAATTAATACAATAAAACAAATGTGTAGAATAAAATCCAAGATTATATAATATACATGACAGGAGAACATAATAAGCAAGCATCAATAATAACAGGGTGAAACTGGAATAGCTATTGGAATAGTGTTGAATAAAACTATCCCTCCTGCTTATTATTTTAAACACACTTACTTGCAGACAACTGAGATTGCTATGAAAGAGTGAATACAGATCTTATTAGGGAATGATTATTTAAGCTAAGCAAGGTAGTACCAGATGTGGAGTATGATGGGAATTGATCTTTTTGAAAACAAAATATTAACTAAAAGGGTAGATTTTCATGTTGGGAGAGATGTAATCAAGTAATATTTGGAGGTTGTGTTTGAAGAAGGTATTTTCCATAATGGCCTTGATGGAAAGATAGGAGGTTTTCATAAGTGGTATGCATTTTATTTTGCCATTAGATGCATAAAAAGATTGATAACCATGTTTTTTTGATTTTGTTTGCTTGCAGCTGCTACAGTACTTGCCAACTAATTTGACATGAAACTTCCATCACAAAAGTCTATTAATCAAAAGTCTATTAATTAGGCATTATGACATGTAAAAGCAGATCTATTGCTTTATGTTCAGGGTAAAGATTCAGAGTTCAATGAATATAGTCTGCATTGTTTCTTTTTTTAATATGAAAACTAGTCTGTAGAAAAAAAGTGAATTGCTTCCAAATTAATTATCTGTATTATATCAAGATAATATAATTATGTGTACTTAGAATTACACAGTTCTTTGCATTTCTACTAGGGTTCTCTTGCAACTTGCCAGTTATCTGAACCACTTCTGTGGTTCATCTTACGAGTGCTAGATACCAGTGAGGCACTGAAAGCATTTCATGATATGGGTAAGTGTCTTTTTCCATTTCCTAGGATACTGACCTGAGAAATCCCATGGTTGGGATTGAAATGGCCTTGAGCATGGGGAGAAATATGTGCTACATGTGTCCTAGGAGTTCGCTGTTTATATCCTTCCCAGGCTGTGTAACACCAAACTGTCATTCATGCTGTTCCAGAATTTTGTCTGGCCATTGGGCAGATTTGGGGAGTGGGGATATGCAGTGGGCAGTAGCAGAGCGGTTGGTCTCAGTATGCTTGTCCTGTTCCAAACATGGCACTTTTCATACTGGCATAGGAATTTTGCCTATTAACACTGTTCATGTCCCATATTGCACATTAGAGTCTGCTCAGGTAGATTTGTCTGATTCTGTGGAGGAGGCAGAAGGGCAAAGGTGGACAGACAACCTGGCACTTCTAAGGTTACGTTCAATGTATTCTCGGTATCGGGTTGATTTGCTATTGATGTGGGTAATTTAATTATTTCATTAGCTAATGACACTATCTGAGGGTATACATGCAAAATTTCAAATAAGTATGATCATTAGTTCCCTAGTAATCCTCAGTGAAAGATGACCATGATGACTGATGCGACAATGTTGAAGAAAATCGAGCACCACACTGTGATTAAGTTCCTTACAAACCAAGAAAAAAGTCAAAAAATTGTTCTTGAAGAGATGGTAGCCGTTTACCAGGACTCTACACCTTCATTATCTCTGTTCAAAAGTGGTCAAGTGAATTTAAAAGGGGCAGAGAAAGCATTGAAGATGACCCTCTCTCTGGCAGGCCGGTTACTGCCACTACAAAAGAAAATTTGAAAAAAAATTGAGAAACTTGTATTGGAAGATGCCCAAATAAAAATCAAAATGTTAGCAGAGATGACAAACCTATCTGTTGGTACCATATTTACTATTTTTCATGACCATCTTAACCTTTCAAAAGTCTGTGCAAGATGGGTGCCGTGAATGCTCATGGTGCCTCAGAAACAAGTGTGAGTTGAGTGCTGTAGGGAGTTTTTAGAGCTCTGTGGTGAAGATCCATTGAGGATTTTCAACAAGATTGTTAATGGAGATGAAACTTGGGTTCATCACTGTAGTCCATGCAGTGGCATAAAAACGGTGCTGACCCTCCGAAGAAATTCAAAGTCACTCCATCGGCTGGAAAAATCATGGCCACAGTGTTTTGAGTACACGAAAAATGGTGAAACCATAAACGCAGCACCTTACGCAACCACTCTGCGTAATTTAAGCGAAGCAATTAAAAAAGGCGGGGAAAATTGACTGTAGGTGTGTTGCTTCTTTATGACAATGCACCCATTCACACAGCGCGTGTTTCAAAGGCTGCTGTGTGAGACCGTGGTTTCGAAGAAATAAACCACCCACCATATAGCCCGGACCTAGCCCCCAGTGACTACTACCTATTCCCAAACTTAAAAAAAGATCTTCGTGGGAAGCGATTTTCTGACGATGAAGAGCTCAAGGCGGCAATTAATGCACATTTTTAGACAAGGAGGAAGGGTATTTTTTACAGGGAATTGAAAAGTTAATTTCTGGATATAATAAATGTATTGAAGTTATGGGGGATTACATTGAAAAATAAAAATTATTTCAATTTATTATTCCTTTTTCTTCATGCTGATACCGAGAATACATTGAACACACTCGTATCTAGTGAAGATTCTAAGGCAGATGTGAGCACCAGCCTTGGAAGAGTGGGGACATTTCAGAGCTTGTGAAGGAGGCAATGGAGGAGGATCCTTGACCCAGTCAGGAGATGACAGGCAAAGTGGGCAGACTAGTTAAGAATTGTCTGGCATTCCTGCTGCCTAACCATCAAGCAGCAGAAGCCATCCTGAAGAGAGAGTTAGAAAGGGTGGGAAGGAGGGGAAGCTTCAGTTTGGGTTAAACTTTCCGTGGGTAAATGCTTCTTCCGTATCTCCAGGAGAAAACTACTTTCTATTTCTCCAGGAAAAGGCTACTTAAACTTTTCTGTAACATATTAAACTTTAATAAAAGAGCATGCTTCTAATTTTTTTTCTGAGTGTGCTGGAAGGAGAAAGTGGGAGGAAGAGACTTGCTCACAACAAAACCATCTATCTTGTGGTTGGCTGTGTTGTTGGTTTAGATGTTTATTAACATTCTGTTTCATTCATAGGAGGTGTTCAGCTCATTTGCAATAACATGGTGACCAGCACCAGAGCCATTGTAAACACAGCAAGAAGCATGGTTTCAACTATTATGAAATTTCTAGATTCTGGCCCTAGCAAGGCAACAGAGAGTAGTCTGAAAGCAAGGGTTCTAGCGTCTGAGCCTGATAATGCAGAAGGAATTCACAATTTTGCACCCTTGGGTAAGCTATGTCACCCTTTACATTGGCATAATTTTGAAGCACATGAAATAAGACCTTTTGGGTATGTTATAATAATTAGCATATACTAGTAGTGAATTCATTCGCAAAGTTCCTGTCCATACATGACCACAACAACACCTTCTACCATCTGAAAGAGGTAGGTATCAGCAGGCATGAGGGATCTTCTAGGTATGCAAAACAATGAAGAATCTTTAGAGGAAAAATCCAAACCACCACAGTGAAGACTAAACATGTTCAGTGGACACAGAATGCCTGCTGACTGTTGGAGGGGCAAAATGAAAAGTGGGTCCTGAACTTGGGTCCTCCATTCTCCCTTCTGAATTACAGATTTGTCCTGTCTGCAGCAGCATAAACCATGGTTAAACGGTGCATGGCACTGGCATAAACCTCAACAATTAACAACAATCATGTTTCCTTTTTGTAAAGACTTGAAGCTAGCTTCAAACCCTGGTTGTTGTCTCCAAATCAATGGAGCTATATGGAAATTCTTGACAGATGACATCTGCGATAATATATATCCAATTCCATGATGTTAATTTGAGAAGTGCCAGTGCATGAAGAATGTTGTAGCCTCAGCCTTATAATTGAAAGTTTATCTGATTTCTTCTTTTAAACTCCTTGACACAGCTATATTAATGGCAAATATTTTTGAAGGTTCAATCACATCAAGCAGTCCTACTGCCCAGCCTGCTGAAGTGTTGCTACAGGCGACTCCACCACACAGAAGAGCTCGATCTGCTGCATGGTCTTATATCTTCCTGCCTGAGGAAGCCTGGTGTGACCTTACAATTCATCTTCCCGCTGCAGTGCTGTTAAAAGAAATACACATCCAGCCTCATCTTGCATCCCTTGCAAGTAAGTATATTTAGAGTACATCATTTATCTTGGAAGGTAAAGGGAACATTTTGAAGTCTTATCAAACACTTCAGTAAATAACAAATGTGTTAACAGCAGCCTGCTTCAGATGTTGCAAACTTGGTCTTATAAATCTATAGACTATCACGTGGCATATATTGCATAGTATAAAAATGTTTTTATTGCAAAAACAAGCAAAACAAAATAGTTTTATAAAAAGAATAATGAATGAATGTAATAGTATATAACCTTATTTTTCAGAATTTTTATTATTGAATTTTAAATAATATCAGACATTATGCCTAATGAGCTCTATTCCGTTAAAAATCAGAAAAGCTTAATTTGTACTTTGAATTTGAAACCACTGGATCACTTTCCAGTCAATTTTACCAAGTCTAGGTGCCACTTATGACACCACTTAAGTCCAGAGTCTCTCTCTTTGGTCAGTTCCATCATAAGCTCTTGTAGCTGGTGGTAGTTTATTATATACAGCATGTTCTTATTGTTTCATCTGTTGAATCTTTTAATTTATTTTCCATTTTTATTAGTTTTGTACCCTGATTTTCTACCCAGATTGGCACTCAAAGCAGCACTCAATTTTAAAGCAATGAAATTGATTACTTCAAGTTATAACCAAGGTCTTAGAGGTATCTCTGTGTCTTTACAGCATGCCCTTCATCAGTATCTGTTGAAATAAGTGCAGATGGAGTGAACATGTTGCCGTTGTCTACACCTGTTATCACAAGTGGTCTTACCTACATAAAAATACAACTCGTAAAAGCTGAAGTCGCCTCGGCTGTTTGTCTTCGCCTTCACCGCCCACGAGATGCTAGCACATTGGGTCTCTCTCAGATTAAATTGCTGGGACTTACTGCCTTTGGTAACACATCATCTGCAACAGTCAACAATCCATTCCTTCCTTCTGAAGACCAGGTATCCAAAACAAGGTATGCATTGTCAATAGATAACAAGAGTAAGCAACCTGAAATTTCACTGGTTATGTTCCCCCATAACTAACCTTAGGGGGCTTCATGCAAGCACTAGGTGAAACCAGAGTAAAAGTGGCCTGAACCACATACACAAACCTCATATCACATGCAACTGCAGTCTCCAATTGTGCGCCAGTTAGGATTGAAATAAGTCTCCCATTTGGTGGAAGAGTAATCACAATCGGAAGGTTGGGCTTGAACAATTGGGCTTGTTGAGGCAGAGCCAGACAGAAAAGGCCAAGGCTGGATAGGCTAGATTTATTTTGTAGGCCATCAGTTTTCCACCCATGTTTCTTAAGCTTTTAAGGCTGTGAACAAAAAACTTTGGAACCCATCTTGCTGGCTCAGATAGAAATTGTACCTCACCTTGTGCTCAAAGTTAACCTTTATTCATTTTATGAAGCCTTAGAAGCAGTCTCTAAAGTAGAATTGGGAAATCTAAAAATGGCTATAATTTTTAAATGTTGGTGGATTTCTAAGGTCTGCCAAATTCAGACAAATAGTTGCAAGGGCTTTTGTGTTAGGCAGTTTTTTAAAGTTTGTGTTTTTAAAAAATAGTGTTTGCACTTCCTCATAATTTGTACAAGCATAATGTACAGCAGGGATATAACTATGGGTATGGTTGGAGAAATTTAAAAAGAAATTAAAAGGAGTCACTAGTATCACAGTAACTGTAGCTCTCAGTTGAGCTAAAAACTGACCATTTGCTATTTGGCTTTTAATTTTTTCCCCTTTTCAGCAGTGGCAGAAGCTGCATGGTACTCATCTTCTCATATGATGTAGAAAGGTCTAGCTTCAGATTTGGGGGGAAACATAAATATGCTTCCCTCAGTGGGCTCCCAGCAGTCAGTGTCACTAAAGCCCTCTGATAGCACTGAGAGGCTACTGGAGCTACAAGCCTCTCAGAATTTCCTGGTTTCCAATAGAAAGCATGATTAGCTTGCATCTTTACCATTTGGCAGAAGTGTCACATACAGGATCTCATAACAATATATATCATGTCCATTTATAAACACAGTATACTAGACAGAATCTGAACACAAGCATTTTATCCCCCATTTTAAGAAAAGATTTCCGTATTCTTCTGATTATAAGAGCTTGATAAATTTGGGATATTGCTTTGTTTTCTAGCTTCCTTGTTCAGAGTTTCTATTGTAAAGCTTTGCAACTCTTTATACTGAATCAACATGGACACCTTCTTTCTATTTTAATTTCTCTTCTTACTTTTCCAGCATTGGATGGTTAAGGTTGTTGCATCATTGTCTCACTCACATAAGTGATTTAGAAGGAATGATGGCCAGTGCTGCAGCACCCACTGCCAACCTTTTGCAGACATGTGCTGCTCTGCTGATGTCTCCATACTGTGGCATGCATTCTCCAAACATTGAGGCTGTGCTTGTAAAAATTGGGCTTCAGTCTACCAAAATAGGCCTAAAACTAATAGACATTCTTTTAAGAAACTGCTCCGCATCAGGGAGTGATCCTACAGGTAAGAGTGTGGTTTGCTTTATTTCCAGTTTTAACCATCATATAACCTGAAGAGATTCAGTCTTGCTGTGCTCAAAGAAATCATTTAGCATATCAGGAAAATGGCATGGATTTAGAAACTGTGTAATTTGAACATAAGTATATTTTAATTTCTACATCTTGTAAGATGCTTAAGTTTCCCAAGCTTCCTTTGAAACTATAAAGATTAACATTTAAAAAAAAGAACTTCTGGGCTTTTCTTTTTTGTGCTCTTAAAAACTAATATTTCTCAATGCATATCACTAATTAAAAATATATCTTTTTCTTTTATGTGGGAAGATTTGAACAGTCCCTTACTTTTTGGAAGATTAAATGGCTTATCTTCTGATTCCACAATTGACATTCTTTATCAGCTTGGGACAACTCAGGACCCTGGAACAAAAGATAGGTAAACAGCTTGCTTTGTTTTTAATGCATGCATGCACAAATGTAAGCTACATGGACTGCAGAAATTTCAGTGTGTTCTGCAAACATCTCTGTACAAATTATGCTGTCTTGTTCAAGAAAATCATGCTGTTGCTTTTTCCCACCTAACCTTCCAAATCTATTAGCATCCTGCTTTCAAGAGGTAACATTCCCTAATACAGTTGAGCTGATGCATTGTCTAAGTTCCCTAATACAGGAGGACTTTCTCAAGTGCACAATTAAATGTACTTCCCTCAGCATTACTTGAGAGTTGTTTTAAGAGAATTCTGCTGGGAAATTGTGTGTGTCTATGTGGAAATACACTGTAGAGATTCACTGAAAGAACTTCAGCTATTGGGCATTATAAAAATGGAATAAATAAATACCCCACTTCTTTGTGGGTGTTCAACTAATTTATATGTCTTCTTGTGCACTAAGGTAAATAGGTAACAGGAAGCCCTGCAATTTTTTGTCAGCCACTATTAAAATGTCTGCTGTGTTGCCCTGAATCCCTTTTTTAATTAGTTTGGCAATTATACTTGCTTGGTAGTGTTTCATATTTGATGTATTTTGTGGTTGGTGTAAATTTTATAGTTTGCCTATTTTCCTTGTTCTGTTGTATACTACATATGAATTATTAATAGCAATATCTTGAGGCTGATAATAGGTAAAAATTCTCTTCATCGCTGGCTAATGTGAACACATTCATTCGGTGCACATGTATAGGGTGTGAGCATACAGTGGGTACCTACCTGTCAGTGGAAAGTGGTAAATGTGAGGTTTTGGAGTACAAGTAGAATTCAGCCTAAGCCAAGGTACGGGTAGCAGATTCCTTCTGAGTTTGGTTTTCATAGGAATGGAATTAAATAGAAGGGTTAAAAGCTTGGAATACTGGGAGTGTGCGTACACACTTGAGCAGGGTTGAGGAACCTCAAGTTGCGGTGCCAAATATGCCCCTCCAGGATCCTCAGGTGGACCCCAACAACCAATCATTTGGTGTTTTCTCAGCATTGGCTTTCATTTTCCCCCAACTCTTAAAAAATGTTGAAATGTTTCTACTAAAACTTAGTTACTGGCAGTATGAGCTGGTAGGTATTTGTATTTTTTAGCCCCCACCCCCTTTTAATTTCATGCCATGCTACACTGACATAGCCCCTAAGAGTCTCTTGGAAATGAAATTCTGCCCTCTGGGTGAAAGAGGTTCTCCAAGGTTCTCTAGAACATAATGAGTGGGCACATTCCTGAAAGTGGGGGATGGCAAGCAAACAGAAGCCATAGCAAATTGACTGTTAGGTGTGTGTGTGATATTAAAATGGTTCTTCTCATACATAAGCAATTCCTGGACTCCTTTTTCCTTTTCTCCTCGTCGCACAGTTTTCATTTGGAGCTGGAAGAATTTGAAATTATTGTGCAAGGCAAATATATTCAAGAGTTCTAGCTGATTTCATTTCTGTGCTGCTCAATAGGCAAAGCCTTCTGGGCAGTAAAATCCCCCCCCCCCCCATTACAAGTTATTTGTCAAGGCATTGACAGAGCTTTTGCCAAAATTTTAGACTGCAGTCCTAAAAGATTGCCAGTTGATAGACAAAACGCTTTGAGATCAGAGCTTTCTCTTTATCCTGTGCCCTGCCTGCAAAAACAAGGCCAGCACAGGAGGAGGAGAAGGGCAGAGGTGAAAGCTTCTCCTATTCCTGCTTTTCTTACATGTTTGGTGACAAGTTGTGTGGGCAGGGCAGGCAGTGGAGAGGCTTTAGGATCCTACAGGTCCCGACCTCTCTTCCTTCCCACCATCCTGCCCCTTTATCTTCCCTGAGCTCTTTTGACATTGCTGTTGCAAGCTCAGAAAAGCATTGGCAGTGAGGGTGGGAAAAACCTGATTTCCCCTTCCTGTGGTCATATCACTGTCTCTGGCCTGGGGGTGGTGGGAATCTGCTCTATTCTTAAATGCTTAGGATACTCACCCAGGGACCATAGGATTACTCTGTTTGGTATGTATGCTTAAAAAAACTAAGCTAATGCTTTTCAATTATCAAGTCTGAAAACTGGAAAAAATACTGTATTTGTAAAGTCTGTGCTTGATTTACTTTAAGTTTAGTCTTATGAAGTCAGCTTTGCGAAAACAATGCTTAATGCTACACAATAGATGGATGATATTAGTGTCATCCATTTAGAGGGTTTTTAGCTTGTGTGCTGAAATTCTGCACTTTACCTGCACTCCAGTTCTAGTCTATAACACATTATTACTTGTTCTTTCTTCAAAGTTATATAAAGTTCCCTTTTAAAATATTTTAATAACTAATGGTATATATGACCTTTGTTTTGTATTTTTGCTTGTATTTTACTGTTGTTTTTAATGTGTTGTTGGTTTTTATTGTGTTTTTATCGTGTGGTTGTGAGCCACCTAGATGTGTTGTGGCACAATTGGGTGACATACAAATGTTTTAAATAAATAAATAAATAAAGTGTGTCCATCTTCTAGAATTCAAGCTCTGTTGAAGTGGGTCAGCGATTCAGCAAGAGTTGCTGCTATGAAAAAAAGTGTTCGAAGTAACTACATCTGTCCAAACAGCTCTACAAGAGAGTATGGTCTTCTGATGCCCTCTCCTTCCCATTTGCACTGTGTAGCAGCGATTTTATGGCATAGCTATGAATTGCTTGTAGAATATGACTTGCCAGCCTTGCTGAACAGAGAGCTCTTTGAGTAAGTAGTCTAAGCCAGTGTTTTGTGCCTGATGTTGCTTCTTGAATTATATGTCATTCTAAGAACTTTAAGCTTCAGTTATACAAAATAGTAGTGGGCTACAGATTTTTTCCCACTTGAAGTTTAATAAATTACTGATTCCAGTGTATGAGTGCCAGAAAAGGACTTGAATGTAAACAACATAATACAAAAAGGTATGGCAATCTTAAAAAATGTATTTCCTGAATGATCAGACTACTTGACTTGAGTGTGACATTTTAAATGACCTTGAAAGCTATTAGAATGTAAGAGCCATGCTGGATCAGTCCAATTATCCATCCATCCCAGCATTCCCACCACATTCTGGAAAACTAGCTGCCACAGGATCCCTCAAGCAGGATGTGAATGCAGCAGGACCCTCTTGTCCAACTTCTGCAGCAACTCATGTACATAGGCACACAGCCTCTAATACTGGAAGTAGTGTATCGCCATCTAGACTTGTAGGCATCGATAGCTTCCTCCATTAATATTTCAAAACCCCTTTAAAGCCATAAATAAATAATCAAACAAATGATCTCTTGTGTAAAGACACATCTTTTTATCTGTCCTAAACCTCCCTGATCAGCTTTATGGAATGGCCCCAGGGTCTGTTTTTTATTTTATTCTAAACTACAGAATCTCAGCTGTTGTAACCTTTCCTCAAAGAGTTGATCATTTCAGTTGCTCTGCTCTGTACTTTTTCCAGTTCAACAATACCATTGTTAGGTGTGGCAACTAGAACTGTACACAGTATTCTAGGTGCAATAGCACCATAGAGTTGCATAAGAGTAGCATGATTTTGGCAGTTTTATACATTTTGGACACCACAAGTTCATAATGGAAGTTCTGAAAGCAACACATGCACATATTTGCAAAGCAAGTGGCTGTCCATTTCTAATAATTACCACAAACAAATCTGGAGCTGTTCTTTCCTGTGCTTTTACCATATGTTAAAAATGTATTGCTTATTTGATCAATGCCAATTCAATAAAATCACCTTTAGAATTCTTGAGTTTGCATAGAGCTAGGAATCTTTTTCAGCCTTTGGCAATACAGTAATTTTCTAAATGTTGTGGCAGTGTTTGGTTCTATAGTTCCCATTGACAGGGATGCCGAAGTCAAGAATGCTGTAAATTGCAGTGGTGCTATTCTTAGAAACCTCAGTTTCAGAACTTTAGCTGTGTATTCTAAATCTGTGAATAGCTAGGTCCCATCATTCTTATGGTTTTGGTTGTGTTGCATAAAAGTATATAAAGTTGACAGCGCTATGTGTGTTATCTAACATAGACTCCAGTTTAAAATGACACATCTTTTGAAGTATTTTATTGAAACATTTCACATTTGATTTTGATTTCATCACTGCTGTATCATAGACAAATTATTTTCTCTGAACAACACTTAGGCATTGAAATTTTGTCTAATTGATCTGACCAAGCAGTGTGTCTGATATATATCATTTGCCTGATCAAAGAGAATTACCTGGTTTGCATGTCACAACAATAGCAATTAGTTGTATGATTCAGGAAAGTCACAGTTCCAGTCGCAGAAGAAAAACCTGCTGAGAAGAGAGCCATTTGTGAGCTGCTTCCAGGAACAACCTATGCAGGAACAACCTATGGACACTTCCTTCATAGACCATATGGCATGCAAACCACAACACTCTAGGTAGATGAGTACCTGAAAAAAAATCAGAGTTAACAATTTGTCAGTTAACTCTGTGTTGTTTAACCTATAAACAACCCAAAGTGACCAGGTTTACATGTCATGCAACAGCCTACAAATCGGCAGTTCATAGTTATGCAAAGTGTTATGCAAAGTGGAACCTGCTTATGCGTGGCATATGACCTGGCAAATCTTGAATTAATTAACCCAAGCTTTGTCACCATGATGTGTAAACTGGGTTGATGATCGCCAGGATCTATGTAATATAAACTTGTTTGTTTTTTCCTACTTGATTTAAGATTCTAGCTAGTCATGAAAAGTAGCTGCATATAATGTATTCTGACTACTGGTAATTCTGAAGGCTGTCTCAAAAGACAGGGAAAGAAAGAGGTTTGTAGAGCTGCTAATGATTTTTTCCATCTCTTTTTATCATTTTTTCTTTAATTATTCCAACTCCTTCCCATCCCAACCCCTTAGGTGAAACAAACAGGAAAAAGGAGGGCTATGATCAGCATGGACAAGGGAAGGATAGGCAGTCAACAATTTACATTCTCTCTGACATTTCCTTTGCCTGACTCCAGAGGAGTCTTCAGAATTTGTGGCAGTCTTGTTTATATGTGGGTCTTTTCATGTAAGAAAGTATTAATATGAACTTTTTGTGTCTAGATGTACTGCTATTCAATTGCAATAGGTCAGAAAGGTATTAATCTTGCAGGACAGTAATTTCTTTGTTATTAATGTAAACCTAGTTCATGTCCTGAGAATGTCAAAGGACACTGTGAATTATACTAAAATGTTTTCTGAATCTAATGCCACAAACAGTTCTGGCATATTGGCTGTTTTCTTTTTCAACTATAATCAGAAGCCAATTAAACTTGCCATGTGCCCTACGACCTCTCTGACATGTTATGCACTTAACTTTAAGCAGAGTAATTGAACAACAGGTTTATCCTTTTATTAATGAGTAGAAATGAGCATGTCCTATGTTCTAACTATTTTTCCTCTCATCCTCAGGTCTCTCTTTAATTGGTCCATGTCTCTTCCCTGCAATATGGTTTTGAAGAAAGCTGTTGACAGTCTGCTTTGTTCAATGTGCCACATTCACCCAAATTATTTTTCTTTACTCATGGGCTGGATGGGTATTACTCCTCCCCCTGTACAGTTGCAACACAGACTGTCTATGACAGATGACAGCAAAAAACAGGATCTTAGTTCATCTTTAACAGATGACTCAAAAAACGCACAAGCACCTCTTGCACTAACAGAGTCTCACCTGGCTACCCTGGCTGCCTCATCACAGTCTCCTGAAGCTATTAAACAGCTGTTGGACTCAGGTCTGCCCTCTCTTCTTGTAAGAAGCCTTGCAAGTTTTTGCTTTAACCACACCTCTGCCTATGATTTCAGTGCTCAGTCAACAGACAATTCCCAGGACAGGCTCAGAAGACACCATGTTCCACAGCACTTTAATAAAATGCCCATCACAGCAGACTTAGTTGCTCCTGTTCTCAGGTTTTTGACAGACGTTGGGAACAGCAACCTTATGAAGGACTGGTTGGGTGGATCTGAAGTCAACCCACTGTGGACAGCACTTTTATTTCTCCTCTGCCATTCTGGTGCTACTTCTGGAGGACATGGTATGACAGCACAGCAGAATAGTGCCAGGCCTACTTTACTTTCTTCAGCTTCAGGAACAGGACTGACCACTCAGCAAAGGACTGCAATTGAAAATGCCACAGTTGCATTCTTCTTGCAGTGCATCTCTTGTCATCCTAATAATCAGAGGCTGATGGCTCAGGTAATAAACCAGGTGACCTACTACATTCGGTTGGCTGCCCCTACAAATTAGAGTGCACTGTGTGGGGCATTTTGGTGTACTCAATTTGTTCTCTTCTAACAACTGGAAAGGAGTGATGCGGTGAATGGTTATGAGCTCTGGGGGAAGTAGTTACAACCCCTGGGATGCTAACTGCTAAACCTTGGTTTAGGGCATGCATGCACAAATAAACAGATAAATAGTTGCTTGGGTTTTGCAACTTTTTGGTAGCCCTTAAGTTTCATTTGTCCAGTCAGCCTAGCTTTAAGACACTGTTGAAATCCAGTGAGGACAAACAAGTCAAAACTTTAATTGTTACCATAAGTAATTGTTTCCATCCACAACAGCTGCATAAACAGACTTTCCCTTCTCCTCACTGCAATCCCCTATTCCCCCCTCTGTATATTCTCTGGAGAGTCCTCTGACCCTCCAAAGCAGATCTGAGTAGTGTGCAGGGAGGCAATATGAGTGCATTCCATCAGCAATCTCAGTTGTGCAGGTGGGTGGATGCAGTCAGATACAGTCGATCCATTCCATATAGGTGTAGTTCACATATCTTCAATAAACATTTCTGAAATATTTTCCATTCCTTTTGTAGGTTCTCTGTGAACTCTTTCACTCATCTCCTCAAAGAAGCAATCTCCCAACATCTGGAAATATTTCAGGATTTATTCGACGGCTCTTTTTGCAGTTGATGCTAGAGGATGAAAAAGTGACTATGTTCCTTCAGTCACCTTGTCCAGTAAGCTGCCTTTCTTCTCTCACAACCTACTGCCAGGGCTTGAACATACTTAATGTTGATTCAGGATTTGATATTATTTTCACCCTAGTAGGAGGTGGTATCTAAATATGAGCAATGTTTTGCAATCCCAGTGATGTATATGCATCTGTGTGCAAATTAGACAGAGTTTCTGAATAACTTTACAATCATAGGCAAACACTCTAATGACTGAAAAATCACTCTTAGAGGGTTGCCGTTTTACTTTGCTGTATTTTATGTGTATATACTTTCTTTTTTTTACAGTATGTACTTTCTTTTTTGTGATTAGAAATGCCATGCTTGTTTATATTGAAAAATTAAACTGAAGTCAGTTCCTCTTCAAGCATTGCTTTTTGTATGTTCAAACAGTCATAAAGTATGATCCAATCATACAAAGGTGTAGAGGGTTTGGCCTGTAGAGCTTCCTTGGATTCCTCTGGGAGGCAGAAACCAAGCTTCACCCTCAAAGGAATTTTCTCTGGTGGAATCCCCACTATTATTGACAATGTTAGATCAGAGATAACAGTGGGGATGTGACAGGCAGCAGTGGCTAATCTTTCCAGCATCAGCTGAGTCCATTCTCACAGCACAGAAATCCTGAAGGTGTTGAGAGGAACAACTCTTCTCAGCTCTTGCTGTGTTTCTTGCTGTGCAAAGCCAGAAACTTGGAGGCTGATAGGGGGAGCTGCTCCCTTTCTTCATGTTGGGAAATGTACAGAACACAGTATGGAGAAAGGTAAACCAGGTGCAACAGCTCTCTGATATCAGTGGTAATAGCCATACCATCTTATATCTAGTTGACAGAGGAGGCAGTAGAGGAGCAGTGTGGTCCCTCACCTAAAAATGATTCCACATCCCATATCCTCTGAAGCTATTATTTTTTAGCTTATTGCAACTCATTCAGTCACTTTCTGGGCTCCACAAATTTTTCTTATGTAGAGTACTCTTAGGTAGAATTCATCAGGTTTGTAACCAAATGGTAGCCTTAACATTTTGGAGCCTGCCAAGGATAGTTCTGCCAGTGTTTTAAAAGAGATAGTACCACAAGATTGCAATTAGGTTTTCCAGCTGCTCATGAATTCAACCGACTTAATTCCTCTTTAAGAGCAAGCTGTTCCACAATTAGCAATACGAAGTGTGAAAAGAGAATGCATGCTCTTGGGTACCAGTAAAACAAGGAATATTGTTTCAGGATATAGAGTTCCTTTGTCAGGAATAATCATACAACCCCAAAGTCTTTGTATTATCCTTTCGGTATGATGCACTAGAATTACTGTTTGTTTCTGAGCAAGTTGCCTATCCCCCACCCCCACATAATATTACTATATTTCTTTTGAATCTCTTATAGCCGTTCTTTCTGGTGTTGGCTTAGTCAATTTCTTCAGAACACACTGCCCAAAGCCATTAACTCAAGAAGTTTTGTGTGGAGAGATACTTTTCCTGCTGCTAGCTGAATCTGTTCATGCAGTACACACTGTTTCTATGAGCCAATGAATGCTGTGTGGAGCAGCAGATTCAGGCACTGCTGGGTGGTGCACCTGTTCCTTTTTTGCACCAGCCAGACCTTTCTCTTCATGCTGACAGAAACAAATGAAAAAGACAAAATGGGCAGTGTAAGGTCTGATAGGAAGCAGTTTGTCCCACCCACCCCAAAAAACTAGTTCTGCATACCTGATCTAAAAGTTGTTTATAGCACTTTGAAACCATTATAACATTTCATTTCTAACCACTTAAACTGTTTTATTTTTTCTAACTTGTAGTTGTACAAAGGTAGAATTAATGCTACCAGCCATGTTATTCAACACCCAATGTATGGGGCAGGACACAAGTTCCGCACTCTTCTCTTACCAGTATCAACAACATTGGCCGAGGTCCTTGATCGTGTATCAGGCAAGTTGCATGGTCTGTATTTTTTTAAGCTGGCTTTTTGTTATAGAAAGCTTATAACTTCTGAGTCTACAGAAAGTTCTAACTCTTGTACTTGCTGGACTTCTTTCCTGTGCTTGGCCCTGGAAGTGCACTGAGCCAAGATCAGGTCCATGAACACTCAGGAACACTAGCAGACCCCTTCTTTTCACAAAGTACACAATGTGTACACAACTATTAGCACAAAGTAACAAAGCCTGCAAAAAACAACTGCAAAACAAAAGCCGAGCTGTCCTTGCACAGTGGCAGTGAGTGCAGCATGTGTGCAGGCTGGCTTTGTGGACTTGCTTCCTTCTGGATACCCACACAGACACATAGTGCAAGACAGACTTATGGCAGGGAGAAAGTAGGCTGGAGTCTAGGGAGTTAAACCAAGGAAATCCAACACATTTCCACCCCAGAACTGTATTCCTCACACGTCACTAAATGACTCAGGGCTATGTGTTAAAGTAGGTGGAGAGGGCTGTAAAATATTGTTTTACATAAAGTATTTTTTGTCTTTTAGATACCCCAAGCATAACTGCAAAATTAATTAGTGAGCAAAAAGAAGACAAGGAAAAAAAGAACTATGAAGAAAAAGAAAAAGTTAAAGCAGAAAATGGGTTTCAGGACAATTACAGTGTTGTTGTTGCCTCTGGTATGAGTGTGTGTTTGTTTCATCTTTGTTAGCATATCTATTTGGTACGATGTGAGGAGTAGAGGACCACCCCAGGATGTGGCAATCATAGTTCAGTGAAAAATTCCAAATAAGTCCTCCAGAGTGTTTAAGTTATTTAACAGTTTTAATGCCTGTCATCCCAGTTCCACTACCCTCTTTGGTCAGAATACAGGAATATGCAAGTCACTGAAACAGAGATTATAGTACATGTTAAAGGACTGTGGGTGATAGGAATAGGTTATTCGGTATGGCATTTAGCCATGGAGACTTCCACACAATCTTGAATCACCTTTAAAGGTTTCTTACTCCATGCACCAACAATGATCTATGCAGTGTTCACATGCCAACCATTTCTGGCCATGAGGGAATTGCCCTGGCATGTAAAAACTGTATTGACAGAGACTGTCAGATACCTTAAAACCAGGTACTATGCTGCATAATTGTATGAGTAGCCATTTTTATTGGAGATCCCTTTAGACTAATACTTCAATTCTATTATAGGGTTGAAATCTCAGTCGAAAAGGGCTGTATCTTCTACACCCCCTCGCCCACCATCAAGACGAGGGAGAGTGATGGCAGATAAAGTAGGCAGCTCCTCCATGGGAGGTGACACTTCCAACAAAACTATTAGTGTTCCTGTTTTTCATCTGTATCATAAACTGCTACCAGGTAAGATTTAAGGTTTTCTCAACAAAACATGTTTATTGTGTATCTTAAGGTGCATAATGTATTAGAGCAGGGGTCTCAAACTCACCTGGGGGCCGCTGGAAGTAGAGTCTGGGTGAGGCTGGGCTGCATCAAGTATTCCACCACCATGGTGGTGGTGGGCCGCTCATCCCGTGTCGCTCCCGGAGGCCAGCCTGGGCGCCGCTGGCACTTTGAAGGCCACAGGGCCCCTCCCCCGTGCCCCACCTGTCCCGGCAATTGGCCCGCGGGCCGCGAGTTTGAGACCCCTGTATTAGAGCATTATATGAATATGGCTACTTACTTAGGTTCTACTGTAAAATGAGAGTTCATTGACCTGGAATAAGTTATTTGCTAATTATACTGAAATAATCATACTGTAGATCTCATAACATATTTCTAAGGGCATGTTCTCTTACAGATCTGCAGTATAAATGCCTCTGGTCACTGTGGATGAATTCATGAAACTACTGTGTTGAATTTCATGGCTTTGATATCTTAGAGATGAATAATGATTTTCAAAGTAGTTGATATTGTAGTATTTAAATGTTTATCCAGACTAATACAGTGGACGGTATCAATCAGTAGTGGAGTGTGCCAGTAGCACAATAGGAAGCTAGCTATTAGATGAAGCAATCTAAAATACATGAAAATGCTCATTTCTTCAAGGGCTCAACTCAGCTGAGCTCACAAAATGGAGCTCCGCTGACCAGTCCCATTCTGGAAATAAGAATTTATGGGGCTGCTTTTACAACCATGAATTCCATGCTATGCAAATCATGGGCCCCTCAAGCACAACAGAACCAGAGGGGGCAGACAGCAGTATTGGATACTGCCCCATATGCTTAGTTTTGTAGTGCAAATGTTTTTTTAAATCATAATAGCTATGTATAAGAAATGGGTATGTGAAAATTTAAGAAATAGTGCTCATTAAAGCAGACCATAATTTGCTTTAAGCTTAGCTAAACATCAAAGCCATGATTTGAGCTGTTTGTAACTTAATGTTCTTTAGGTCAGCCATTACCACCTGAGATGACACTTGCCCAGCTTTTGACTCTGTTGTATGACCGCAAACTCCCTCAAGGATACCGATCCATAGACTTGGCAGTTAAGCTTGGTTCCAAAGTGATCTCAGACCCAAGCATTTCAAAAACAGATTCTTTTAAGCGCCTCCATACTGAAAAAGGTACACTCTAATTTCATTGTATTTGTCTTTAACTGTTCACCTTTTTTGCCCTGATTATAATTTTTGAATGGTGACCATAGGTACATGGGAACATTATTGATTTATTTTTTGAAAACTTCACAACTAATTGTATTGATCCAGTATTTCAGTTTCCAGTGATGTAATGCACACACTGTTATGCTTGGGATTGTCCAGGGTAATACCCACTTGAGTATGCTTTGTGTATTAACCCTGCACTCCCTTGAGAGGCACAGGATCTTTCGCTGGAGTCTAACATGCATCTGGCTTCTGTGTGTGCGCTTCTCTCCCACTTTCTGCTCTTACTGAGAAAGACTTGGCTGCACAAAATGTGAAGAATTGCTTTATTATAGGGAAAAGAAGAAGCAAAGTTGAAATTTAGTCAGTCATGCAATTAAAATGTAGAGCTTGACACAGTTGTTCACATTCATTACCCTTAGAATTCAGAGACCCTAGCATAGGAAGGCAGAGCCTTTCCCTAACACAGACCACCCATGATATATACCTGTCCTGTAGGTTTTCCAGCAAGTCCAGTTGCAAGAATCGATGTGTGCAGTGTTGTGCCATGTTATCCTTTTGTGGTGCAGGATTCTCTCTTGTTAAGTTGCAGTTTTTTTCCATTGTGACATGATGGTTGAAGGTGTGTGTCTCAGTGTTGTGCTTTCATTGATGTGTCATTCAGGGTTCTGTGTTGCCGTGTTTGACCATTAGCTTATTATATTGTAAACTGTATTTTCAAATGGAGGAAGGATGAGTAATAACTCTTTTCCTGTCATGACTTAGTTTGTGTCATTCTCATTGTTTCATGTCCCTAGTTAGACATGTTAATACAAGTTAGAATGCATTAGGCCAGTCTTGATGATCTTATGTCTTCTGGTTCTCGCTGGGTTAATCTCATAATTCTCCAGACTGTTTCTTATATCTGTGTTTTTTCCCTTTTCCTATGTACTGTAATCCCATTGAGAGAGGAATTCCCTGTTAGTATTCTATTAAGATTACTTCCGCTGCAACCCAGTCACCACACTTGCACCTCCACATGTCTCCTCCTTAATGTCAGATATCAGTTTGATTCCTCTTGACTATTCTGTCATCCTGCTTAGCAACTTGCATGCCCTATATATGCTTGCCTCTTTCCCTGTGGCTCTTTTATGTACTAAATCATATCAAAGATGGATAATTAAATTACAAAAAGCATCATTCTTTACGATACTATCTTTGCAACTCATTAATATTTGAAGCATTTCCCAACAATTACACTATCTTTAAAAATAAAGTGATATTCAGTAAAAGATGGAAACAGAGCTTTGAGTTAGTTCATTTTCAGTATTTTAGTTTTGTAGAAATAATTTTTTAAAATGCTTTCTGGACAGTTTTAGCCCTCAAGGTAAGTGGTTGGTATTTAAGAAGATTATTGCTACAGGTGTGCTTAACTTTTCTTACCTTGTTCAGAAAAAATTAGGCTTAATTTACAGAATAAGGAATATACACATTTGTTTCAGAATTCTTGTCTGGAAATAAAAGCTGGTGAGACATTCCAAAACTGTCCATAACCTTTGCTCACTATCTCTGTTGCGGGCAAGCTACTTCCAGCACTGGTAATTCTGCTGCTTTTCTGAAGAAAGTGAGCCACACCTTCCCTTTTGCCTTTTTCAAGAAATGAGCTCTGTATTTCAGATTCCTGCATGCTCTGTTTGAAATGAGTTGGGTAGTATGGGCTGACTCTCTGTAAGCAATCCTTAAGGAAATCTTACTTAATATAATTTTACCGAATGGTTTAACTTTCTATTTGTCCATGCTTGTGTAGAGCATGCAGATATATTGGGACCTTGCACAGAAGATGAATCAGCCACACCAGCTGAGGAGTGCATGGATACAGTGCTGGATGAATCCTTTCTTGAAGTGTGCCCCATTCAGTCTCCATTGCAAGTTTTTGCTGGAATGGGTGGGTTAGCCCTCATCGCAGAAAGACTTCCCATGCTTTATCCAGATGTAATTCAACAAGTAAGTCCAAAGATAGATGTATACATATCTTAATTCTAGGTTGGGTGTTTTTGAATTAGTAGAACAGATGTTTTAGCTCTGGATTGTGCTAAAATGTATGAGTACATTTTCTTTTTGAAATTTTGTATCTTTCCATAGGGTAAAAGAGAGAAAGAGAAAGCAATTGAACATATTCTTTAAAATTTCTTGACCTTCAGACCTTTTCTTGAAGGGACCTATACTACTGAAAGCTTTGTGGACTTTTGGCATAGCATCAGGAAATAAATCAAGGGGTCAGGATGCTGTCTCAGTTTTACTAATGCTTGTTTAAAAAATGAGAGGTCCGGGGGCTACAAACTGAAAAGCCTTTCTGCTTTATTACAGTTATGGTGGAGATTGGTTGCTAGTCCTCAGATCAGTGATCAAAAAGAAGCTTGCCTTATGTCTAATTCAGGAAATACATAATTTTGATTTTTTAAATTTAAATGGTATATAAATACTCAAATAATGTATTAAAGTATTATTTATTTTCATTTTTATACCACCAAATAGACAAGACTCTCTAGGTAGTCAACAAAAGTTAAAATTAAACAAAAGTTTAAAAGACACACATATTACTTTAAAAAAATTAAAATCCAAATAAACCCATAACAGCAATTGCTGTGATTCAGCATAGAAGCATGGCAGCAGTACAGAATAAAGTAGAATATATAAAAACAACATTTTAAAAGTTAAACTATTAAAATGCTGGGAAAATGAAAAGGTCTTCATCTGGCACTGAATGCGAAGTAGGCACCAAGCGCACTTCTTTGCAGAGCTCATTCCAAAATCCAAAGTTCTTCAGATGTCTGAAATATGGATTCTCACCATTGAAAACTTTCTCCAGACCTGTGCTCAATTGTTATCCAGAATTAACCCATCTCACACAGACAGAAATGTTTATGTGCTCTTGCATGCTGTTTTTAGTTTGTATACGTGTACACCGCATTTGCCTTTACAACAGACATGTGTCCCTCCCACCTTCTGTAACCCAAGTATGTATCTTTGTCCTCAAATATAACAATTCAGATTTCAAAGTTAGATATGTGTTTTTTGAGAATAACTGGAAACAAGCCTTCACAAATAGCAGAGAATGAAAGAATGAAATTTCAAAATTACAATTAAGAGGGATTTGAGAGGTCTTTAAAATGGGAATGTCACACATGACATTGATTCTGTAAAATGAGAAACATGATCTCCAGAGTTGTAATATATTGTAATGTGATATAAAATACTTCACTATACACCAGTAAGATTTAATTCAATGTGTCTTCTGACTGAATATCAAAATAGTGAATTTCATCCTGCTTCTTAACAACACTGTATGCATGTAAATCCTAATGCCATTGCTGCTTCTATCCTTGGCAATAAGGTAATCAAAAACACCAGAAATAAATGTTCTTGAATGGAAAGGGAAACAGTAGATAATCAGAATGAATTTGTTACCAGGCTGGACATATGTTCTTTTAAATGTTGGTAAGAGAACAAAAGCTGGTTTCTTTAGCATTGCCGATGCGAATCAGGTGGAGAAGGCATACCATAGCAGTGGGGATGTGGTGCTACCATTTCAAAAAGATAGCATGCGATATTGTCCTCCTTCAGCAGTCTTTTGGTTTGAAAGAAAGGTACATTGAGACATATGCCAACAGGAAAAGGATTAGGGCTTCAGAATCTCCAACTGTAATATGATTTTCCAATGGAACAATCAATCTTTTTTATATTCTGTCATACTGCTTCTAATTTCAAAGCCATGTTCCCGCTTACTTCCCAGTTTTTAAATCTTTTTTACCTTCTGTAAGAATGTGAGGTTCTCACATTATGGGTAGAATCTGTGTCTCGATCCTAGTACTATTTACATTGTGCCTAATGGAAAACAGTGATTGTACCACAATGCACTTTCTAGCACAACAGGATTCCCAAGAAGTACTGAACAGTGTTAGAATCTTCCCTCTGAGAAGAAGTGTCCATAACTCGCTGATAGACCATATGTTCTGTATGTAGAAGATCCCAAGTTTAGATCTGGCATCTCTTGGTAGGACTAAGCAAAACTGAAACCTTGAATTGCTTCTGCCAGGCAATACTGAGTTAGCTGGTCCAGTAATAAGATACTTTAACATGTTCCATGTAATGAGCAAGACAAAATGAAAAGATAGAAGATCCTTGTATGTACACTTGGCTAGGCATATAACTACACTAGTAAAGTTAGTTTGATTTCAACAAACATAATGTATTTTAATCATCTTTAATCACTTAGAAATGGCTGGATGTCCATTTGAGTGTGGACGGTGGGTTTGCAAGTTGTCCAATGGTATTCTCCCTTTTGACCATAATTTTTGATTTTCATGTCTCTCTTCAGTGAAAGAAAGGTTGGGAATCCTTTCTTCTTGTCACAGAAGAGTGCTCCTAGGTGAAGGCCTTACTGTCATTCCTAAAATACAATATATAAGAACTCTCAAGCTTGTTTCTAGAAAAATAGAAGATTGAAAGAGGATGTAGTTCTTTATTCCACAGACTGTGAATTGATGGTGTAGAAATTAGACTGACAATATAGAAAACAAAAAGCAAGTTAAAATTGTCTTACCTATCACCTGAAGTAATTTTTGTAAATCCTTACTAACTGTATATTTCCTTTCTTTGATAAGTTGAAAGTCCTAACTGTTCTTAATTTCATTTGTTCTGCAATATGTAGCAACCTTTGTCAAAAATCTGCACAAAACTAAGAAAATTTTTGGATAGAGAAAGAAATCTTTGCTGGCATTTTTTCATCCATGTTATTTCATTATACAGAATATTGTAAATGAATCCGTCTAGGAACTATTTAGTGATGATAATTGCAACAAGTAGTACAATTTGAGTGGCTACCTCAGAGGACAGTATTAAGCATCTTCTTTTCTTTCTGAAGGTGAGTGCTCCAGTGGTTACATCCACCACCCAGGAGAAGCAGAAGGACAGTGATCAGTTTGAATGGGTTACCATTGAACAATCGGGAGAACTGGTTTATGAAGCCCCAGAAACAATTGCTGCAGAACCACCACCTATCAAATCAACAGTTCAAACTATGTCTCCCATTCCTGCTCATTCTTTGGCTGCTTTTGGATTATTTCTTCGCCTCCCAGGCTATGCTGAGGTGCTACTTAAAGAGAGGAAACATGCCCAGTGTCTGCTTAGATTGGTGCTGGGAGTTACAGATGATGGTGAAGGAAGTATGTACTGTAACTACTAAGTATATTTGGGGACTACTGCTAAACTTTTATCTTGAGTGTTCAAGTTTACAAGTATTTGAAACAAGAAAAACCTGGCTTTTGTAGCGTTCTGGATCTCTTCTGGCTTTGGAATCAAAGTATATGAAAGTCAAAATTGGTCCTTAAGGACAGATCTAATGATTCTTCCTTCATTGCATAGGATAAACATTAATCAGAGTTAATAGAATTAATTTTAACTTATTTTACAGTTAATTTTACTTAGAAAATTAAATATTGCTTGTTCTCAGGGCTTCCAATGAGATCCGGATTAAGAGCTATAAATGTTCAACTCAATTTTACTGGTTTTGAGGCAGTCAATGTCCATTTTTGTTACATAAACCAAACCCTGATGGCCTTGTGAAGATTAAATATCTGTACATTGGCCTAGGCCTCCATCTGAGAGTTATTTCTACTCTCATCTGCATCCATCCAAGTTTAGATAAGCTGTCATAACTAATAAGAAAGGGCAAAGTAATCTTAACTGGCACCTTGGTTTTCTGCTTTTGCTTCCCTTTCCCTAGGTTTGTGTTGCAGCTTTTCTTGCGTTATGCACAGGGTGGGAGACAATGTGAGCCAAGGGTACTAGAAAGTTTCTGTGTATATATTGCCTCCAATTGGTGTGCAAGTGTACTTGATTAAAATCAAAACATTTCCCCACTTCTTGACCACTGTCATTCTGCTTATTGCTAACCTACTTTAATACAGTATGAGAATGTTGATGCTCAGCATAACTCCAATGCTCTCTGAATATCTTCTGCATTTTAATTATCAGTAGACAGGAGTGTGTATCTGTCTTCTTAATGATTGGCCTGATGCATGAATATGGGTCTGTAAGGACAACGAATCAGTATTTTATTTCCTCCACATAATATTGTATATATTTCCATGAATCAGTTGCATATTCTGAGATGTGGTGTTTTTTTTTTTTTTTTGGAGGAGGTTATTAGCCTAAAAACATGGCAGAAATCACTGAGTTTTATCAAATGAACACTTAACCTTTTTGCAAATGGTTGCAGAATCTGATGTGTTTACACTATCCATTTTATTCAAGCATTTCAAATATTTTTTCTAAGTATGTTTAACTGTTTCATTTGTTTTAACTCATTCAGGAATGGCCAATACCAGAGATGTGATTGATTGATGTGGGGGGGGGGGGGCGCTATCCTGTAGGCCATAGACATTTCAAAGGGGCTGTCATACACTGGAGATTCTTCCCTTCCAGCTCAGAGACAGCCCTTCAATCTCAGGAGGAGGAATTGGGTTTTTAAACTGCTGCTGTTGTAATTGTAATAAAAGAGTAACATGTTCCCAGTACCCATCAGTCAACAGCCAGGCTGCAACATTCTAGAATAGCTGAACTTTCTGTCTGCTTTCAAATATGGCATCAGATACTACACACCAGTAAACCATCTATTTGTGATTAACTGACGCATGTCATATCACAGCCAAAACTGCAGAGTCTAGAAATGGGCACTGGCTTCTAACCCTAAGTTGTGGAAAGCCTTGCTGGCCATGGCTTTCATCTGGACAGCCAGGTTTCACATAGTTTAGCTTTAGGTAGTACAAATACATTATCTAAAATTCTCATTATGTGAAATTTTAATAGAACTACTCCAATGATAATGTTTCCCACTCTTTTAATTGTAATTACTAGAGCCTTAGATGCTAGTAGTTTGAATTCCCACATCCCTTTCTTTTCTGGTGTTGTGCTAATTGGAAAGATGTTGGTGTTAACCATTATTACATTTTAACTGGAATTAGCTAACAAACTTCAATTCTGCTTTCAAAGTCTGGTTTTAAACTGAGTAGAATATTAATCTTAAAGCAGGTGCAATCCTTCACCATGGTTGATCTTGAAAAGGGACACAAGTGGGATATTTGCATGAGAGAAATGCGAACCTTCAGTATGTTCTGTTGCTCTTTTAAAAAAATGCACTACCACAGAGTGGAAAAAATAGCTTGAAACAAACTGAATCAGATCGTGTGTTCAGTGTACTTGGAGCTGTTAACTTCTACATACTTTCTATCCCTGGATGTAAGCATTCAGTTCTCAGTCGTTAAAGGTGCTATTCAATTATATTTCAACGTGATAAGCTGAGATTAGTATCAACTGTATCCAGAAGCATACAGAAGGAAGCCTCAGTAAGCCATTGCTTTCTGTTACGGCTGAACTTCAGTTAATGGCTTCTGAACTTGTTTTAAAATTGGCTTCTAGATCCTCAGTTGCATTTTAACCAGTAACCATAGTTCCCAGTTAGTATGTAATGAAAAGTTCTGGTTCATTATTTTTTCTTGGCTTCTTTCCCCACTTGTACAAACACAGGATCAAAGCATATGGGTGCATATGGTACATGAAGCAGTTTATTAAACCAATATTTGATTGTCTGAATATAATCATAATGATTATAATATCCAATTTTTCAGAAAGCTATTGGCTGTTTAATTTTTCATTGAATGAACAGAGATCCAGAAGGGACCTATCCAGCCACCCAAAGTGATTCTCAAAAACCTAAATGTTTCTCATATATCTAGATGATAATTCTGCATGCAGAGAGAGCAACACTTAGTCATACCATGGTGCATGAAGGACAAAAAATAAATTTACTAAGTACAAAAGAGCCAATTGTTATTATTTACCAAATAACAAATAGTTAATTTAGTGTGGCTAATGAATAAGCTTCCTCTCACTGTTGTGTCACTTTTAAGAAGATTAATAATAGTGTTATGGATACAGTTCATAATGGAGGTATGATCACATCTTCTTTTTCACTCTACATCTACAATCCCTGCAATCAATCTTAATTGTTTAAAAATCTATAATAAACAGAAGTAATATTTTTAAGACCGAATAAAACATCTCTTATATGTTGAAAGATTAATGCAGTCTGCTAATATCTGACGGCATAAATGTTTAACATTTATTTTCTCTCCATCTAGGTCATATTCTGCAGTCTCCTTCAGCTAATGTGCTTCCAACCCTCCCATTTCATGTGCTGCGCAGCTTGTTCAGCACCACACCTTTGACTACTGATGATGGAGTACTCCTTAGGCGGATGGCACTGGAAATTGGGGCAATACATCTTATCCTTGCCTGTCTATCTGCTCTTAGCCACCATGCTCCAAGAGTTCCCAGTTCTAATTCCAACCAGTCAGAGGTCAGTTTAGCTTGAAGGCAATTAGCTTAGATTATAATCTTGAAAATTATATTCTGTTTTAAGAATACTGTTTGTTTACTTTTTTCAATTTGTACTTGCCTTTCCACCAAGAAAGTAGTGCTAAAGGCAACTAACCATCATAGAAACTTTAAAAACAAATAGATGAAAACGTGGTTAGAAACAATCTTACATTAAGAGCTGTGATAAAACACACCAGCTTCTCTTTTCCTCTACCATAAAAATTCTAATATCAAATTTTCAAAATTTGGATGGTGGTTAAATGCTTATTTTCATAGAGATATAATCTTCTAAAAGAGCCTTGGAGTTGTGATGCGACTGAAAGATGTTTTAGATTAGGATTTTGATGAATGTGCCTTAATTTATATAGGTAATATAAATTATCTATAAACATTAATGGATTTAAATCTCATAGGTTTTCACTGAAACATACGCTTCTTTATTTTCTAATGTACTTAGACATGTAAGGTTACCTCTACAGACTTCAAAGCACTGTCCATTATTTAAAATAACACTTGTTTTGTTTAATGGCCCAGAAGAGTCACCCAGCATAGAAAAGATGATAAAGCAATCACTTCCCACAGTAGTGTTCTCACTAGAGGATTATTTTACCAAATGAAGCTGTCAACAGGAAGCATTCTCAGCAGGTTCTTTGAACCTTATCGCAATTCTCATTGTATCCCTTGTCACTATCTACAGTGTCTAAGTCATTGACCATGTCCTGAAGTGTCTGTCACAAATTCCTTAAATCTCTTTAATGAAGACTCTTTGTCCAGTCAAGGGAGAAAGAAAGAAATCTGTGTGGCTGCAGTTTTTTGTAGGCAAACCTTGTATAGGCTGTGTGTGCTTTGCAGCCAACTCAGTGGCCTGGAACTTGTTGAGCAGATGCCAACTTTGTGTATGCTCCTAAAAACTCAACAATTAGTCCTAAGAAGTTTGTTCCACTGCAGCATGTGGTCTTGCATGGCCTGTGACTGCATAGTGCTACAGCTCAGACATCATATCATCAAACTCAGTTTTGGAGACTCAATCAGGAACATGCTAAAGGCTCATAAGTAAGCTTTGCCACAATCATTGTGACTTATTTAGACCAGAATCTACTGCTGTATCCATAGGTACCATTTGAAATATTCAAGCTGCAGCTTGTGGTATTGTCTGACTGTGGGTAAAACAACCCTCACAGAACCAATGAACTGTTTTAAGGTTAGCCAAGAGTTTTATTTACTTATTACATTTCTGTACTGTCTAACAGGCAAAGCTGTCTGTGCAGGTCACTGGGTTCAGACAACACAATAACTCATTCTGACTGGGTTCAAACAGCATGATAAGCCACAGTGAAGGGCTGAGTGTTATTTTTTGTGAACAAGCCACCCTAACCACCCATAACTTAGCCTAGCAGTTGTTCATACCCTGCTGGGTTGGTATGTCATCCATACCGGGGAGAGGAATTTTATAATGGGTTGCCAGGATTAGTTACAGAACCATTCAGCTAGAGCAACAAAAACTCCTGGCATTCTTTGTTATCTTGCATGTGTCACCACCAGTGACAGCCCTTTCGCCAGTGCCCAAGGGCACTTTGGAATAACTGTTGCTTGTTTATCACCTTACTTTGGGGAAAACGGTGGAAGAAGTAGCTATACCAAAAAGGAAGTGCAATATCTCTCACTTAGCAATGTAATTCTGTCAATTTTAGGTGTAGAACTGAAAGTTCTCAGTGTCTTCCACCCTTTCAGCACTTCCCAGAGTGGGGGATATTAATTTGCTCACTTATTGTGGCTGCTTTTCCCAGTACTTAATGTGTAATTGCTGCACTTCCTGGACAAGTCTAAACAACCCCTGAGGAAGTAGGTGAATGGAACTGAACAAATGTTGCCCCATTGAGCATGGGGGCAAGTATACTGTTGGTGCTGACTCCCCACTTACTCCACCTATTCTGCCACCTAGTCTAAGGTGTTAGGGTTTTGTTGTTGGTTTTGGTATTGTTTTAAACTGGCATGAGTAGTTGTGGAATTTTGAGCATACCGGGTAATATATGCAAATTTAATGGGGGTAGTTGGAAATATTCACTAATCAAATAGCTGAGAAGCTAAATGAAAGGGGAAGTTTGTGTGTCTGTATTAACTTCTTTGTCACTGCAGGTGCACAAATTTCCCTCCATTTACTTCCTAGCTTGTAAATTTGTGCAAATTTCACCTGCGTTTACATTCTAGCCATTATATTTGTATACATTTCCCTTCCATTTTCTTCCCAGTTCTGAAGAAACACGCAAATACTCTATCAGTTTAAGAAACACATACACACTTAGAGAGCAGCCAGACAAGTTGCGGGGAATGAGGTACCTGCACCTGCAGTTCTTAGACCTGCCATTTTCAGTGGGAGTAGTCTGTCCTATGCAGTTCCTTCTTAGGGTTTTTAAAAAACTGTCAGTTAACTGCAATAGTAAATGTTATGAAAAAGTGTTACAAAAAGAGATGAGTTAACATCTTCTTTTTCTGGAATAGCTGGAGAATTTGAAAAGTGTTGAAAAGGTAGGGGATATTACGAACTATCAGTTTGCTATTTAGAAACCAGAGGATCAAATTGCCGTATTTTCTCCTTCACTCTTTTGGAGCACTTACTCCTTTGATTGCCTCATTCCCATCCTCATTTAGTGCTTCTGTCTTGCACTAAAAAGTCCCTCCTTTCCTTTACACTTATTTCTTTCTAGTCCCTTTGCAACTGAACACAAATTAGCCGATAGGTAGCCTCGTCTTTTCGGTTTTTGTGTTGTTACCTACTCCATTTCTGTGCTCTGTGACATTGTTCATTGCTTAACATCAAAAAATTCAAGAAATGGAAGAGGACATATATAATATGATATTCTTGTAGCCCTTCGAGAATGTGACATCTAAACAATTCCAAACAATAGGTGACTTACTTTCCTTTCACTAGCCACAGGTGTCAAGCACACATAATAGTGCATCAACAGAAGAACAACAGCTTTATTGGGCCAAAGGCACTGGATTTGGAACTGGTTCTACTGCTTCTGGATGGGATGTGGAACAAGCATTAACTAAACAAAGACTGGAGGAGGAACATGTTACTTGTCTCTTACAGGTACTGAAGAACATTATGGCTATATGTTTTTGTGGCTGTTACTCTTTTGTGATTTGGTTTGGTTTTGTTAAATAGTACGCAAAACAAGGACTGGAAGATGTTATTTGTCTCTTACAAGGAAGAGAACATCTAAGGAACATCATAGTATTCATGCAGATTGACAAAATTATGTCATTATATACAAATTTTATTTTTTAGGTTATTGGTTATTTATGTAGTACTTTTCCCAACTGTATGTTTAAAAGACCTTGCTGGCTTACTCTGGGCTTAACAACTGGACTTTGTTACAGGCAGTCCCTGGGTTACAAACCAGTTCCGATCCTGAGAAAATGGAAATTCATCTTTAAGATGAATTTTGTGTGTAAGTTGGATCACATATAGTCGGCCATCCACATTCACAGAGGTCAGGGGCACGGGACTCCCGTGAAATTTGAAAAGCTGCAAATATCTCTACCCACCCCCCAACTAACCAGTGCTTCCTCTGTGCAGCAAAGAAAGCTAGAGTGATTTGCCTCCCCAGAAGGGTGGGGCAGGAAGACATGCTTTGGAGGCTTCTCTCTCTCTTCTTCTGCTTCCTCTCTCTTTATTGTGATGCTTTGAAGGCCTGTCCTCACTCCTCTTCCACTTCCTCTCTATGATGTTGAAGATTTCCTACAGTAGGCCTTAAACTTACATTTTTAAATTAATAGGTTTCCTGGCAGTTTGTTTGTAAGTATAGGGTGTTCATAGCCCAGGGACTAACTGTATTCTTATTTTCAAACAGAATCTTCCTGTACTTCATGATGACTTGTTTTTGAATTTTGGAACCTTGAAAAATAGGTTGATGCACTTCATGGGCCTGCAGGGTGGGCAGATTAAATTTCCAGTTTTGGGAGAATCCGTTTTGATTCATTTTTAGTTTCCCATTTTTTATGTGCATTATATCTATACCTTACCTTTTTATTGGAAAAAGCTGAGAGCAGCTTACATAATCTTCTCCATTTGATCCATGCAACAACCCTGTGAGGTAGCTTAGGCTGAGAGTCAAAGTATGGCTAAAACTGACCCAGTGAGTTTGAAGGCCAAGTGACAGTTAGCTCTTGTATCTCCCAAGTTTCAGTCTAACACTCTAGCCATTATATTACCTTGGCTCTTGTCACTTGCCAAATCATAAAAGACAACTTCAGTTACTGTGAGAAACATGGGCAAATAATTTCTCAATAGATTTCATATCTATAGCTAAAGGAAAATAGTTGAAGGAAAGTCAACTATTTTTAAACTGTGAAAATAGGAGTTCCTAAACTAATTAATTTACCTTTTGGCGATGATGAATATTTGAAAATATTTTAAACATTAATCTTTTGCCTGTATGTATAGTAATGGAAAAGGGTTAGGGTGGTTAGAACTTAATTAGTATCTTTCAGGACAAATTTTACATTCCCTGAAATTTGGCTTTTTCTATAATTATTAATCTAATATTTACTCTTGATATTTTAAAACTTTCAGGTTTTGGCTAGCTACATAAATCCTGCAGGGAGCACATCAAACAATGATGCCCAGACCAGTCATGAAAGCAGAGGACAAAACAGCAATGCCCTCCCGTCAGTTCTACTAGAGCTACTTAGTCAATCATGTCTTATTCCCGCAATGTCATCTTATCTCCGCAATGATTCAGGTAGTGTGCTGTTTCTTGCTTTTTAAAATGGCATGTTCCAATCCAGTTTATGAATAGTATGTTTTTATAAATGGTGCTTGAAAGAATATCTAATTCATTTAGAGCATTTGAAGTTTTTATGTAAAAGATGTGAGAAATAAGTAGCTTGGAGCTAGCTGATCATCATTGACTTGAAAACAAGCAAACATTGAGCTGCTAGATTTTTGATGCTGAAAAATGTGTATTTCTTGCTTTTTCATTCTTATATAAAATAACTGCATACCTGTACAAATTGCATATAATATAAATATTAGGTGGTGCAGTGGTATGTACTAAAACTTCCAGCAACATTACATGATAGTTGTAGCAGCAAGTACTTCTGTACTTCGGCCTGTCATGCCAATAAATTGTTGCTTTGCCAGTTGGTATGGGCATGTGCAGACCAAGTAGGAACTGAAGTCCGTATGTATGGATTTGGTGATTATTATGATTAACAGGGATCAGTGAAGCAAGGTGTTTAGGTTGCAAATGAATTCAAGATCAATTACAAAGCAGGTTTACAATCTAAATCAGTGATGGGTGCTTGGAACATGTGGCAGTTGAAGGCTTATAGAATTCAAGAGCCTTCATAATGGAATGGGCCCAATATGTGCATATGTCATGAATGGACCCGGCTGGAGCTGGGGGTCAGACTGTATGGCCTGGGAGACCCCTTCTGACTTACTCTGTTTCTGTATGTCAATAGTGTATGAGTATTTTTCCTTAAAATATTTTAAGTTAGAAATAGAATGTGTGTTGCAATGCACTATGAAATCAACTCTTCTGTCGAGTTAAGGTTTTTGTAAACACGTAAGAACTGAAAAATATAGAAACAGAAAAATTCCAGGAAGGTGTGTTCACAGTCAAACACAGTGTAGGAAACTGGAAGAAAGAAAGAAACCTGTTGTGCAAGTAGTGGTCTGCCCTATCTATATCTAGTTCAATTCAAACTCAGGATTTGTTTTCTCAGGATTATAGAAGAACCCTGAGTTCTTGTACTATGGTGGGTTCTACACAGTATAATTAGGTGACTTAGTTTGACCTGATCTTTCTGCTGAGTACTTTGGCTTATTCACAGTGCATAAGTTGAACTTTTGGCTATGTCGGTATTGGTGGTGAACAACATGTATGATTGCCTTGAGCTTCTTTAGAACTCTCATAAGTTTCTCCCTCCCCTCCTCACAGTGGGAATAATTTCTGCATATTGCCTATGAGGGAAAAAAAGAGATATTCAGACATTTCAGCATTGTGAGATATGGGACTTGCAAGGCTTATACTCATTCTCTTTTCCCTTGGTACTACTTCCTTGTATATTCTTATACCTGAAACTATCAGGAGAGGAAAAGAAACAAAGATTATATCATTTTCAGCATTATGATGAGCAGTTTAGGGCAGATGTTAGGCAGACTTTGGGCTTATTAATGCTGACAAAAATGCTGTTGAATAATATCACATTATCCTGCTCCCAGTGTTGTGCTTTCCAAAACGTTTTTACAGAAGTCCTCCCTTTTATGATTTCTAGCTAAATCACTGCTAGAAAAAGGACTAGAACAAGAAAAAAAGAAGCACTATTGCTTTTTGACTGGAAAGAAGGGTCCAGTCAATTCAGTCCTTTCAAGGAAGACGGGCTATCCTGCCTCTCCCAAATTGTCCATGTATACAGTTGGCTCAGAAGAACTTGGCTGAGCATTGTGGAGTTCAGTCATTCTTTCCTTCCCACAGTTCCCTTGCTAAAAGGATTTTGTTCATTTTATTTTTGGTCCTTTCTTTCCTGCCATCCCTCACTTCTAATCCTCACTGATAAAGCCTAATTAGGAACAGGAACAGATCTCATGGCTGCAAGTGATTTCTGCCATTTTGACTGAGGGGTAAGAGTATCCCCATTTATGCTCCTCCATCCATGGTATTTACTGCAACTACTCTTGGGCAGGAGAGCTTCAAAATTATCATGGTTCTCTACCTACACTAGGTAGGCCCTTTGCAGCACCATCCTACCTGTTCCAGGAGGCCTGCAGTCCATGTGCAACAAAAGATCTTCCTGAGCTTGTTCTCTTGAGTCTTTCCATGTAAAGACAGCAGATTACATAGCATTACTCTAACCAAGCTGCATAGCAGAAGCCTGGTTATACCATGGCCAGGTAGGCCTTGGAAGCTAGTATAAGCCTAGCAGGGAAACTGTCCCTCTCCAGGCAGGTTGGGTGTACCTCCTGAAGCCACTAGAGAGATGGTAGGCTTGTGCCTTCCTCTTTGCCACCAACAATATAAGGCAAGGGTATCAGAGCAAAGGCACCAACACCCCCATTATCAAATACGGGGACAAAGCAAGCCTACCAAATGCAATGTAGGTATCACAGCAGAGAGTTCATAGTGCCTAAGTTACACTAGTCCAAGTGCAACACACTAGCCACTTCATCATAATGACTCTCAGGGATGCATGTCTGGAAATACAGGCATCAGCTTCTTATGACAGCCTGCTTTTAGAAACAAAGGCAAGATTTAATCAGCAACGATCAGCCTATTTACTGAAATTAAAAAATAAGGGGGAAGAAAAGAGTGCAAGAGGCTGATTCTGTCTTTACCCTTCATCCTGGTTTGTAGCTGTTCCATCATTTTTTGAATCAGCCAAGCCAAAGTCACTGTCCAGTGTGAAAGCATCTCTTGAGGAAGCAAAACCAAACGTCCTGTTTTAGATTTGACGTATTTAGTGCTTTTAAAGTTACCATCTTAAAAAAGCTATTTCAGCTAATTAAGTTCCTAAATATTAACAGGTTCATCTGTTAACTTATTACATTTACACAAATGTAATACTTGTTTAACAAATTTTAATTCATTTGTGTAATACATGGAATTTACATATTACAAACCCACCATACATTATTTGCAAGCATGCTGTACATCTGTTATATTATCAGATAAGTAAAATTAGATCCAAATCTTTAGTAAAACTGAATTTTAAAGTGAAAATTGACTAGGGAGAAAATCCAGATGCATTTAAAATTGTTAAATCTAAAGCCAATACTGCAGAAACTTGCCACATACAGTTCAAAATAAGTAATGCAGTTGCTTTTCACTGAAAATTAATTGATGTTTTTGATCTGTAGATGGCATCAATACTGCAGTAGTAACTTCTAAATGCCTACCTAAGTTACATGATAGCCCAGGCCCACTGATTAATCTATTAAATTCTGCATTGTGACTGTTCTGAAAGACATACCAATACATGTATTTTGAATTAGCTCATGATACTAAGCCCTTCGATTATGATTTTTTCATGTTCACTAAATATATTCTATTGCTTAGAGTCACTCATTCAACTTAAAAATGTGGTGCAGGTAATTTACTTCTCATCTTGCTGAAACAACCTCTTGTTTTGTGTACTTGGAAGGTTTGTTAACTTTTTCCTATAATCTTGATTTCTCTTAAACAAGGAGGGAGGAAAAGTGTGTGCTGTGTAGTTTATTGCTGCCTGGAGTTGATACATACAAAAATGCTGAAACTGGAACACAGTGAAAATTGTGGAATATAGAATTGAGTCAGTCAAACACTTGAATTTAACATCCGTTTTTGCAAAAAAACAAAACAAAAACAAAAACCCTGCCAGTTCTGCTTTGCCATTGACACATAGGCTTTAGTTTCTTAGGAAATATAATGTACCATTGGGCAGTACACTTCATAATACTGGAGTTTATTAACTGAAGGAAAGATCTGTTATTAGCTTATTGCATTTGAAGTAAAGAATGTAATATGATACAGTGCAGTGCAATGCATTGCACTGCACTGTAATATAATTATTTCACAATTGTTATACAAAGCATAACATTTCATTCACAATTTAAATCTAATCAAAATTAGCTACCCATTAGTTTTTCTTTTACTCAAGTCAGTGCACTGGTTTTAAAGCTCCAAATAGTCTAGGCTTGAATACATGAAAGCATCTCCTCCTATGTGTGCTATGCCAAATCTTGAGGTTATTGCAAGTTGCTGTGATGTGAGTACCTTTCCTTTCAGAAATATGGTAGGTAGCTATCCTCTGTAGTGGCAACTTCATACCCCACTCACTCTTCTTTTCCATAGAAGTTATTTTTGCAGAAGCTTGAGTATGTTTCATTTATTATAAATGATGTTTACCATCACTGTTGACCAATGAAATCTTGAGGAAAAATTTAACATCTTCATAAAAAGTTAACATCTTCATAAACAGTAGGTCAAAAGGTTAATTAGGTGAAAGGATATCTCTAGTTTTAAAAGAAAACTTTTATTTATCTTTCTAAAAAGGAGTTCCATTGAACCTAATTGCCTTCATTTAAAAGACACATACAGTCATCAACAATGTCTTCCTCTACTGACTTTCTTTTACATCTCAATATTTGTGTAAAATACTTAAAGTGTAAACACTTTCTTCCTGTCATATTATTTTCAAATAGTATTTTTCCTTGCCTTGTATAAGTGTTATTTGTTCATTTTCACTTCCAAAACACAGCTTTCATGTACTTCCCTAAGTTTCAATTTTTCATTTATTTCAGCATGATTAACTGTATTCCATTCTTATTTCCTTACCTACTCCAGCCTTTAAAACTGGAATCTTGCCGAAGTGATGTATGAGACAAAAGAAAGAATTTCACAAAACAGTAGAAGTCCATAAAATCACTGATTATGAACAAAAATACCTTCTTACTGATTTCACGCCTTTCATAGGCTTTTTCCTCGTAGTGCCAAATATGGGCCCATCTCGCATGCCAAGAAACTAAAGCTCCTGCATTTCCGAATATGCTTTTTATATCTCTGAGTGTTTAGCTAAACTCTCAGGCATTAGTTTAGATGTAGTCAATGTTTCTGTTGGATAAAGAATTGGATTTGAATCAGGGAGGTCTTGGTTCTTTTCCCCTATTTCTGGGCCTCATGTCCTTATCTATTAAGGGACTTACCTTATGATTTAATAAGTGTTACGTACAAGATTAAATAACAGAAAGGATAACTGCTTT